ACTTACTGCTACCTGTTACCAACTTGGTACTATTTGGGTTCAAACTACCCTCCCAAAATAATTGTATGATTTTTTTTTTTTGTTATAATGCATAATTTACAAATATGTGCATTTTGTGTTTATTTTATGATTATAATCAATAAGTTACATCATGTAATGTAAGTTTTTTATGTTGTGTAGATTTATAGATACTTGTATCTCTATTTTAAATGTTTGAAGGAGTGTATATTACTCGCCAAACGATTTATGGCTGATTGTAAATTCTAGGCTTACGTACACTGGAATTTATTATATTTGTAAACACTTATGATAAATAAAGAACTTTTGAAAACAAAAAAACAATATGAAAATATGACATCTAATTATAATTATTTAAAAAAAAAATATTTGATTGTTAATTTTCTATGTCTTTAATACGAACACGAATCCTTAAACATTCCAATTATTAAGATAGTTCGTAAAAATAGTTTTTTTGCAAACTTATTTTTATTTATACTTTTTTCTTGTTCTTGGAAATGGCTTGATGATTTTAGGCACTAGCAAAGATCTAGTCTATGAAATATCTAGTGCCCTAAGCACTAGATATTTCATAGACTAGGTGATACATAAAATGTTTTTTTTTTATTACTTATATTAATACCCCCATTAATGTTATACTCTATATCCCATTAATGTTATATACACAAAGGTTAGTTATGTAATCTAATTCTATATTTAATCTAGTTCACGAAATTGTCAACTAATAGTATGTATATAGGTACATATGTATATTGTTCCCCGAGTTTGATTCTCGGTTGAGCCAAGGTCAAATATTTATTTTGCAATTAGATATTTACATTCATAATACTGCTTCAGAGTACGTTACAATCAATTAACTACTATATCTAAATTTTTTAAATTTATATATTTCTAATATTAGAAACATAATCTGTGTGATTGGGGGAACAAGAAACCAATGCAGATTACGTAAACTATACTTGAACTTTTTTTATACCACTGAGGTAGCAAACAACCATACGCCCCACCTGATGGTAAATGGTTACCGTAACCTCTGAACGCCTGCAATACCAGGGGCATTACGCACGTTACCGACCCTGCATAAACCTCTTTATCCCCTTTTTGAAGAACCCTATTCTGTAGTCTCTTGGAAAAACTATAAAAAAAAGGTGTCAAAAACATGTTATATATTAAAAGGAATATGAAAAATGATAATATAAAAAGTATACATACATATATACATATACTCTCTCGCATGACATATACTTACCCGTACACGTCCTACAGTTTGCATAAATCCTAATTCATTTATTGGTCATGAAATCACATTGTAAAAACAACTGCTTTGTATAAATTTATAGGTAAACAGTTATCTGTACTACTTAAAAGCCTATTTTAATGTCTGCATGTATTTGGTAATACAATTCCCGTTTTCTACGGGATAGCTTCAGCCTAGTATACGAATCAATGTTAAACTTTCTGCTTATATAAACATACTTTGATATTAAATACATTTGACTTTTTTTTATATAAAAAAGGCCAATTAGCCAAGCTGCCAGTAATAATTTGTTTGAATTAAATTTTAATAAAAAGGTAACTAAATATTTTATTGAAATTATCACAGAAACACTCTCTAAAAATAAAAAATTAGTAATAAATCGAAATATTCAACCGATTAATCAGTTTATTTTTTATTTATTTTACTTTCCTTGAAACAAGTTTAAATGGATAGTTCAATAACGACGTAATAGACAACTTCATGTCTACAATAGTAGATACAATGTGTGCAATGTCACTAGCCGTCCCGTCGCGGAAGCAGACGAATAGACACCACTTGTCCTGAATTACTGTTGTATTTTCGCTTCGCCTACATTCTCTAATCATCATACAAGTACGTTGCAAGAATACCCCGTGTGACCACGAAACTTTCTATGTTTAAATCTAAATATTCATTGACTGAGCTGTTCTATCTTACAAAATAGCTAGTAACACTGATTCGCTAAACACTAAAATGCATTATTAAATACCTAATTAAAAAAACTAAGTGACATAAATTTTTTAAATTATTAAACAGTTTCAATAAACTTGTAGAAACTTTGATTTAATTAAACTACTATGAGTGACAAAGTTTAATTACGGTTTCCTTTCTTTTTTTACATTATATCTACTACTTTTTTGACATTTAAGTGGCTCCTTAATTAAGTACCTGAAATAAATATCCTATCATGTTTATTTCATACTAACGACTCGGACTCGGTTTCGCATGGATAGATAGAATTGTCAAAAATAATATATAGTTAAGTTACTCGCTGATAATGCAACTTTATATATTTATTTATTTTTTAAATCAATTGAGTAGTTTTTAAATATATCCATTACAAACGAACAAATCTTTCCTCTTTATAATCATCACCATCATTTCAGCCATTATTCGTCCACTGCTGGACATAAGCCTCCCCAATAGACTACCATAAAGAACGGTGCTGAGCCACCTGCATCCATTGACACTGTGCAATGCATTTCAGGTTGTCACTCCATCTAGTCATCCTACACTGCGTTTGTCCTCTCTTTGATATTAGCATAGATATAAATGAAATCGTTTAATAAAGTAAGGCGATATATTAAACACTACGTACTAAGATTACATAGCACTAATGATCTAAACATGATCCTACTCGGTTGCTCGTATATAAAAGCTTCAAGTTACTCAGCGTTGCGTGATAGAATCCGAAATGAGGATATCCGCAGAAGAATCAAACTGACGTGGTAAACAATAAACAAGCTGAAGTGGTAATGGGCTGATCACATAGCTCAAAGAACCGACAACCGATGTGGAAGAAACGTTCTTGACTTGCTAAAATTCATTCTTTATCTAAAAGAATATGCTTACAGATTAACCCTATAGAAATTTTATCAAATTCGACTCAGTAATTTAGTTTTTAAAACAAAATAAGTGGTTTTCGGCCGCAATAAAAGTAGGTTTTTTATAAAATACAATTTAATTATTATATCTATAGTACTTACTCTCTTAAAAACTAGAAATAAAGATACTCAATATGTACTCAGTAAAATAGAGCTCTTTTCTCTATCGTTCATATATTGTCTTAATAGATTTTTTTTTTAGATTAAAGAAATAAATTGTCGAATTTATGTGCTTCCAACTTTGAATGACCTTCTACCAAACTTCCTCATAGTCTTGTTAATTCATACCGTTTACTATCGTACGCAACAGCTGTCGCGAAGAGAAATATTAGTACATTTTATTAATATCTCATTTCATTAATATGTTATCTCGTGTTCCCGTGATAAGTGAATACAGGAAATCCCTTTTTTGTGACACATTTAAGATATACCTATGTATGTTGACCTATATTTGCAGATTTTATAAATATGTACTGTAAACTAAAAATAAGCAATTTAAATATTTTTCGGCAGTTTTTATTTACTTTTATGTATAACCTAATTAATTTCAAAATCGATAAAGAAAACTAAATTTTGTTTCAAAAAGAAAGCTCCATAATTTACCCAGGTTTAAAAAAATCTTGTGTCAATGTACGATTCATATTCTATTGGTATATAAATTTGATATTCCGAAAGATCATTCTTTCAGAATACCAAATTTTTAATCATTTAAATGTAATTAATCGTATTTGAAATGTCCAACCAAACATCTTTAAAAGTAATGTTGTATTTAAAAATAGTAAGATGTATAATAAAAATACCTTACACCAAAGGTATTTTGTTTGATCACTCATTGGCGGGAGTATTCCGTAGCTCCTGATAATCTAACATGTTTATTCCACTATTTCATTAATCACAATGAAAGATATAAAAATTTAATTTCCTGGCAATTATTATAGAGCAATATCCTTCTTCTAATAATTTACATAAATGGGTTGGATTATATGGATTGTCAATTATTAAAGTTATACTTAGATGTGGTTTACTATGAAAACTGACACTACATAATTCCATAATACACAACTCTAAATATACCTATGAGATGCAGTTAAGTAGGTAACTAAGAGTACATACACTTTGACGTAAGTATCGAATAATTAAAATAGCGAGTCATCAATTAAATTCGCCTTCAAATCAATAATAGCCGATGTCTCTAAACAACAACTAAAAACTGTATAGATACGTTTAGATTGATGTAAACACTATGAAATTAACTTGGTACTAATATAGAAACTGAGATTATATTAAGTACCTTTTTATTGCTATTTTATATAGTTTCACATTTTTCTAATATATTAATTAACTTATGTAAAAGACGACGTACATAGGTAACGTAAATAATAAATAAAATCAAAATTTTTAGCATCCATTCAAATAAATAAATAAAAAAATCAGAAAGTTTTTCGCCAAATAAATATAATCCATATAAATCGATCGATCTGGTTGTCATCAGATTAGTACACAGGAGGTTAAAATTTTTTTACGCATATTTGATAACTACATTAACTCGGTCATGAGTAAACTCACTGTAACACCTAATTATTTAATTAATAAAAGATATTCGTAATATATTTATTTTTATAAACTAATGAAAATGCATTGCTCCTAAAATGTAGAGTGCAACAAATCGATTATTTTCGCTCGTTGAATTCGTGTTACACGTATAATATGAAATTTCCAGAATTTTTATAATACTTTATATATTTGTTAATTTTTAATCGAATTCAAAAGATTAATATAAAATAATACATTAAACATATTTGTGAATTCATTTAATATAATGCATGGATTTTATATTAATTTTATTACAATGAAAGTTGTTAATTCATTTTATTTAAAAAAATCATGTCATTGTATATATCATTATCCTAAACCAAAGTAATTTATCATGGACGCATGAATATTCCGTAAATACAGGTTTTATATAATCTAAATTTAAAAGTGATTTAAAAATACGATTATACCTATTACGTTATCAACATAGATAATGATTGAGGTCCATATAATTATAATACCTAATTAACATCATTTTCCGGTTCCAGAATCCGCTAATCCAATTAACGGCCTTTTTGGTCGTAGCAACATTATCCTCAAGCAGCATAGTGAAGTCGCCGCCGGCAGCCTCCAGCGGAGATAACTTCGAGCTTCTAATACTCCACAATAATGATATGCACGCGAGATTTGAACAGACGTCACAGCTCAGTGGAACTTGCACTCCGGCTGACAGAGACGCTGGAAAGTGCTACGGTGGATTCCCCAGGGTAGCATACGTGTAAGTACTATCTTTTTTTAACTGACTTCAAAAAGAAGGAGTTTCTCAATTTGATTGTATATTTTATGTTTATTACCTCATAACTCTAATAGTTCTAAACTGATATCAAAAATTCTTTTTTTACTAAAAGTATATACTTACAGATTGGTCCTATAGATATTTTACCAAAATCAATTGAGTAGTTTAATTTTTAGAACACTAGTTTTGTCACAATTAAAGTTGTGAAAAGAAGTATGTGGAACACGATCTTTTTAATGGACATCATAATAACAAATAAATTCACAAAACTTAAAAACTATAAATTACCATTGCAAATTAGTTGTTTATTTTTATATAATTACTTTTTGCCAAAATGGCGCCATTTGTCAAAGATGAAGAAAGTGTACTTAAACTATCTTCTAGAGATTAATAATATTTGGCGAAGTGTTCACATCACGCAGTATTTACTGTTTGAGAAATAAACCTTATTCTCCGATAGTTCTTACATTTATGATGCCCACGGCCACCTTCTACTATCGTATAGCATCACCATCGACAAGGAGTTCGCTCCCCATACCTTAGAGCCTGGATGGTCGCGTATAGCGCGGTTTCAGAAATGGTTCCTCCCACGAACACTCAGGTTATGGAATGAGCTCATCTATGGTTTCTCCAAGAGACTACAATATGGAGTTCTTCAAAAAAAGGATAAAAAGATTCCTTTAGAGTCGGCAACGCGCGCATAATGTGCCTGGTACCGCAGGCGTTTATAAGCTACGGTAACCGCTTACCATCAAGTGGGCCGTATGCTAGTTTGCCACTTCAATGGTATAAAACAAATTGTAATAATCCATGTAATGATTCTGTGAAACATGCTGTGAATTTTTGGATGCTTGTTACTCAATCACGCCTATTACAATGTCTAAAGTTTCGCTTTGAATGATAATAAGGCACAAAACGCTCTCAAATACGAATACATAATTACTTTTTTACTCAAATATGTTGCAAATTTGATCCTCTTATATCTTATGTGGTTGACTGTATCTAATTAAGTGATTGTTATACATTACAGTGTGAAGGAGGCCAGAAGAAAAGCACTAAATGGCGAAGGTCCTCCCGTCTTGTACTTGAATGCTGGTGACACATACACCGGTACGGCCTGGTTCACCATATACAAGTGGAAGATCGCCGCTGAGTTCATCAACGCATTACAACCTGACGCAGTTGTAAGTTTCCTTCTCAGATTTTATGCAAGAAATATTATTATGAAAAAGTAATACAATACTGTAAAAATATGGTAATACTGAAAGGCTGTTTTAAATCGATGATAATGGAATGGTAACCCCGTCTGTGCTAACGGTATACGCTGGAGATGCACCAGTGAGGAGTGATAGATGTGTAGATAGGTGATGAATTCACTTGGAGCTGGACACGATAGTTTCCAGATGGAATACTGAAGGGTTATCTCCAACAAATAAAGATGTCTCCCTGACAGACTAGACTGATTATGATGTCATTAGTAGCACTTAGAAATACACTTTGGAGCATAAATAAATTTGTTATGAGTATCCTATCCCATGATCCTTACATAAGGACAGACGACCTTTTTAATAAACTTGTAATTAATTGAAATAGTATAAATTTATAGTAAATGCCAAATCTTAAGTAAGGCTTCCTGACTGAACCTTAAAAATCGCCAGACAAAATTGTTGCATTTCCCGCCAAACAACTTGACATATTCATAGACAATGAGACTTGCACAGTAGATATTTTTGTACGCAAAACTGCTACTGCGTAAATGACATGGAATTAAAGTTTTGCTCAAATTATTTTCCAATATCTAAGTATATGTATAATTATTGTTCTGTCTCTGTGCTCGTAACCATTATAATGAACGTCGTGTTCGTTCGCCGATTGCAATCTGTCGACGTGATTGTGAATATGTGTACGTGATTCATTTTTTATTTTTCCGCGCCTCGTTTTGTCTGTCCGTCGTTATTATGTGGTGTATTTATTACTGTGCTATACTATGCTACGTCCATTCATATTATAGGATGCACGAATATAGCTCAGCTATATGCGTGGATCTTATAAACTGTAACTCATTTGTTTAGTGGTGTTTTTATTTCAAATCGGTAGGTATTATCACAGGTGATAATTTTATATCTGCGTCAAATGGAATGGATCCTAAGAAACATTTGTAAGTATCAATATAAATATTATTACTACCGAATAATGAACGTCTCGATTACTAACAAGTATTTTATTATATACAATAAAATATTAAATATGCCTTTTTTGTACTTTAACTATTTTTATATTTATTATTTATACCTGTTTATATTCTTATTCTTACCTTACTGTGTGTTTCCTTGATAAATTCGTAATTTTTAACATCCATGGTAGATAGACAGAATGATAAATTAGTAGGTATATATATATATATATATATATATATATATATATATATATATATATATATATATATATATATATATATATATATATATATATATATATATATTATAAACAATAATGAGCATCTTCTTATATCTTGGGTTATAGTATTGTAATTTGAAAAGATAATTTCAGAGATAATTCAGAAACTCCAGTAGAGTCACAAAAAATGACGATTGAAAAAAATTTTTTTTACATATGTGTGGCATATTATATTATCTATGATAATAAAAATTTCTAATATAATGATAAACAGACATCTACATATAATTGGATAACTACATATTTATTATGTGGTAAATAATGCTTTATTTTGTTATATTTCTTCGTGTTGCCTTCATTCATGTAATGCTTCTTTATGTGCATATTTTATATTATTTATACTACATAGATAACTAAGTACACAAAAAACAAAATATTCCATCACACACTTACTTATTTACAAACTGTAATACATATTTGCTTAGTGCTATTTTCTCACATCAGAAGTTACACGACAGGAAACAAAGTTTTAGATAAAACAACTGACGTTAGATAGAGGAATTATGTACCTATCTGCGACAAACGGAATGGATACTTAGTTGATACAAAATTTTAAAATTTGTAAGTATCTTTGTAAATGTTTATTAATAACGTAGATATATACCATAATTACTAACAACTTATTATTACAGTATTATTATAACAATTATGAACATTAAACGACGACGCTATTTGTGAGGTGGCGTGTGTACTTAATAATGCAAATATCTAATTAATCCATTGATAAATTTGAATACATATAATTATATGATAAATATTTGTTTATTACAATAATAAAGGTGTAATATTACATTATAAATCAGTTTTTGATTACTTTTAATGTACATACAAATAGAAATGCGAAAGTAGGAATGGCCCTCCCTTTACAGGGTGAAATTATTAAATAATTTTATGAGATAAAATGATCAAAATACGAAACAATTCCAAATAGGTCAAAATACGAATACATTAAAAACCTTTGAGCCTCCCTTACTATATTGAAAGACATTAATATAGAAATAGAGATATGCGAAACTTTGGTTTGTAAATTTTGTTTTATTTCTATACAATGTAGTTAAATATTTCATATTATATAAATTATATTTTTTTTTGATTAGGTATATAAATTTTAAAGTATTTAAAGTATTAAAACACATAAGTTGCTACAGGATTCTACAAGTATTTCGAAATTCTGATAATTTTCGCAAATTTCTTTGTACTATCGTTATATAATATATTTTTATAATAAAAATGTATTTGTATAGATCTGACTTGGACTTTCATTCATAGAATATTTATTTGGGTGCGGTTTCATAAAGACATTTGAGTGCTAGATACACGAACCAAGCTTCCGGAAGATAGCGTTGCCAGATTGGATATTCTTTCGCATTGTATTTTTTTAGATAAAAAATTTTCGCACAATTATTACATAGGCTTTGAAAAACTTGCATAATTTTTTTAACAATTTTCTAATTTTTAAACCATCTAACAGTATATAAACACAGAGGTAAAAGAAGAAGGGCTCTTTTCAGAAAAAACATATTTTACATTTAGAAAAAATCAAAATTAGCATCTAGCAATCCTATCATATGAAAGCCATAGAGTCTATGTGCAAAGCGATATGGTCCTTGTATCTAGCGCGGTGTAAACATACAATTTAAATCAAAAATTGTACTTGTCTATTAGTGGTTGTGGTCCATCTTATTTTCTCATCAATCCATAATTATAATAACGACATTATTCAATTTTCTTCATCAGAAATCTTAATCGAGATTCTAGAAACATCAAGTAGTAACTCAATTCATGCATTATAGATTCTAATCTTAATGAACTAAATTATAGATAACTAATCTTAATTATAGATAATAATATGAATAACAAGAGTTTCTAACAGTTCAAAAATCACTGACATCATTAAATTAATTCAATACTAATAAACAATTTTAATAGCTGATTTTTTATTATCAGTATATGTAATTTGATTAACATTATTCTTTTTCAGTCACTCGACAACGATGAAATTAAAAGTGGATCCTCCGACATATCACCTTTCTTGAACAGTATCAACACTAAAATAGTATCAAGCAATGTTATGTTCAGTACTTTAGAGGATAATGAGAAGATACAAAAATCTATAATACTTGATATTGATGGAAGAAAAGTAGGCATAGTAGGATATCTAAAATTAAACACAAAATTTTTGGACAGTACTGGCCAAATTGAGTACGTTGATGAAATTCTAGCGTTGAAAGAAGAAGTAGCAAAATTAAAGGCCTTGAAAATAGATATAATAGTGGCATTGGGTCACTCAAATATAGACACAGATATTGAGATTGCAAAGGAAATTGAGGATATTGATATTGTTATAGGTGGTCGTAAAAATATTATCCACTGGAATGGTGATATTGTGCAAAGTGACACTAAAGAACCTTTTGTTGTTACACAGAAATCTGGAAAGCAAGTTTTAGTAGTTCAATCATCAGCATATGATAAATATCTTGGAAGTTTGAACATAAAATTTGACAGCAATGGTAATATTATTGAGTACAACTCGAAACCTATTCTGTTAGATGAATCAGTTTTTCAAGACCCAGAATCTCTTCGTCTTGTCAATAAATACTACGATGAAATTACTTCTACTTCCCAGGAAGTACTTGGCCAGACGTCTGTTGTACTTGACGGAGATTCATGTAAAAGAGAAGAATGTAATTTTGGAAATTTGATAACTGATTCCATGATGTACTATTACGCAGTAAGATTCGAAGGTAGCAGTTGGACTGATGCGCCGATAGCTATTATTAACGGTAATGCTATCAGTTCTTCTATTTCACCACCTAACCGTCCAGCTTCCATCACTACAGGGGATTTACTTTCAGCTTTATCAATAGAAGATAACTTAGTGACGATCACAATTACTGGAACGATATTTAATGAATTATTAGAGTACGCGGTCGCTGACTATAGTGTATCAAACCCATCTCATTTTCTTCAGTTCTCTGGTGTTCGAGTGGTATATGACTTAGAGAAAGATGTCGGTTCAAGAGTTATAAGTGCTGTAGTACGGTGTTCGACATGTTCCGTACCACAATTCTATGTTATTGAAGAATCAAAAGAATACAAAATTATTGTGCCAACCTCTTTACTGGATACTCAGTATGGATTTTCATCGTTCCAAGGACTACCAACTGATAACCTAAAATATGATATAGTAACTTGCGTAACAGAATATATAAACCAGCGAACTCCGATATATCCAGAAGTGGCTGGAAGAATAATCCTTCGTGGTAATGCTGCTGCCGCCTTGAGTTCTGCTATCCTTGTATTTATGCTCACATTGATCCCAGTTATCTTTACTTAATGTTTTGTACAATGATTGAAATTGTATTTTTTGATATTTTTTAAACAAAGTTCTTATTAGCAAAGTGTTTTTTAAACACCTACTACCATCCTTCACCATTTATTACAATTTTTTTAACAAGAAATCGATTTGGACCTAGTATAATTGATTACAGCTGAATGCATTTAAAATATATTCGAGAAAGTTAAATTTAAAATACTTATGCGAAGTAACTTGTATAGTAAGAAGAAACTTAACAGTTGTGAATTCGTCCATCTGAAAACAGGTAACCAAAAGTACAATTTTCAATGATCCATTCTATTTGCAACAAACTGACTCCAATGCAAACTTTCACAAATGAGGTAGTACAAAATATTCTTGACAGAATTTAAACATTTTGCATGTTTGTAACGTAACACTTACCCTGCCATTGCATGTTATGAATGTATCATTATCTTACTTCAAGTACCTACTCTATTATTCTTTGGCGTACTCTTTTTGATAAAAATTAAATAGCAGAAAAAATAACATAATAACATAATCATATAACAAACATTAAACCATGAATACTATAAATTGGTTTTGTAACAAGATGGCCACAGGATCTCTTTCAGACAACCACATAAAGGAAGTTATCAATCTATAAATAAAGACATTCACTTCGACCTATTAGATAGGTATATCGTCTTCGTCTATAGTCGGGTAAAAATATATATATATATATATATATATATATATATATATATATATATATATATATATATATATATATATATATATATATATATATATATATATATATATATTAAAGGATATACTTACAGATTGGTCCCATAGAAATTTTATCAATATCGGTTCAATAGTTTTAAATCAAAATAACAGATTTTGTCACAGTTTAAGTCGGTTTATTTTGTGAGAGAAAATCTTTAATAATTTGTCTGTATTAGTGAATTTTAAATTAAAATGATGTTTTTTTTATTATGGTACGACATGTGACCATAGCTTTCTTAGCAAACACAGATTATGATCTAAGGATATGGTTAACATGGTATATGATAACAGTCAGCTGAAAAGAAAATATTTATTTAGGCTTTCTAGTTAGTTATATTAGTACAAATAATACTGGAGCATGGTAATAAATAAATAATAATTACTGTTTAAAATTATAAAAAAATATTAATTACATATTTTGATTTCTTTTGAAATTATTATATAATGTTAATGATGATCAACATATCACAGTATCATTTATTTGTGTAGTCATTAGGCAATTCGAAAATATAAAGATACAGATATAAGAAAGACTCTAAACTCTTTCATCATGACCAGAACATCTGAGAAAGGCGTCGAGAGTCTTTGAAACCAGCTGAATATGAGACGAAATAAAAATTGGCACTCGGTTCTCTCTGCCTATAGCGTAAGGAAATTAGCATAAAGACAGATAATCTTAATTATTTCTACGTGTACATTATTCCAGAATTTCTAACAGATTTCGTCGGGAATATTAAGAATGACCTAATGTCTATTAGGTAACTAATTCGTAAACGCGTAGGATAAGAACGTTCAACGTTATTTTAGTAGCTACAAACACGTCCTATAGATGTGTTTCTTGCAGTTATTACGCAAATTACTATTTATCGGGTAATTATCTCAATTATAGTGCCAAGAACTACAACATATCGTCACAGAATATATATATCGAGGTATATATTTTCTACGTAACTATATAATATATCGTGACCCAGTAGTCCGAGATATTTTATAGTTACCTAAAAAATCTATACATCTCTGGCTATCTATACATTCTCCCAAGACACTACAACTCTTGAAATGAATTACCGAATAGTTGACAGAATTTTTTGCAAACTATAGTTTTTTTTTAATTTATGAAGAAGAGACCTAAGTCCGTCCGCGTCACTGTAATATGATTTCGGATAATATGTATTAAGATGAGAAAAGTTTTAAATAAAAGGAAGCGACCCGTACAACAGTGACTGGTGTGTGGTTACCTGTATTTTCAATCATATCATGTGGGTACTACATTTATATTAAAATAATAATAGGTATTATTTAGGTTTTCTTCATATTTCACCCTTTTTCTTCATTAATTGTAGAATTCTACTTCCTTTTGAATTGTCGTAGGAATACCTTACCTACATACATTGTTGTTATTTGTTATAAAAAAAAAACAAACCTACCTAAGTATTTATATAAGGTTGTAATAGGATGAGTATATACACATAATTTAACATTATAATAGATAATAAACATGGCACATTAGTGGCATTGTGAAATTAGACCTCAAAATTAATGCAATTTTATTTACACGTATTTGTATTAAAATCTGGTAATTGAATCATTTGACTATTTATTAACAAGTACCTCATTTATTAAATTTTTCTTTTAAAATACGTAATATACTACAAATTAAATATTACAAGTTACTGATCTCATACAACTTTATAGTATTTATAATAGTATAGCGTAAAAATGTAAATTGTAATATCTATATATAAAATAAGTTACATCTATAATTTTGATCGACTATATCCTTTATTTTTCACTAATCTTAATTTGTTTCAGTCACTTGGAAATCACGAATTCGATAATGGTGTTTCTGGATTGAAACCCTTCATAAAAAACGTGACATGTCCAGTTTTGGCTTCGAATCTTGATCTAACGATGGTACCAGAATTAGCAAATGCATCAAATTTAATGAACTCTGTCATTATCGATATTAAAGGAACAAAAGTTGGTATCATAGGTTACTTAACGCCTGATACAAAAGTACTAGCAATTAAAAATTACGTGAAATACATAGAAGAAGTAACTGCCATTAAAAAAGAAGTAGCAACCCTAAAAAAACTAGGAGTGGAAATATTAATAGCATTAGGACATTCTGGGTTCACGAAAGACTTAGAAATAGCTAATAAAGTTGAAGATATTGATGTAGTCATAGGCGGACATACAAACACATTTTTATGGAATGGCACTGTTCCTGATATTGAAAAATCTGAAGGACCTTACCCGACACTTGTAAAACAACATTCAGGGAGATTGGTCCCTGTAATACAAGCTTATGCATATACAAAATATATAGGAAAATTATATCTTGTTTTTAATTCAGAAGGAGAGCTCGTTAAATTTAATGGAAATCCTACACTATTAGATAAAAACATACCACAAGACCCTGATGTTCTGGCAATTGTTAACAAGTACCATGATGATGTATTGAAAGTAACAGAAGATGTTGTTGGTAGCACTTTAGTACATTTGGATGGACATTCATGTCGTCTACATGAGTGTAATATGGGAAATTTAATTACCGATGCAATGATATATAAATATGCTTCAGAATATAAAGGAGAGGGTTGGACAGACGCACCTATTGCCATTATTCAAGGTGGTGGAATAAGATCCTCAATAACTCATTCGAATACATCAACCAAAGTTACAAGGGGTGATTTGTTAACTGTCATGCCGTTTGACGGGATGATGGTGAAAGTAACTGTAAAAGGAACTGAAATCTTAAAAATGTTGGAGCATGCAGTAGCAAAATACAGAACAATACGAGCCCTTGGACAGTTTTTACAATTATCAGGAATTCGGGTTGAATATGACTTTAATAAGAGTCCTGGGCAGAGGGTAGTTAAGGTCTTAATCCGTTGTGGTATATGTCAAGTGCCAATTTATTTACCTTTAAATACTAGTAGCACATATAATATACTGATGCCTTCATTTTTAGCTATGGGAGGCGATGGCTTATCTGTTTTTGAAGGCCATTCTTTTAACACTTTAAATTACAATGAACTAGATGCTACAGAAAAGTATTTTAGTGTTAATAGTCCAATTTATACAGCGGTTGACAACCGCATTATTATTCACAATATAAACTCATTAAATTCTTATAACAAAGCAACAAATTACCAACCATCATTTTCATTTATTTTAATTCTATTAACAATTATTTGGTTTGAACTCCATGATTATTCGTAATTATTTTAATATTTATTTTTATTTAAAACATGTAAAATGGTTTTAAAAAATAATTCAGTCAAAATTATTTTTAATTCCATTTTATATTATTAACCTCGAATCTCATAGGCGTACACTTGTTATTATTATAACTTTATCATTATAAACATAACGCATGTATTCATTAACACTATTATTGGAGTCTAATAAATTCTTGTTTTTGCTTTTTATTTAATGTTATCATTTAACTTTATTTTTCTATCTTCTTTATTGCAAAACTTTACGTGAAGAGAACTCGATTATTACAAATCAACAACTGTGCATGATGTACTTATTTCCTTATGTTGAATTCCACAAGAATAAATGAATGAACTTATATTCCTGTTAAAATTCCTTATGTGAGTATGTGTATGAGTGTGTATTCCTATAGAATTCAACAAGGAAATAGGGCTTATACAAAACAAACCACATAACAAGGTTATACGAAAATTTCCAGAATTTTTACAAGATAGGTACTAAAGTATAGAAAGAAAGAAAGAAAGAAAGAAAGAAAGAAACTATGATTTTTTTACTCATAGATGTTTTTACTAATTTGTGGTAATTAATTAAATGCAAAATATTCATTTGAGCTGATCTATGCAGTTAGCCTGCTGAAAAAATATAATTTATGTCAATGTAAAGAACAAAAATGTAGAATAGGTTTTTTTTTTTTTTATTTTGTGTAATATAATAAATAAACCAACGAACAGATTATAGTTATATAATATGTAAGATATTGATATAGTTACAGGCGAACATACAAACAAACTTAATTTTTTATATATTCTAAAATTATTTTATTATATATATGAAATATTACAAAAGTCGAGATTGCATTTATCTTATACCCGCTTGACGATATTTGTTGAATATTACTTTTCTCAAATATAGCTTATTGAATTATATACCAGGTCACATTAAAGTAAGACTCACGTAATATCTATCATATTGTTTGTTTCAGTCCCTTGGAAATCACGAGTTCGACAACGGCGTCAGTGGACTCACCCCCTTCATAGAAAATTTAACTTCACCAGTTCTAGCTGCTAATCTTATTCTAACGAAAGTTCCTGAATTAGCAAATGAAACGAATCTTAAAAAATCTATTATATTAGATGTTTTTGGACAAAAAATTGGTATTGTAGGATATTTAACACCTGACACTAAAATATTAGCTGTAAAAAATGATGTTGAATATATTGATGAAGTTGTTGCCCTCAAAGTCGAAGTCGCCAATTTACAGAAACAAGGAATTAAAATAATAATAGGGCTTGGTCACTCTGGATTCGCTAAAGACTTAGAAATAGCAAAAGAAGTGGATGGACTGGACTTAGTTATTGGTGGTCACTCTAATACATTTCTTTGGAATGGTACAACTCCAGATACTGAAGAACCTCAAGGACCTTATCCAACGTACGTCAGACAATCATCAGGAAGGCTAGTACCAGTAGTACAAGCATATGCTTACACAAAATATCTTGGTAAATTGCATATGGTGTTTGACGCAAACGGAGAACTTGTCAGTGCCGATGGATATCCTATTCTTCTAGATAATTCAATACCGCAAGATCCTGAAATCGTTAATATTGTCGAAAGATATAGAGAAGGAGTAACTAGCTTATCGAAGCAGGTAGTAGGTTCTACAGCAGTTTTACTAGATGGGCTAAGTTGTCAAGACAGGGAATGCAATATGGGTAATTTAATAACAGATGCTATGATTTTCACAAATGCTGAAAACTATACGGGACAATACTGGACAGACGCCGCGATAGCTATTATACAAGGAGGTGGTGTAAGATCATCTATAGCACATCCGGTTTCTCCAGCAGCAGTGACAGAAGAAGATTTGATAAATGTTTTACCATTCCAAGGCTCTCTGGTACGAGTCACATTGAATGGCAATACCATAATACAAATGCTTGAACATGCAGTTGCAAATTACAGCCTCATAGATTTCCCTGGAGAGTTTTTACAATGTTCTGGTTTATACGTTGTATACGATTTTCGCAAACCGCCCCAGTCTAGAGTAATTTCAGTAAAAGTAAGATGTGCAGCATGTAACATACCAGAGTATACTAATTTAAATTCTTCGGAATTATACAATGTTATTATGCCAGATTTTCTTTTTAACGGTGGCGACGGATACTGGATGTTTAAGGAATTGCCGTTTAAAAATCTTAATTACAGTGAATTATATGTGACAAGACATTATATTAGACGTCACAGTCCTGTATTCCCCGAAGTAGCAGGCAGGGTAACTTTGTTAAATCTAGATGCATTAAAATCAAGTGCCTCAAACTCGCATATCTCAAAGCCGTCGATGTATCTATCATCAATATTGATATCGGTGATTGCTTTCAAAATACTATAAACTGTAAATACTAGTAGGTATATTTTACTAACTAGACCCGACCGGTTGTTAGTATGAAAGTTTTAATAAATTTAGAAATGTATTAATTAAAAATAATATTTGGAAATATTTTAAGGTGCATAATGTTCTGCAATCGGGAATCTAAAAATATTAAATTAATAAATGATAAAGAGGTTGAAGAATTTTCCACCTCATATTATCTATTTCTTGGACGTTACTGGGAGCGCACTTGGCTCAGATAACCGGGAGATATGAGAAGACTCAATTTTTCAGTGTGATATTTTTAATTAATTAAATTTTATAATTATTAAATTAAATAATTATCAAATACATTATAAAGTTTTAAAAGGAAAAACTGAAATTTTGTATAAATATTAATTGAGTCCTTAATAACCTATATAAATAAATATATATATATATCATTTATATAATAACATATCATTTGTGAACGGTTGGATCAAATTTGGCTGTTTTATTTTTTATTTTTATAATAATCCAACCTCAGTTTTGAGAGAAAGGAAAATTGGCACTTGCCCAGTCGAAAAACAAGAAATAATTTTAATATCCACTCTCGGTCATAACTAGCAACAAAAACGTCATATAATTAAAATTTAATGGATTTTTTTTTATTTTGTTTGTTTTTTCAAGTTTTTAAATTATATTACGATATCGAAGAGCAAAAATGAGGTCACATATACTACAATAATATACGTTAAAGAGCGTTAAAAGCATTATTAGTTGATCTCAAAGCTAAAACAGTAACACTATCACAGGGATAGAAACAGTATTGAGCTTAGAGTAAGGAAGTCGAATTAAAATTTGAATAACATCTGTCATGTTATTAAATCTTACTTTATAACATAAATCGTCCAAAAAAATATAGAAAGTAATAAATATCAAGCTATTTAGAATTAGACTTAGAATATAAACTCATAAGTAACGCATGCCGACCTAATAGCATGCTATCAAAAGCATAATATACGGCTGTGAGACATTTTCTTAGACTTTAATAAAGGATTAATTAATGTAAAATATAGTTATAAATTTTTTCAAACATTATATATGAATACACACTTTTAATATCTGAATTATCTTTGTTGTCTCTGCTGAAGCATGATTGCAAGAAGTCGAGTCCCGATACAAAAAGAGGAGTAGATATTATGTTTGAAGCCTTTTTCTGATATTTAGACAAAAACGATTCAAATTTTTATATATCATCGTACATAAATTTAATGGATTTTTGTTGAAATCTGGTTTAATCGTATATTTAAGATATTAAGTATTTGATAAAAATCTGTTTATTGTATAAGGATTTATTTGTTGTTATTTTAATAATTGTTTAGAATAACGTTATTATTGAAATATTATTATGCAAACATATCTTTTAAAATAAAAAGATAATGGAGTTTTCGTACTCAACGTCTATTTTCAATCCTTACACTTCACCTACCTACTTACCGACCTACTAAGATCATAAGCCTAAACGAATCTAAAAAATATAACCAATACGACTGAAATGTACTAAGTATTAATTAATATATAATAAGTATTAATTTTATAAAGTATGAAATAAGTTTACTGCAGTATATATACATGCACAAGGGAAACTTTAATGGACTCGCTGCTTGTCGTTTCAGACAATTGTAAAAATATTAAGACCCACACAATGTGTAAGGTGCAATAACTTGTAATTTGTATGTTATCACGAAAAAGTATTATACATTTTTATTTAATAATATAGGTATATGATCCAAGAACTAGCTTAGAATCACACATACACTTCATTCGAGATTATTAAGTGTTTATTAAATACTATGATGTGTAATGTAGATATTTTGTTTGCGTGTATGGCCAAGTAGTGTTATCAGTATTCCTACGTAGAAATAAAGTAATTTATTGTTAATATGTGTATTTTATTGGCATTATATCTACCTTTTAAACCACAGGAAGACTATATAAAAGTCGACTGCATGGGTACCTCTGTTCAACTCACAATTCTGCAGCCAACCAATTATATGTAATGTGCTTGGATGACTATATTTCGACAAAGAAAGGTAGGTCTTAAAAGCAGTAAAATTACAGGGTACGAGGACATAACATTGTCTTGGAGAATGGCAATGCATAACAAATGCTCGCATGTACTATGGTTACTATGTGCGTACCTGCTACATGCGTACATTCTGCAATATCCATAATATGTGTCTATAGACGATGATTGCCACGAACTTATTTGACTTTCCATGTTACATAAAATAAACTGAAAGAAAGACAAATTTTTGATACAATTTTGAAATAAGAAACAATTAAATATTTTCACGAGTTATACCAAAAAAGATTACTAGATTAATATTCAATATTTTAAAATTCTTTGAAATTAATTCATACTGTCTAAGAGTACAGTAAAACTAATAATATATAGTACCTAAGTACTTTTCTAAAATCTGTTATGTCCATGGTACTCCTCATGTCTGTAGGTGACGGTTACCACTTTCCATCAGGTGGGCCGTCAACTTGTTTACCATTCTAAGTAGTATAAAAAAACATACAGCAAATTTTTTAGATGTTCATTTTGTACTATTAAAATTTATCAATTTAAGCATTGTTTGTTTCATTTATTTCCCCTATAACACAATATTATTTGAAATTAATGAAAGAATAAAAAAAATAAAATTTCAGTAATTAAATATCCCCCCCCCCCCATATCTAATACCAAAGGCGAGTAATGAATAAATATCAAGGAATAATATTTAATATAGATACGATAATTCTTCTTACTCCGTAGGAGACGTGGCATGAAGATAGGTAGAACTCTAAAAAAATCTCAATAAGAAACTTATTATTTGTCTGTATGTATATGACAGGACATCTTCGCACGATTCTTAACCAATAACTACAGAAATCGTAATTTTTTAAGAAAATTTCTTTTTTAATATTTTAGTATTGAATAAAAAAGTAAACAGAGATAGGTATTTACATTATCAAATATTATCATAGAAAAAAAACCTAAAAGTACACCATCAATCCAAAACGAATATAGGATCAACACAGGGTAAACCCTATTCATTACAAAACATCATTGTAGAAATCAATGCAGAATTGACGACGTAATGACGTAACACAGCCACAAAAAAAAATAAGAAGAATTGAAACCCTCCTTCTTTATTGACGTCACTGAAAAAATATATTTTCCTACGATTGTGCACAAAGGCAAAGACTATGGTCGGCAATTGCTCTCAAACAAGGATTATCGAGATCGTATCGCTAAACATTTCATTAAATTGAAATTTCTATTAATTTTAATGTCGTATAAAAATTTTGTCAAGCATCTCTGCACTCCCTAACATTAGCTGCTAGAGAATGTCTATAGAATTAAATCCGCCTTGTGTACCACATTTTATTAATATTGCCCAAAGTTTAAATAAATAAAGTACATCATAATCTTCAAAAAGAATGTTCTCAAAATTTTAATAGATGAAAATTAAATAACAGTGCCAGTAGCGCCAACGGCACACGCTTCGAGAGTATCAAATGATAGGTGAGATTGAAATCAAACCAGTTGGCCTATCGTGGAAAATTTACCAGGAATTAATCACGTTAGTTTCCAATATGGCCGCGTCGAGAACAACCTGATAGAATATATTTATTATTTTATTTATAATCCGCTCCTTACTAGCATTCTACTGTATTCTTTTGTATGTTACACAATATCGTCGCTACTTCTACATTGATTTCGATAATTCTTTTTAAAATCGACTAAGTTACAGTGTTAACTCCAGTATTAATCCACATTCAATTTTAAAATAAAAGCTGTAAATTCGTTATTTCAAATTTAACTCAACAGACTGATAATTATAATATTTCTATTATATTAGGTCCTACATGTCAACCAAAATTCTTTATACCAACTTTAAAAATAGTGGCTAATTCTATAATTATTTTTTTCTTGCAGTCCCTTGGAAACCACGAATTCGACGAAGGTGTAGATGGAGTTGTGCCATTTATAAGGAATTTGACATCACCTGTGTTAGCCGCTAATCTTATATTGGATAAAGTGCCAGAGTTAGAACATGAAACAAATTTATATAAAACAATCGTATTAACGATAGCAGGAAACCGAATAGGTATAATAGGCTATCTAACACCAGAAACGAAGTTTTTAGCTCCAAGAAATAAAGTGGAATACGAAGATGAAGTTATAGCTATAACTAGAGAAGTTAATAAATTAAAGGAACAAGGCATAAACATTATTATTGCGCTTGGTCACTCGGGTTTCTATAAAGATTTAGAAATTGCAAAAAATGTTCCTGATCTCGACGTGGTTATAGGTGGTCATTCAAACACATTCCTGTATAATGGTAGAAGTGAAGAGAAACCAGAAATACCACAAGGACCTTATCCCACAATAGTAAAACAATCAACAGGAAAACCAGTGTTAGTAGTACAAGCGTATGCATACACTAAATATATAGGACAACTGTATTTGACGTTCAACGCTGACGGCGAAATAGTAAACCATGATGGAACACCCTTACTTCTGAATGAAGAAGTACCTAATGACCCTGAGTTATTACAAACTATAAACAAATATCGAAGTAACATCGATAGGTTAAACAGTGAAATAATCGGAGTATCTTCAGTCTTCTTAAATGGGGATTGTCGCTTAAAAGAATGTAATATAGGTGATTTAATAACTGATGCAATTCTAAACTACACCAGGCGATATTACAAAGAGTATTCAGATGCACATATATCTGTAGTTCAAGGTGGGAGAATAAGAGCATCAATAGATCGACCAGACAAACCTTTTAATTTGACCAGAAACGATTGGATGACTGTATTGCCCTTTTCTGATCCTTTAACAATAGTGACGATGAATGGAACTATATTAAAAAAAATGCTAGAACATTCTGTGTCAACGTGGCGTCTTATAGACAGTACTGGGCAATTTTTGCAAGTGTCTGGTATGCAAGTTGTGTACGATTTAGCTAAACCACCCGGATCTCGTGTTATATCAGTGAGAGCTAGCTGCACAAAATGTAAAGATATGGAATTTAGAGACGTACAAGACTATTATGAGTACAGATTATTTATGCCAAGTTTTTTAGCAGATGCTGGTGATGGTTATACAATATTTGATGGTCTTCCAAAAGAGCAAATTCAGTACACTGAATTAGAATGTGTTTTAGACTATATTCGACATTACGGTCCAATCAGTCTTGAAGGAACGGGACGGCTGACTATAAATAATGAAGATAAAGTTAGTAATGAGACATTTAACAAATTAACGGGTTCTAATAGTGTCTTGCTTTCGCCCAACATTAATATTTATTTTATAATTATTTCCATGTATTCTGTTTTATTAGAAATACTTTGAACTAAACAAAACCGCTCAACTGGTTTGTTTAAGACATAACATGTGATAATTGAAGGTGATTTACTTAAATAAAAATATTTTTTTAATGTACCTTTTTTATTTTGTTTAGGCATGATATCAAAAATTGCAAATATAAAAACTGTATATAATTTCTTAAGCTAGGTTAATTAAAATAACATATGTATTGGGTACTATAGGTATTTTAAATATATAGTCTTCAATAGTAACAATAGTTTAAAAAATAAAGAGATTTCTAATACCTACTCAATTATACGAGTAAAGATATAAACATACAAAACAATGTTAGCTAAAGAACTATAAGGCACACAAAAAAATAATCCTATTTCTAAACTGAATGTTTAACATTAGTCCACAAATATTAATAATTTGTTTTAAACATATCTAATTAAATAGGCAATTACTGATAAACACTAAATAATATTTGTATTAAGCGAAGTTTAAACCCACTACCTTTGATTACTTAAAGTTATTTTCGATCACAGGCGAGTAGGAAAAAGGCCATTATTAGGTAATAAAGTTATCAAGAATATATCGATGACTTAATTTCAGGTAATAATAACGAATTTTACAATTGTAACTTTTGAATCAAATAAGATACAAAATGAAACTTAAGATTCATGACAAATTTTCATTTACATGTCGTATATAAAATATAGATCTAAATCATAAAGGCAACACCTACAAAAACAAAGATAGATCAGCCGTATAGGCTTTGTAAACGGTCAAGACAACTCGGCCCAAATTCTATTACCCGTGCTTAAACTTAAACTACAATAAATGCGCATTTAACTCAAACTGCTTGATCGTTTATAGTCTCCATACAGCTCTAGTAAGATTTCAATTAACTGAAACTAATTAAATCATCTATAGCTAGTACAACTGAAATATAAGCCTAGAATATCCAATAAGTAAGTTTACTAGTTGTTTAAACAGTTGTTTTACAATCGTAATATTCCGACTTTGTAGCTTAACAATAACATAAACTATAATATAGGAAAAAAGGTAATAATGTATTAAATAATCATCTTCAAAAATAAGTCCCCGTGTATACACAGATGTAACACATGGGTCATTGTTACATAATATGCATAAACATAAAAAAAAACAAATTAATAACAATAAACACGATAACAAAATAGGCAAGAGATTTATCACTTAAAAATAAAGTAAATTCGATTTTTAAATTTATAAGTAAAAGTAATAAGAAGTAACATCAGTTCAACGATCAATAAAAGTGTGAGATTCACAGAATACTAATTGTTCCAAAAATTAATACTCATTACTCATTTGTTATAAATCCCTATCAACACAGTGTACGTAATCTACATATAATTCACCAAATAGAATAAACAATTTTTATAAAGTTATTAAGAACACAGAAAAATGGAATAACAATATTTGAAAATATTAACAATTGAGCGTTTACAAGGAAGTATGGCAACATCGTAATTATCTGTAAATTTTCAAAAACAATTAAATTCGGATTGTGCTCTGCTAGCGAACTAAAACGTTAATAATGTAATATTCTTATAAAATTGTATACTAAAACTTTGGATTTTGATAACAAACGATATTTAAAAAATTGTGAAGAAAAATATGAAGTAGGCGCATTGTCTTTAATAGTAGATGTAATATTATAGTAAATTATAATTATTACCTTCTTAGTTCGCTAGCAGAGCCCTTTTAAAATGAAAAGAAAATTTGAAAAATAACGTTTTTGGAAATTGACAGATAGCGGCGACGTTGCCACACTACAGTAAAAAAAATGAACGCTCTTAAGCTTTAAGTTGGTACTGAGTAGGAGGTTTTGCACCCCACTCTACTGAAATGGACAAATCGTAAGGTACAAGACCAGTAAATATTTGCAAACATTGCTTCAGTGTTTCTTGGCAGTCAGCTAATTCAGTACATGGTGCATACGGCTCTAAACTCTCAGCGAGTTCACATAAAGGCTTGTATAACTTTATCGCTGTGTTAATATCGCCTCTCTGTAGTTTTTCAATTACATCTGAACTCAACAATTCCTTTTTTTTCTTAATTACTTTTAGAGGTAAATTTAAACCACTGTCCATTTGAAAATATAAAGGCCACCTATCAACACAAGCTTCACAACAACAGGTGAATTTGTATTGAAATTTAAGACTTCTTTGCCGTGTCACATAATCTTGGAGGGCATGGTGAGAGCTGAAAAGTAAATATTTTTATTATATAATTAATTTCATATAATACAAACTATCAAACATGGGCCAAACACCACTACTGCCACCTAGGGCGAAAAGAGTGTGTGAACCTGAAAGGTGGTTTTTTTTAATGAATGAGAATGGAATGGTAACCCTGCCTGCATTCACGGTATACACTGGCAGGACACCAGCGAAGGATAATAGGTGAGGATGAAACTGGCCAGTTGGCATATCATGATTAACAATAAATCAATTACAATAGTTTACAGGGGGAACCGCATGGAGGTCAACCTAATAGGGTATATTGCTAGCAATGGGAATGTTAATTCCCATTACTACCAATCCCCTCTCCCCCACCTGTAAGGTGGTTGTTAACCTTACCAGGTCGACTTCCATGCGGTTCTCCCTAAATACTATTATGATTGATTTATTCTTGAAATAATCACAATAGGCCAACTGACCTGCTTCATCCTGACCTATTATCCCTCACTGGTACCCTGTCAGTGTATACCGTAAGCGCAGGCGAGGTAACCATTCTATTACTATCCATTAAAAAGTACCGCAACTTATAGAGTCCAAATTTTTGACCTTGATAAAATCTATCCTATTTCTATTTGACAAGTCCAAAAAAATCCGATAAATGTTTCTAATATAAACTTACTTAAAAAAAAACTATTTACTTACTGTAAATTTTTTTTTATATATTAATATGACATCATTTTTACACTTATTATTAAAAATTGTCATACTACTGCTACTACTTATACGAGGTTGTCGCTATCTGATGTTCAAAATATCTAACCACAATATTATACACACAGGCCAATGCATGCTTATTTAATTTTATATTAAATTTATATGAAGTGTATAAGAAATTCATCCTCTCCTGGTAATAGGTGAGTTAATTCATCCTTACCTACCTAAGCTAATTCATTCCTTCATCACTCACTGTTACTCTATCAATAAAGATAAGCTTACATACCCATAATTATCGAAGATTTGCATTCCCTTTTTTATTGGTCTCAGTGCAATCAGTGACATGAGTGTGCTGCCCAATTTATTGATTCGAACTACATTAGGAGAACAGGAGTGGTTTAATAAACTATGGTATGCATAAGCTCCACTAGCAATATTTATTTCATCCACATAGTTGCCATTAGCAGATTGTTTTGTGGATTCAATACCATGCATGTTGATGGGAACTGTCATAATATGGTGCAACAAGTTACCAGCCACACATTGCTTAGCTTTTACTTTCACATCAATATCCTCACTATCCAAAAAGTTTGTATATTTAAACAACATATCTAAAAATACAGCAGCCGTGACAGATTTCTGAAAGATATCTGAGATAGATCTCTTGTCAATATTACTTGATAAAGTATGAATTGATACATAATTTTTAGAATCATACACCCATTTATCATTTACTTTAACATGACCTTTATATTCCAAATTGGAATTCTCAGCTTCTTCTATTGTCTTGAATAAATCAGTCCAATTTTTATGTTCATTTCGAGCTTTTATGACAGTTCTGAGGGCAAGCCATTCAAGTTTTGTGAATTCCATATGCAACAACATAGGCATTAATGAACATTCAATTTTATGATATTCTTTCCAAGCATTCTCTCTACAAGCTTCACTACAATATAAAACATAGCAACACTTATGACAGGGCAACAAATTCATACTTCTAGACAGACAATAATTGCAACAGACCAAATACTGTGAACTCAATAGGATTACCAAGTATGGCTCCTCTTCAACTAATACTTCACCCACTTTTATATCTTCTTTTGCAACAACATGCCGACCCATTTTTTCATTATAAACAACTTCCAATTTTGCACTTGCACATACATATCTGGGGTCTTTGGGACCTTCCAATGAAAGAATTTTTTTAATTTCTGGGTTCTCTTTATGTCCATTTTGTTCATTTTTGTTTACTAGATTATTGAGACAGGTTTCCTTTCTTTTAATTAATTTGTTGTTTAGGTTGGCTGGAAATTCACATTTAAATACTTTTTCAACATCTTTTAAACATTCATCATATTTCCTTAATGACAAAAATACTGCAGATCTGTTTGATAAAGCTACACTGTAACACACTGATCCTATTGGTGCATATAACAGTGACAAGTTATAATACTGTAAGGCTGTATAGTTTTCTTTCCTTCCATAGTGCTGGTTGCCTAGGAGACGGTAGTGTAAAGAAACATCCTCAGACTTGGATACAGATATTAGGTCTGGAAAGGCATCTAAGCTGCCTAAAATTCCATAAACATACAAAACTCTCTCATCGTTTTGTGTAAAAGATAATAATTTTTGTGAAATTTCTTTTATTCTATTGTCAGCAGTTAATTTCGCGATTACGCTTTCATAACAACTATCGATACTCATTTTTGTGGTAATATCGATTAATTGTGTACTTGCATATCAGAGAAAATGTCCCACTTTGCGACACCTTTTATAGTTGTTAATTTAGGCTGTGAAATGGTGTATGTGATTGATCAAAGATTAAAGGCGCAAAACATAGGAGCTGACAAGTCCGAGAGAGGTTAGTTTCTCTTCTGTTTCTGAAACTACAGAAAGCTGAGGTTAGGTCTTAAGTAAAAATTTGTGATTAAAAATAGTAATTTATTTACAGTACTCACTGATGTGGTAACAGTGTTACTACATCCGAAACTCCTGGATGAGTTATTTATACCGCAACCTGTGGCCACCCACGTCGTTATTAAGCAACTTCTTCAAGACATATCAGCTACATCCATCATGAAACTCGACGATTATTCCATGAAAAAACTATGGGATCTGATGACAATGATTGTAAAGTGGCAAGTTTCTGTAGCAACAAATAAAAATATTTTTGACATAACAAGACGACATTTAAAAAATGTGGCCACTATCATGCCACAATATTTCCCAACATGCATTATAGAACAAGCAATGAGAAGGTTTCAATCCTTAGCACAACGATTTACAGATGATGATTATAAGTGCATAATTAACACATTAATTCTTTGGTTTTCAGAATATCACACAAAAATTTCCGTCTTGATAAGATTAGGTTTACAAAGAAAAGACGGCACTTTTAATTTGCCATCGACCATTAATCCCAAAATATTGCAAAATTTGGGTGAAAACATATATATATACGACTGTAAAAAAAATCCGATCGATGAATACGAAAGCAAATGTGCAGATACAAGTGAAATAAGTTGTCTTTTAGCTTCTATGGAAAACGTTACACCTAAACAAGCTATAGTTAAAATTCAGTTGCCAATAGAATTTGGAGATAGCCAGTCTAAAAAACGTACTCTGGAGATATCTTGTGATACACAATTTGAATCTATAGCCACTAACAGAAAAATAACGACAACCGATCTTACCTTTAATCCTAATATACCAAGTACACCACAAGAGGATCTTCTACAAATGTTAGAAGAAAATAAATAATATAACCACAAAAACTGTAAAATGTTTTAAAAATTTTAGTTTAGTTAATATAAAAATGTTGTATAATATATAAATGCCGTCTAATTGGCAATTTAATTTAACTGGTAACACTAAGAAAATTATTGGTATTTCCACATAATACATAATTTTTTTTATTACTTTCCATTTAATACCTGGAAATACTTCGTTTTTGCGCTGCCCCTTGATCTTGATTATATTCTTATAATTAATGAATTCTAGAACTTTTTTTTATAATTTTAAAGTACGTATGTTAAAAATAATATATTTTTAATATTTTACTAAACATGAAAAGAAGAATATTTTAAAACAACAGAGACTAATTTTCCAGAGGAAGCCTGGCCCCTTATAAATGCCTATATGTGTCCTTTAGACATATTTTTTACGTATAAAACTATATAAATGAGACAAATTATTATGATTTTAATTAAAGAACAATATCCAATGTAACAATTACTTTATTTTATGAAAGAGAACAAGCCAAACGTACCCACCAATTACAGACCCGTGACAGAGCCTTTTTGGAGGGAATTCTCCTTTTTTTAAACCACAGACTAACAATTTTAATTGCTATATATTACACAAGTCTTTACAATAAACTAATTTATTGTAAAGACTTGTGTTTACTGTAGAGTTGTGATATTCTTACCAAAGGGAGACTTTATACAAAAGTCAATTGCTTGGGTACCTCTGTCTCATTCGTGTTTCAACCGTTAAGCAGTTGTGTTTGCATGGCTGTTTCGGTTTGAAGGGTGGGATATGGTGTGAATTTACTGGGTACGAAGGAATAACACCTGAGTCCTCAGGAATGGCAACGCATGGGTGGTATCATGGGCGAAACAGTACTGTTATGTTCATGATAGTGCTCATGTCTATGGGCGACGGTTACCACTTTCCATCAGGTGGGCCGTATGAAACAACGGCTACCCTGTTGTCGAGTCCCTAAGTTGGTCTCCGATAAAGGCGAGATGCTTAACTACAGAAACAATGACACGTAGAGTACCTTCTACGTATTTGTTATCATTCATTTGTTTATAACAATACATCCCGTATAAAACTTGTTTTTTTTTTAATGGGTGATAATGGAATGGTAACCCCACCCGCGCTATCAGTATACACCGGCGAGGCACCAGGGAAGGATGATAGGTGAGGTTTGAAGCAGGTCAGTTGGCCCATCGTGACGAATTCAACAAGAATCGTTCACGATGTTTTCCAGGAGGAACCACGTGGAGATCGACCTAATAAGGCATATTGCTAGCAATAGGGCTGTTAAACTCCACTGCTAACAATTCCTTTCTCGCCAAGTGTAAAATTAGTAGCTTCTTTATTTTGGAGCTTAGGGGAATTCCTTAAAAGAACTGTGAAACGAATACTCGTGCGTGTCGTAGTGATCGTGAAATGTAAAATTATAATTGAGTTAAAGACTAAATCATCTAGTTCAGAATTTTAATTATATAAAATTATTATTTAGTTATTAAATTTGTTCCTTTAAGATTCTTGTTTGTTATATCTAATACTATTTTATCTGTGCCATGACATGATGATATTTAGTTATATATTCCAGAAATTGCAATCTTTCTGTATTATAAATTTTAGGAAACTAACTGTAAATTGAAATGATAACTACAGTTTATTCAAAAATACTTTATTACAACGTAAATTCCCTATACATGTATAGGATAACAAACACAAATTTTTAATTGCGTACAATATCATAACTATATCAGACTTTTAACTCGACATTCTCGAGATTTATTTTATTTTATTTTTTGGTAAAAATGTGTGTTTGTATGTTATTAAGCAAAACATACAAAATTTAATAAGTATAAATACTAACTAGTTAAATACAATATTTGCGTGACTTAATACCCACTGGGGTATACTGATAGCTTGTCTAGTTTTCTCACGTTACATAAAGAGACAATGTTAAATTGATAAATAGTTTTTTTTTTTCATGTATAGACTCCAAAAATATTATAGAATATTAGTCATCACTTATTATATTTTGTATAAGTTTAATCATAATGGATATAATGAGCCTAAACCTGGTGTTAATATTCATGAAAATTAATAATTTTCCCCAAAAAGCGAAGTCGACATTTTATAGTTTTAGAACATCGTACCTAGGGCAAGTCACGTGATTGAATTAGAATCAAAGATTCTATTTTGAAATTTCAACAAAGTTATACACTATACGTCTTGGATTTCATCTTCCATTTCCATTCAGTACATTTAAAGTAAGTACTTAAGCACTTGCCAAACAAATTAAATTATATTTATTCTAATTTGATTATTCTATAAAATCTTTTACTTCAGCCAAAGACTAGATGTTAAAACTTATTTAATAAACAAGAAACCATAATTCTTTCGATAATTATTTTATTTACGTTTATTTGTAAAACTCAATAAATTAATGATTGTCTTACCCAAAACAACCTCTTAAAATTTTAAAGAAGTATGAGATGACTCTATTTAAATTGTTGGGACAGCGATATCAAATATTAATAATTTTTACAACTTCATGGTTCATTTTTCTTAACTGTATGCACAGATATTAAAATGACAAAGCTTGTTTACGAAAAAAAAAACGAACTTTGTCCAAACAAAGTGTAAAACTATTATACCTAATTTTTGTTTCAATAATATTGTTATAGAACCTTTCGATTACAAAAAAAAAAAAAAACATGAAAATCGATCCACAATTAGTGAACACATCGCATAATAAACAAAAAAAAAAACCATTTGAATTAAAAATCCTCCAACTCCAATTTTGGGGTTAGAGTTTAGAAGATCATATTTATATTTTAATATTAAAAACTAAAAAACAAATCCGTCACAATAATTATTTACATAGCTTATGTCTGTCATCATAACGCTTTGACTCAACACATTATTATACTACTCTACTCAATACAAAGATACTCCTTTTTCTTAAAAAAAAAATAGTACTAAATGGAGAGGTAATAGGATTTAACAAAGGTTTTGAGGCTACTGAGAGTTTGAGCGCACCGAATAGAGGGGAATAATATATATTGATAAAAATATTGAAAAACAATTTACTTACAAGTTTTTTAAGTTCGTGCGTGACGATATTAAATAACAAAAGTGCTTAGGGTTATTTCATTCTCCTCTTATACAAATATTTTAAATTTCTATACCCGTAACACTTCTGAGCAAAATGACTGGCAACAAATTATAATCAAAATACGCTAGTCTGACATATTATAATAAAAAATGAGAACAATATTGTATTAGCAGTATAGTATTACCAGATAATAGATACCAATATGCTACACTTATTTATAAGTGGCTTATACTGCTTATTATAATTCAAGCATTTATTGTTTTTAAACTATTTATATTATCTATTTATTTATACAAATGAAAAGAGGCAATACAATGGGAACTAAGTTAAGCCCTATTTTAACTAATATCATAAAGTAATAGTACTCTAATACTGTAATAATTAAAACAAAGAGGTAAATATGTTGTGTAATTGAAAAAAAATTATAGATGCTAAGTTTTCGCAAAGTACGTTAATAATGCCCAGACTATTCTTAGTGACAGCATTTTGCTTAGTTTTTACAAATGTTATAATTATTAATTATACAATATTTTACATTCGAAATTTCAATATGCATTCTCACAAAGTATATAATTTATGAAAATAATCTTTGTCAGTTTAACAGGGTTTTTACAATATTATTTTATTAGGACTATATATCAAATGTGTCATTACATACTTTAAATGATGGTTTTAATTGGCTCATCATCGTCACTCAGTTAAAGAAACTCTTCATATATTTTATGTATGCAAAAATCTAGTGATCTGCTACAAATGTTTATCCTATATTCTCAGACATGATTTTCAAAATACATATGTAATCTAAACCAACTATGTACGCATTTATTATGAATATAATAAATTGTTCTTAGTATGTACATTCAAGAGATATGATCCTATATATTATAATAGTGCAATAACCCCTAATGTTATAGTCAATAGTTAGTAACAAAATCTGTTATTTCTACTGTCTGTGTGTACATTCTTTAAGAAATGTTATTTTGTACAAATATTGCTTTCTCATTTTTACTAAATTTGTAATTAATAATGAAATTAAATTAGTGTTACTAAAAGAAAATATGAAATATTACTAAAATAATAAAAAAAAAAACTAAAAATTTCGATGCCAGAGCTCTTACTAGTTGAGCTAGTACTTCACTAGATACTCAACACCAAATCATTACTCCCATGCATGGCAAAGAAAATACAATTCAAACAACACCCTATTCGGAATTTTTCAATCACAACAATTACTGTAATATGATTTTAATATTTACACAACAATTTACAATAAGTAAATTGCCAAACGTCTAATAATAAAGGTTTAAAAGAAAATTATTAGACTAGTTAATATGTGGATGAATTCACTTGTCTAAACAACGGTTGCAAGTGCTATAAACCAAACGCTGGGAAGCTGGAGTGCATTGTGGTGGTATTGGGTGAGAAGCTCTGGTCCGGGAGAAAGCTGGCATCACCGTAGACGGGCGCGGCAGGGCCAGACGCGTATGGGCTGCGCGACCACGTCCGGGACCGGTTTAGTTGTTCCGGCACCGGACTTTGGGGCGGCGGTTGCTCCGGTATCCGGATTTGACCCTTCTGCTGCATCCGTGATTGTGCTAAAATAATATTATATTATTTAACAAATTTTTATCCTTGACCATATCTTTGTAAATGAAATATATTACTACTACCACTTATATGAAGGTATCACTCTCTCGATTCAAGAATTTCTAGTCCAATTACTTTTTTTTAAGAAATATTTATTTGCTTTAGACAAACATTTAACATAATAAAGGTCGCTTTTTGAAATCTGTTTAATTGTCTTGAAATTGTAGGCATTCAAATGTAATGTATTAATTAAATAAGGATATAAGCACTAATATAAGTGATTATTAAAATTTAACAAAATTAAATTAAACCAATAAATTTGAATAGGTACATGGCCAATATTGTCCAATAAGATTAATAATTATATTTTATACGTCCTACCAATAACAAATTACAATCCATGACAAGTTTCAAAGTATTACACGTTATACAAGGAGGCCTTTTAAGTGGTTTACCTTATTACGTGTCAAGTTATATTGAAACAGCCTGTTTTCTCTATACGAAGTACTACATACAAGCCAAATTTTATAACGATTGGTTGAGCCGTTAAGACGTCAAGAGGGTTAGCACTTTCATATTTATGACGCATCCTCACATTTTCATATTAATAAAGTTTATAAGGATTGTCTTATTTTATCACACGATCACGTTGTTCTTATGAAGAATCAATTTGTCATCTGTCTCATCGTAAAAGTAGCTGAGTTTCATTAATATTATCATGATTTTTATACGAGTCCTTAACATTAAGTTTGTTAGCATTTAGGATTAATCTGAGCTGTTACTTATTCCAAAATTGAATGTAATATTCTTACCATATAAAAATGCAGCGGCAACCGCAGCGACAGTCACCAACGTAGACAAATAAGGTTTCAGTAACGTAAATATGGCTCCAAGCAGGGTCCCACACGCCACCTCACACTCTCTTTGGACTTCTACTCGTAAATCTTGCGCAGTTAACTTCGACCGCACATTCACCCATCCGACACCACAAGCAGATGCTTCGCTTTTAACTATTACATCAATCTCGCCGTCTTTAGTACGTGTTTCTAGTTTAAGGCCGGGGGAGGTGTTCATTTTGACTAGTTTCAGAGCGTGTGGATGACCAGAGATAGTGAAGAAGGCGGGAGGATTCAGTAATGAGACTTTAGTGTGTGAGAGTTTGATAAGAGGCAGTAGAAGCACTCGTGTACAAGTGCGGGCGGCATCCCATTCAGCGCATAATTCGATTTCAGAGGAATCTATGATCGGTGTTGCTGGTAAAATAGAGCAGCCAAGTTCACCTGTAAATAGAAGTAGTAAGTTTATTTTTCAAATTTAGAAACCAGTACTAAATAGTTAATGATTTGTATACAAGTTATTTCTACCACTATATTTTTGGTACTCTTATCGTAAAAAAAGAAATTAGTTACTCACCATTAATAATATCCAAAACGGCTTGTGCGGTGTGAGGCGCTTTCGTTCGACATGTGAAGGGTAGCTCGACTTGTATGCCTTCTAATGCATATCTTTGGTCTTCAGAACAAAGTAGTGGTCCAGAAGTGAGACCTTCTGCCTCGATGATCAGTGGAACCATCGCCGATGGCCATTCGCCAGGTGCGAACTCCATCTAGACATTTGTAAAAGTGAAATATATAACAAATTAATGGGGAGAACTATTCAAAAATATTGTGTTCTAAGCGTTGCAAAGATTGGCCACACGGGGGTGGTATTTATTTGTGACTTTTAATTTACAGTCATTATGGGAAAGATAAGTATTTTTGGACAGATAGGCATTGAAACTGTAGACATGAATACTACAAACGTCACAGAATTCAGTGAATTTGTTTACGAAAACATAGCACTCCGTTCAAAATCTAAAGAATTAAAAATGTGTGAGTAAAAATATTACAAGGTTTTGAACCAGAAATATAATAATTCTCTGGTTGAACCACTAATAAAGATGTTTCCTCTCAAACATAAACAAAATATCATATATATCAGGATATCTAAAAATACAAAAATGTAGCTACATACCTTGGATATAGGTAATTGGTGTATAGTCCTAGCGGTTGGCGGACGGTCAAGCCGCAACGCGACAGTGGCTCGGTGCGGGCGAGCGGCCCACAGCACTGCGAGCGACACGCCCGCGCCCGCGAACACTCGCACCGCACCCGGCTCGCCGCGCCACCCGACGCCTTCCAAGCACACGCCCCATCCACCGCAAGCTGTAAGTAGATCCAATATGATAATCAATATACAAAAAGGAGGGGGTTGTTATTAACAAGAGCTAACAAAACAAATAGCCAGCAATATACCCTGTCAGAACTTCTCGCAGACAGACAGATAAAATTCAAACAACGTGTTTTAAATGTATAAACTAAATGCAGATAAAAAAAAAAAAAAAAATACCAAGAACGTTATCAGCACGGGGATCAGGCCCGGCTACCCACACTTCGTCGCGTACAGTCACTCCTCCTTCAGAGCTCTCGAACGTCATCAATGCACCAGTCGTCTCCAATCCTGATATCACCAGCTCGTAACCCAGTGCACTACAACACACGTCATACTTTACATTAAGTTAATATAAGACAACTATTGCTTTCTGGTCTAGGCATAGACTGGGCCACCCCTTAATGGTCGAAAGATGTATAGGAGTGCCCCTCTTTAAACATCAGCAAAACTTAACAGCACTTGCCAGTCCGCCTGCCAAGCGTGCCAACTACTGGCAAAACTCTCCTTATGGTGAAGGCATAACCAGTGGACAGTTAAAAGCCGATATGACGAAGATAATTACATTAAATTATGTGTTAAATGTTGTGAAAACGTTAAAAAGAGATGTGCATTAATATTGTAATATATAAAATGTTTATTATATCACTATGCAATATGCTGTTGGTGTTCCCGTTAATAAATAAATTATATGTTGTGTTATGATTATTTATAAGAGCCAATTCATTTATCAGAATCAAATATGAAATATTTGAAAACAAATTAAATGTTACTTTTCAAAACGTAATGCATATAATACGCTATAATGACTAGTTATTCTTATTTATAGACTATTACAACAGCAAAAGACAACGGTAATGGTAATTTACTAGTGAAAGCAATGGAAGACAAAAGTGATTAACTTTACTCATATTTCAAATTACATATTAATTAGAGTTGTATAATTATATGATAATTAATTAAACCAGCAAGCATTGTTTTGCTTCCTATAGCCGTCTACCCGGTTCATTTTGCTTATCAGGATAAAAACTATCCTATCTCTCTAGTTTCAGCAAACATACAGATAAGATTTTTATATTAAAATTGACCACTATATGGTTTTCTAAACATATAATAATGTCGCTTGTGCTATCGGTATATGCTAACAGGTTTTTACTATTTGGGTTGATAGTCTACATTTAACTAGTCAGTGATACAGACTTTTGAAAACCAATAGCTACTTCAATAAAATACTAGAAACGCACCCCGGTTTCCTACGGGTGTATAGATAGAATATTAATTATTAATTTCAAATTAAAAAAACTACAGCCTATATTATTTCCTAATAGTGTAGCTTTCTATAGGTGGAAGAATTTTTAAAATCAGTTAAGTAGTGTTTAAGTATATCCATTACAAACAAAGCATTTAATATTTTATATTTAGCTTTTTTTAATATTATATAAATGGAATACCAATTTGGTTTTTGGGAACAAGAAGAAGTCACACGGGGCCAAATCCGGCGAAAGGGGGGGTGTTCGGTCACCTGTTAATGGAATTTTTACTCAAAAACTCACGGACAACAAGGTGGGCAGGGGCATTGTCGTGGTGATGTCTATAGGCGCCCCTCTCGCCCAAATTACTGCTTTTCATCACCTGTCTGACCGTTAAACGACGGTCCCCATTAACACAAGTTCTAATTCTTTCCACGTTTTCGTCGGAAAAAATGTAAAGGACGTATGAACGGGGTCATCTTGAACGCTTTCTCGGCCTCTCTGAATCTTTTTAGCCACTTGCGGACACGTTGGTTCCTTCACAGCATCATCCCCATAAACTGTTCTGAGATCGGCAAAAATTTCACGCATTCTTGCCGAGTTTCGAGAGAAACTTGATTACGACGCGCTGCTCTTCAACGGAAGCGGGCTCCATGCCGACCGGTTTCGTTGTACACAGATGGGGACTGCTGCTTCTACCGCACCGCCTGCATCAGACCAGAAGCTGACATCATTGTTAGGGACATACTTATCAATTACAGGCCTCCCCACTCCTCTTTCTCGCATTCCAGAACACTTTTATACGAACTTTCCGGACAGACCTCGTAGGTGGAAGAATTTTTAAAATCAGTTAAGTAGTGTTTAAGTATATCCATTACAAACAAAGCATTTAATATTTTATATTTATAATATTATAACATATAAATAGAAAATGCATGGAGAGAAAGACGAAACAACATCAATACGCTCATGTTTATAGGCGACAGTATGGCGCTTTTCATCAGGTTATTACTAACACTAAATAGTACTAAAAAATGTATGAAATATAGACCTGTATAGGTCCATCTCCATGTTGGCGCGGCCTTGAAAACCATCGTTGGCTAAATTCCAGGTGTATTCATCACGATGTGCTAACTGACCTGCCTTTTCATTCTCACCTATCATCCCTCACTGATACCCCGTAATCGTATACAAATAGGGCAAGCAAAATTCAAATCCATTATCACCCATTAATGCACAAAACCTATTAATTATGGTGGTTTATATTAAAATTTTCCACCTTAATGAGATGAGAATGAAAAACCCTGTTAGTTATCATGACATTTCTAAATAACCATGTTTATTTGATACCAGCTAGAACCGCGAGCCTTAGTACCTTTACATCAATTTCTACAATGGGATTCTCATTCCATTACTAACAATTCCTTTCCCCCCAACGAACGAGCCAAAAAGTAACAAATTTTAATATTGACAATATTTTTACATATGTTAACGTATTTTACTTCAACCATAAAACGTAAAAAAATTAAACAGATTTACATGAATTATATAAAACTAAATTAAATGACACTTTGTTCACAGGATTATCAACTTACCGTTTCTCTATAAATATTGTTTCTCTCGTCCTTATGTTGCGCAATAATAACACCATTGCCAGGTCGCAGCGCCTTCAGTTCACCATTGGGACTAAGTTCGAGAGCCCCATCATCATACAATTTCCATGACCCTCTTGGTAGCGATTTCAATTGCAATGTAGCTCCTACAGCAATTGCTAGGCGTTCACCCGTTGATATATCGTTCGGGGAACCTTCCACTGAAGCACGAATGTCCGATATGCCCAATATTTCAATAGTACTATCCCACGACCGGGTTTCTGCGACCTGTTTAAATATAAAATTATGTTATAAATGTAGTGCAATACAATATATAATTTATTCTATGTTCCAATCCTCATTTTAATTTTATCAATGGCATTGATTATATTTTATTTCTGTTATGTTAATTTACAATTAGGCAGTTTATGATGAAATTAAAGTAATTCATACTACGAGTATTTTTTTTTTTTTATACAACAGAATGCCAAACAAGCTAACGGCCCACCTGATGGAAAGTGGTAACCGTCGCCTATAGACATGAGCGGTGCCATGGACATAACAGAGTATACTGTTTCGCCCATGATAACTCCCATGCATTGCCATTCCTGAGGACTCAGATGTTATTCCTCTGTACCCTGTAAATTCACGCCATATCCTACCCTTCATACCGAAACACAGCCATGCAAACACAACTGCTTCACAGTAGAAACAAGAATGGGACAGAGGTAGTCAAGCAATCGACTTTTGTACAGTCTTCCTCATTAAAAACTTATTTAAAAAATACTAGAGTCACAAGCAACCGAAAGCATTGGGAATAGCCTATTCCATAATTTTAGACAATTTTATGTAGTATATTACCTCACAGGGGTGAACATATTTTTGTTATTACTATTAATGAATTTAATTTCAGCCTATACAACAGAATGTTTACTAAAACATATTTTATTAATTCAAACTCATTACCTGTCCCATATTTCTGACTCTGACGTCAATTGTTATAACACCTGGCTTCAATGGTACAACCCTAACGGCTATACCCTCAGCAACTTGTCTCTCAAGCATGTCTGTAATATTAATAAAAATTGTGTTATATTTACTTTACTCCATCATAAAATGAAGACGAAGCTATATGGAATATATGGAGTAAATTTGAGATGTAAAAGAAAGATTTGATGTTAGAATAGTTGTAGTAGTGCAAGTTCACCGCGCAGCAACGACTGCAAGTAATTAAAACGTATTAGTCCTTCTAGCCGGATTTAATAACACATGAGGCATTACCGTCTGCATGTCCGGCATACAGTCTAGCAGCTGCGGGATCACGAAGGGTCCAAGCGACGCGTGGCGGCGGCTGAAGCGCTTGCAGCGCAGCAGCTGGTAGTCCGTCGGCCGCTAGCCACAGCCCGCCTGGCGAACCCACTAGCAATGTCTGAGTCGCTGCTCGCACACGAAGTCCCGTAATTGGCACCACCTGCATACCATTTCCCAATTTTACTTTTTAATTATAACAGAAGCAGTGCACCACAATAAATAATGTGAAAATCTTAATGCATGGTACTTATTTCTTACTAGTGCTGGCAACAAAACTGTCATCGTTTATCTAACATATGACATCTTACCTCAACTTCTGCTTCAGCGCTGGCTATTTCGACGTTAGCTATATCGACTGCAACTAAGATTACGCGCGCTTTACCAGTTGAGAGACCATGAACAGATCCCGTTGAAGAAACCTGTAAACAAAATAATGTAATTGATGAATGTGAATGATAAAATATGATAAATTTGTAATGGGAATGGCATAATTAAATAATGGATTTTTAATTTTGTAAATTATGAATAAATGATCTATATTATATATTAATTGTATTGCACAGGTTAATAGATATTTAAACGAACCTTACAGTAGTAATAAATAAAATCACAGTTAGTGTTATAAATAAATGTAAACAATGCTGAATATAAGTTTGTTGTTCGTGGGCCAGCAGAACGCCCGGGACTTCTGACTAGGTCGTCACGCGAAGCGATTGTCGGTCCTTTTATTTTTGAATTCGTTTATATAAGTAAAGTTGATTTGGTTAAATCACAGACTTTTTGTTTTCTTTATTTCACATTTACAAACAAAATTATACATAAAGCGATTGTCGTAGGCTAGAAAATCTACTAGATTTATTGATTCTAGTTTTACTCCAAGGATCAGTTTATATGCATTCTAAGCCAAATTAGTGGCGTAATAATATACAATAGTTTTGTAAGTATGTTGTAAGGTCAGATGACCTATCATGACAAATTACTGGGATGACCGCATGTAGATCGAACTGATTCCTCCATGTCTTCCTCCTCCTAAAATAAAGCCCTAAAATAACAAATTTAAGACTTACTTCGAGACAATTCTGCGACGATCGACCGGCGGTCGCGAGGCGATAGTGCGTAGAAGCAAGGTGCGACGGAGGTCCGCCCGAGCGTCGCAGCTGCAATCGTGCGCCTGCAGGGATGCGAGCCGTCGCCGGCACTATTTGGAGCGGTGGGAATACCAGCACCTGCACCAATATAAACCAGCAAATAAACAACTTATTTCCACAAAACATTTAACTAGGTATGCTTTAGTGTAAAATTTATACTATATTTTTTTTGTAAAATGTGACTTTTTTTATTTTTTATACTCAAATAGAGAGTAATTTTATATTTATATATATATTGTTATTTAGAAACATTGTGACTAAATTGATAAAGGGATAGTAAATGATATAGATTTTTACTTTATGTAATTATGTGCAGGCGACATATTATATCTACACTCTATCACTAATTACACAGGGATATATGTTGAATTAAGTATATACCTCAACGTCAGGGCTCCAAACACCAGCAATAGCGGCCCGGATTCGAGCGGAACCTTCAGCCAGGCCGCAGAGCGAGGCGTCGCGGACGATCACGGGCCCGCTGGTGCGCACGTCGGCCGCGCGACTCGCCGCCAGGGGGCGCTGCGACGAACCGCGGGCCACCGCGCGAAGCCCCGCGCATGCGCCCACGCCGATAGCGCGAGACGTTATCACTTCCACGCTTAGCACTTCTTCGATATTCACCTGTTTAGATTTAGATAAGATATACAAGAAAAATTATATTATAACAACAAATACATGTACTCTACAGTATCGTTTATTCAACATTAATAATAACAACAAGAATGTGCAATAAGATAAAAAAGAATTGAAATGTTAATCTCAATGACCCTGAACTTTTTAACAGTTACTTGAAAAATAGGATTTTTCATTTTTAGTACTGATTAAAATTAATATTTACACACTAAAAATTTAGATTATTTTCTATCTACTTCTATATCTATATACGACAGCACCACTTTTCATTAGGTGGACCATTAGCTACTATCAGATTTGCATTCCTATTTACATTAAAAAAAAAAAAATGACTTTCATAAATAGTTCTTCACATACCTCAACAACTTGCTTCTCACCCTGCACGCACAAGTCCGTTACCACGAGATCATAAGACCCTGGGCCGGGCACGGTCGCAATCAGTACTCCGTTCTCGACGGACGCAGACACACCCTTGGGTGCTTCCACGTAGTACCGGCCGCTGCCACCCGACACTTTGGCGATACCATTCACTGTATCCCCTTCCCAAGCCATTGTAGCCTGAACAATTCGATAAATTCGATATATGGAAGTATATGGAATTTTTTCAAAAAAATTATACGAGTCACAATCAAAATTAAAAAAAAATTACAGTCTATCTATCTATGCTATATATTGTTTTTGAAACATTTCTGCATATAAGGATGAATATATACCCGATATCATATAATAAAAGTAATTCAGAGCAACAAAATCTAATCATGCACTTCCTCAAAAACTGCAGCCGAAGAAGGCAAGAATCTCTGCTTCAACTGAGTGTTTGATTTTAATGTCATTACATAATTGTCATACAAATATGAAAAAAAATTGCACTATTTATTACTATTAACTTACCTTTAATGGATCACAATTTAATGGTGACACTACGCGCGCTTGTATGCTTGCAGTAGCTTCAGGTATGCTCGCTTTCAACAATCCACTCCATCCTATAGCTTGTTCATCAGCTACCACGAGCTGTAACAAGTAAAATTTGTATTAGAATTTACAATATATTAAAATGGATAAAATCAAATATGCTAAGCGAAATGTGGATATGTCATTGACATTATTTTACTACCCCATTAAATATTTTAATCGTTGCTTACAACGTTAATCTTTTTATATATTATTTTACTATCATTAATTTCGTACAATTATTATTTTCAAATGTGTTCTTTATTCCTTACCATTACTTTACTGGTATATAACTGAACGGCTGACATATAAAATATCCACATTAACCAGTAGACGTTTTATTCTTGTTGTAGGTAATGCATGAATATGTACCTGGTAATATTTGTATGGGACGGGCACAGGCGCGTACTCAGGATGCGTGTCGACAAACAGCTGGTCGGCGCCGAACTGCAAGCCGGCGTGACGCGGCTCGCTGTCCCAGCCCACGCGTGGGCCGGCCTCGTCCAGAAGCTCTCGACCTATCGCGTCCAGAAGCGTCACCCCTACTCGCACCTCCTGCCCTGGTCTCAGCCATAATCTAGACATAAAGCATAATGTATATGAAAACAAAACAAAAATATGAGGGTCAAATCGTTTACCTGTAATTTTTTTTTATAATAGCACGACATTTTAAGCGAACATAGACATTATGGTCCATTAATGTGATCAACCGAAAAAAAATCTTTATGGAATAAAAATGAGATGGTAACTCAGACTGCGCTATATGTGTACCTTCACAAATTTCTATGTTTTAGAAACCAGAATCCAATAACTTGGAAAGTCTAATAATATTTGATCTAGAAAACAAAAAACGAAATAGAGAAAAATGGAAGAAATCTGTTATACAAACCTGGCACCCCCAGAACAATTGCCAACTAAGTCAGGCGGCTCAAGCCGCAGCTTGGAGACGTGGGGCGCGCACGCAGCCTCCAGCTCGGCCGCCTCGCGCTCCTCCTCCGCCTGCGACTCCACCGACATGCGGGACTCTCCCCTCTACCACACAGTACAGACCATTTAATGTATACCATAGTAGTAACATTGGTAGACTATTTTCCTACTATTTCGACAACATAAGTATATTTTAATTGTTAAATACAAAATAAGTACAGATAGATAGATAGATACTCTTTATTGTTTCCTCTAAAGATTCAATGAGTTTTATAAATACAAACAATTACAAGAAAATATTACACTAAGAAAACAGTGGACGACCTGAAGAAGTCGATAGTGAAAGTCACTCTGAAGCACCCTCCTCAATCTCTAAATTTAAAATTTAAATTTCATTTTACAGCGAACTGATTATTCTAAAGACTTATATTTTTTTAAGAACTGCATTAGAATTGTTTTATATTTAATAATCGATGGTTCATACCACAATAGATTAGGTGAACTATGAAATGAAAATTGTAATTTTAGAGATAGGTTTAGTAGTCCAGTAAGTATACCAGACTACAAGACAACATTCATTATCACATCGCTTTTTACCTATTATTGCTAAATGTAGAGCTTAGACACTTGATACTGCTCATGTTTGTAGGCGACGGTTACCACTTTCCATCAGATGGGCCGTCAGCTTGTTTGCCATTCTAAGTAGTATAAAAAAAGCTAATTTACAAATTTGACATTAACAAATTTAACCCAAATGAAATACTCATAGGTACCCTGTTAGTTAGTTTTTATTGGTTACTCATTTAGTAGTTTATTGTCCTAACTTGCAATGTAATTCATGTAGAGAAATTTTGTATTTTCCTATTGTAATTAGCTAAATTATATCATTGATATAATTGGAACATTGCAAGACCTTAGTAAAAAGTACTCTTATGTTGAACCAGTTACTAAATGATCACAAAATCAAATGTCATCAAATCTAGTAGTTATCGATGCGCGCACAGACATGGTATAATCAGTTTTATTATATGTATTCACTTACTAGTACCTATTTCCAATGCCAATGAATTAAACTAAATTCTTGTTTCTAATTATAATAACTACTGTATTTTTGAGTGCAACATAGAATATTATAAATAAATAATAAGTCTTACCCATCGGCATTTGAATGTAAACAACTGGACATCGGGGTATCGGTGATTCGATAATTATCGCAATATATTTATATATCACTAGATTGCGCCATATATATTTGCCAACACCTATACATATAAAAAAAAATTGTTACTACAAAAATATTAAGCATTTTAATTGACTAAAAAATAAAAGATATTTTTTTATTTATTTATTTAACACTTTATTGCACCAACTTAACATGATTTGTTAAACAATTTTCAATACGTATAGTGTAGTACAAAAGGCGATCTTATTGCTAAACAATCTCTTCCAGACAACCTTTGGGTAGAAGGAATTAAAGCATAAATAGGTAGATGACGCGTTAAAAAAAAATAGATTTGTAAAAAATAATATCTGTGACAGCATAGTCATATACACATACATAAATAAACACATACATCCAAACATATACATATATATACATACACATACACATATAAATATATATACATACATATAATTTATTTTAATGGATGTTTTATCCATCTAATATTGATTAGTATAAATAAAACCAATGATTATGATCTATATGGATCTAAATATTAGGCCGTATATATGCATTTATATATCTATCTTCTAGAATAGAAATATTTTCTATCATAAACATAATCACGACTATAATGATCGAAAAAGAAGATCGATATATTTGTCAGATAAATCCAACTGGTATCAAAAAGTGCAACAGTCATTAAATATAAGGAGCAGTTCACACTAACCGGCAGTGTGGCGCCAGTGAGAGCGGCGACTGTGTCGTGCGGCCACAGTACACGCGGCGCGGCCCGGACATGCACCCGCGCCGTGTCGCCCGCGCGGCCGCGAGACACCCGTACCGACGATACGCCGCGGCTCGTCCACACGCACTCTATCACGCAGCACGCGCCCTCTGGGAAACAAGAGCTTAGGATTAGTGGCCACTTTATTGATTTTTAAGGCTAAATTCATACTGATATACCGATCTCGATTTGTTCTCGATTTAGTAAGTGGGAACACTGCGAGATTGATTATGACTGGAAAAGAACTAGATTGTATAAATAGTATAAATACACATATTGTTTTTTACGTGATTTAATTTTACCAGTATATTTTAATATACTCAAACAGTGTCCGATATAGGACGCTATTCGAGCAAATGCATAAAGTGGCAGAATGAATTTACTACAATAGAGGCATAATATGTTGCGCCAATTGACTACCACTTTTCTTCTCTACCCAAAAGTTGTATAGTGTTTTATAAGACCACCTTTTGTACCTTATTACTGGAATATTTGATTATTATTTGTTTACTGGTGCAATAAAGACTAAATAAGTACATTAAATATTCATTTGTTCATCAGAACGCAGCAAATACTACTTTTCGACTGCAACGGCAAAATAGCTAAATTGGACTCAAGATGGCTAAATCCCTGCTGTATATGAGTCAAAATAAATATTGAGTTATACAACCCGTCGAAGTAAATACGCTAGTCTGTTAATATGATGCCCTCAGCGCGAGAGGTCTATTAAACTCGGCGGTAATGCAAAACAAATCCTATTATAATTCATGTATGGTGGGCTTTTAACCCATCTGATCCCATGATACCATATGATTTAAGAGCAATTATATGAAAATCAGGCAATACATTTTTGTTAATAAAAAAAAAATACTGACCAACAGGCTGCATCCATGTAGCTGCAGTGACATTATGAGGCTCCGGACCTTCAAGCAATGACACCGCGAATGATTCACAGTTACACCTGAAAGATAAATATATAACATAGAAATAACCTTCATTTAAATAGACTTGTTTACAAATTCTTCTAAATGGTAATTTTTTATAATTCTTCTGCTGGGTTCAGGATGTTGTTACTACTAAGAATCCGCAAAAAACTCAATGTTCGAAAATAAAGCCTAGGTCACTCGCTGATAATATAGTTTTCTATAGGTGAAATAATTCTTCAATTGTATTTCAAAATTGACAAATAATTGCAACGTTGCCATACTGCGGTAAGCTAAACCTAAGAACAAGGAATTACATAGAGGAATGATAAAATAATAACTGCAAATCATATGGTTGCCTCCTTTCTTTTTATGCAAATTAGTAAAAAAAGGACGAAAGATACACCATTAGTTGCTATCTTTCTCAATTCATAGGCCAGTGTATAGAAAATGTGTATGTAAGATTTTTGTTTATTTACATTACTAGATAATATATTAGATACAGTTTATGTAGAAAGTATGCAAACAAGTTGTATCTGAATTTGGTAGGGTCATAAAGCCATATAACATTTTCTATATGATTTACAGTTTTTACTTTATCATTCCTTCTATGTAATTCCTTGTTCTTAGAGCTAAACAAATTATAGTACGTACATGTGGAAGTTGTACAGTTCGCCGGTGTTGGGATGTGTGGCGGTGAGCGCTACGTGCAGGTGGTGCGGGCGACCCACCCGCGCCTGCCCCGAGCTCGACACCTGCACCAGCTCCACCGCCGCTGACCACACCCTGCGCCACCACGGGTATCGAACAAACATGTTAATATTACAATTATGTAAAACCTATATTACCGGATAAGGGAGAAGGGATTGTTAGTAATGGGGAGGTTAGTCCCTATTGCTATCGATATACCCTATCAGTTCGATCTCCACGCGGTTCCCCTGGAAACTCCTGACTATCATTGAATTCATCACAATGGACTAACTGACCTGCCTTTTCGTCCTCACCTATCACCTCTCACTAGCACCTCGCCAATGTATACCGAAAGCGCAGGCGGGAATACTATGCCATTTTAACCATTAAAAATAAATTACCAGATATGGAGACATAACACCATTAAACTCAATGCATAAAGGATGCAAAAGGTAAAGGTCTATGTCTATGTGCAACGGTTATCAATTTCCATCAGGTAAGCCATTAGCTGTGCCCATCCTAAGATGCAAGCAGAGTTTTCAAAAGTTTTTTTATACCACAAAGGTGACAAACAAACAAGCACAGAGCTCGTCTGAAGGTGAAGGGTCACTGTAGCCTATGGACGCCTGCAACTATAGTGATGTCACTTGCGCGTTGACGATCCTGAAGAAATCTTAATATACCCTTTTTGAAGAATATTGTAAGAATATTTATTGTAGTCTCTAGGAAAAACCTCGGAGCTCATTCCACAGCCTGACCATTCACGAGACATATTTTAAAATTACTTGTAATAGTATTATATCACAGTACATTGAATTATTAAAAAAAATTGCCAATTTGAGCCTTGACTCAAATTATACTAGCAGAAGCACTAAGGTAAAAGTACAAAGTCAAGCCCTGAAAAGGTTAATAAACTTTACCTGCCAACTGCACGAACATGAGGGTAGTTTTTCAATTGTACCATGACGTCAATATCTCCTTCGCCGCGTATTGTCACCACGCCTTTAGTCGATAGCGAGATAGCAGCACCATACGACTTTTCGCTCTCAGACCACACCACAGGCTCGTCGCCACCACCATGGTGTTTTAATTGTATCTCTCTGCATGAAAAAAGGAATAAACAATGTAAAAAAAAAACCTTTTTATTGTATTAATTGTATGTGACTTGCCTGAACAAACACCATTAAGTATTTTCAGTCAGAAAACTAAAGCCAGTATAATTTCCAAACAGAATAGGATAACTTTTTTATTTATAAAAAAACTTCAACCATTTCATAAACCTATTTTAGACATTGTATTATTTTTGAAAGATAAAATAAAAGACAAAACACTGTATTAGTTAAAAAAGGTTAGTAGAAGGTTTCAGTTTTTGTAAGTCTTCAAAAGAGCTTTAAAGAAAATAGGATTCTTCTTATTGGATTAGGTACTATGCAATATTATTTTTTCTTTAATACTTACTTGTGTTATATTATTATTATATAATATATAATACTATTTGAAAAATTAAAATTCCTGTTACTTACTGCATTGTATCAGTCCATGCCACAAATAATTCTGGTGGTACTATTTCCAAAGGATCCACAGCTACTGCTGATACCTCACCCTCCACCTATAAATATTATATTAGTAATATTTTTGTAATTTAATAATAATATCCCTTCACAACAAACTGATGATATTCATTTCTATAGACAATGGTCATCATACATTTACCATGTGAACCATCAGATTGTTAACTATTGCCAATTATTATATAATCAATATATAATAAAATCATAACTAGTCACTGTCTGTACATGGAAGATATATAAGAAAAACTATTATAGGGATGCTTTATGAACAAAATGAATAGAACCCAAAACAATTTTTGTCTGTTTATCTGTATATGTTCGCGACATTGTAATCTCTTTGTATAGTTTATAGCGATATTTTATAGTTATCTTTGTTAGCATAAGTTGTTAGTTTTTAATCATTTAAATTGTTAATTTTATATAGACTTTATATGATGTATCTATAGCTTGTAAGTGGAATAAAGCATTTTTTGTATCGAGTCCTCATTATCCACAAATAGAAATAAGGAAAAAATTGTAAAATGATAATAATATTGATAATTTAACAAATTTACAAATGGTGCGTTGAAGGGCAGTCTTCGCCCCGTCCGCTCGCACAGATCAGATGTGAGTTTTTTTTTTACCGTTTCATCCGATCGAGTTCATAAATCAAATAAAGTTTCTCTATATCAATCTAAAGAATCATTTAAAATGCTGATTTAAAATAAGCGTTTACACCACTTAACATGCAGTGTTTGTTTTATTTTAATGTTCATAAATAAAAAAGTCATATTTTTTTTTATAAAATGATCAGTTGTCTAATTTTTTTTTTTTATATTGATTTTCGAAAATTCTGTCTACTCGTGTGAAACCAGGTCTGATCACTAGTACATAAATAAATACACACACAATCATATACCCCAACTCAAAAAGAATATATAAATTTACAATTTTCATAATATGTAGTCGTAATCTTATAATTGGATTTAAGATTAAAATTTGAATACCTTTCTTGTCAAACTCTTGCCGGCAACTGAATAAAGTCGCGCTGTAATTGTCAATGGCCCAGAATTCTGGGCTACAGCATCTGTTAAGGTCCCATTTTCAGTAGATCTTAGTAGATCCACATTGGCTTCCCCCTCTACAGACAGGCGTATCAATATCTCTTGGCCAGCAGTGAGAGGATGTCCATTGATATCTAACAATATGCAATGAACTGTAAAAAGTTCTCCACGTATAAGTAAACTTGAGGGTCGTAGGTTAACTTTAATGCTATGAGGTTCTGCCACTGTCAAGGTTGCTGTTGCTACCTCTGTGGCTCCAGACATAAGAACTACAGAAGTTGATCCAATTTCTGTAGCTCGGACAAGACTGATAGTATCATCCAAAACAGCTATTCCTGTATCTGGGACTTTCATATAGTACAGTGTGTCAGCAACCTCTTGCACTGTTAGACGACCAGCACGAGCACAAACAACCCTATAAACAATAAGTAAGAATTTAGTTCATAATCTAATTATAAGTTGTACATACCATATATAAAACCAGAAATTCTCAGATATGAAACTTTTTTCAATTACTATTATATTATGAAGTATGAATATACATTAATTGTTATATTAGTAAGTTAATCTACATTCAAATTGTTAAATAATTAGAACATAAAATATGTAATTAAAACTATCAGCAGGTAGTTTTGGAAGTTCAAGAAACAACTATGTTTTTAAATTGTCCAACAAAACAAAGATAATAAATAACCATATAGAACAAAATTACCTATATCTAAGAGTATCACCAGGCGCTATGACTGCTGTGGCCGGGGTAAGCACAACACTTGCCACAACATGCAAGGTAAAATCTGTACAAATGTCTCCAAGGCACACAGTAACGCGACTTTCTCCCATTGCCTGACCATACAACAGAACAGAGTATGATCTCATCCCTTTTGCTTCTATTTCAGTTATTCCAGGAGGTGCTTCATAATCTGTGTCACGCCATCTCACTAAACTGTAAAGAAAGGTATTATGTCATAGTCTTCCAGGTATTTATAATGTTACAAACATGTTTTGCACCAATCCAAATAGAACAGTTATATTTTGAACAAAATGTTGAAAAAGTGAAGACACTCATATGCATATCTATAGCTTTTTAAAGATCTTGGGGATTGATTCTGAGTTACCATTTCCTAAAATTAAAATTTTAATTTAATAGTTAAGCAAATCTATTATGGTATGAACATTGAGAAGAAACAGTATGTACTAATCCTTAAAATAATGATTTAACTGCAATATTTAATTTGATTTTTAGACTTAGAGAATGGTGCTTCAGAATCTATTATATTATTACTTAAAAGTTCCAGTTGCTGCAATTTACATGTGATGTTCTTTCATGTAAATTCACACCTCAGCACAAGTGATACCAAAAACACCTCTTGCATACTATAACCTACTTTCTCTTTTAAAATGCAAGCCCTGCAATCTCTATTTAATTTTAAATCCCTTTTCTGTGTTTAATATTAACTATAAAATATTATAACTTACGTCACTAAAGGATCATCACCAACACTGCTACCAAAATTCTCTATGCTCCATTTCAAGCTCACTCCTTCTAATGTTGAAAACTTATTACCTAAAATAAAAAAACTATATTGATGACATCTGTACATATGCAACAATGGTGGGCATATTACTTTGGATAAATGAGATCCCAAGCTTGATTCCTAAACAGGCCAATTTATGAAACAAACTTTTGTGTATATTCATTGCCTGATTTCTCTTAACACAAGATATGCTAGACTGTATTGATTAGGTGCGATTAAAATTTATATTTGTATCTAAATTTTTCTATTGTTTTGTAGAAAAATTTGCTCAAATTTCTACACTGACAAGCAACATTTTTATTACAAAGGACAGTTTTCCTCAAAACACAGACACATATATATGTTATTAACATGTCAATATGTTTGCTTAGCCTATAATGTATATATAGTACTTACATATATTAAAACAAATTAAGTATATGTAAAATATTACCTTGGTCATCATATGCAAAAACTTCAAATGCTTCTGGTGCTTCTTCCAAATATAGTTTCCATGTTGTACTCATTACTTTGAGAGAGCTTATTTTGTCAATGTTTACATCACCACGAAGAATCTACACATAAAAAATTTAATAAGACATATGAACATTTTAAGAAATGTTAAAATCAAATTAGATCCTCATCTTTTATTATACTTTTTTAAATAAATCACAAATATAATATGGATTTGACATTTCAATTCTCTTCATCTCTATATTATATTTCTCCATGTCGCAGGTATGGCCTAAAAATGAAGATAGAAATACTCTCAAAACATTATTACTGTTTTATCATAGAAGTGTATTTATTTTATATATTCCCGCCATTTTTTTAAATATACTATACCTCGCCACTATTCACTTCTTCAGCCAAAATTATTACAGAACCAGGTGGGACACAAGTCTTGGATACAGAAACACGCGCAGCACGAGAACAATGACCTCCCCAAGTGTCCTCGAAGAGTGGTTCAAGATCTATGATGTCATCGCGCGATAAACTCCTGCAAACAAACTCTTTTCACTTTAACAATTCACTATATATACGTGATTAGTATACGAAATAATATTAAAAGCTTCATTTACCAAGTATAACAACCGCCTTCTATAATTTCAAAGGTAAAATTAACGTTTTTATCCTCAAACCATGGTAACAGAACTCTCGGGGTATTAATTTTAGCACTTTTACACACATTGCTACAGAAACAGAATGTAATAACAAACAATATAGTCTTTTGTAATAATTTCATATTTATGATTTAGAAATTGTCTACATAAGTATTGTAAATCAAATAAACGATATAACAAATGGTTCAAAGTCAAATGTAACCTCAAAACAAGACGCGGTCTTTTTGACATTTGGTTCATAAATGACAGTTTTCTATTGTTGTCATAAATAAAATATCCATACCTATGTAACTTCATGCCAAAGATATTCCTTGTTCTTAGAATATGTCTTATCTTTAACAAATCTTAAAATTAAAAAATATGCATTTTTAGTAGTAGAATTAGAAATTATAAAATTTTTGATAATCAAAAATTTAAATCATAAGTTAAGATATAACATTTGCAAATGGAATGGCTATAGTGCTGTAATAATAAAAATCCATAATAATAATCTATGGCACCAAGTATGTATGCTAATTGGCAACATCGAATTAATGTCAAAATGTTAAACATGGCTGCTAAGTTTTCGTCATGTTTTAGTGTCGTATTTTATGTGAATATTACAAATGAAAGTCGAAATGGACATATTAATTAGTTAATTTAAATTGTTGATAAGTATCCAATATAGTAACAAAGTTTTTGCGCTGTGGTAAAATCCAAAAATCAACATGTCGTTAGACAAGGCTACAGAAATAAAAGGCAATGAGATCGATAAAAGCAAACGTCGTCATAAAACTGACGACACTGTTATTGCAACAGGGACAATGAACGGTATCGAAGATACACTGCAATTCACGAAGATGGAAAACGATAGTTCGGGAAAACCCACAGAATTATGCTTGCAAGCCAATTCTCATTTAATATCTAGCACAACTAGCAGTTTGGCCGACACTCCAGGGGACAGTGGCGTCTTGTGTTTAGATAGTGAAGCATCAGAAGGAACGAGCCAAGCTCTTATGTCGCATAGTTTGATCGGCGCTGAAGAATTAGCATGTGATAGTCAATATGATGCACCACCCTCATGTTCACAAGACATGATCAAAAGTACTTCTAGTAGTGTTATGACTCGTAGCGACATAGACAACCAAAACATTGGAATTCCCGATGACATAGTCCCAGAATTACTTGTGGAAACACATATAAAACCAAATATATATGAAAATTTGCCAGATGTTGTCTTAAAAGCTTTAGAAAGTGAAAAAGTTAGTACTGATGAAATGAGAAAGCCTGCATTAAGGACCTCTGAACCTAAAAAATCTTTGTCTGAAGATATAGTGTATAGACGGAGATGTAGGAAAAAGTCACAAAGTGGACCAAGCTCACAGAAAAAAAGGGTTTCATTCCATGAGGATATATTGAATAATACAAAAACAGACAATATTCACATAGAACGGGGGTTCATCTCATATGGACCTGACAGTTCATACTGTAATAGATTTAGGCAAAAGAACAATATTATGACTGATAGATTTTCATGGTGTGCATCAGGGGATCAAACACCAAAGTATGCTGCAGATGTTGCACAACAAACAATGTCAGACATTCTCACCTATGGGAATTCTAAAAATGATAGGAGTGGAATTTTTGAATACTGTCAGGATTATGATCAAGACAATCAGGATAATATGGATAAAGATAACAATAATGAGACAAAACCAAATGGTAAATTGTATGGGTGTGACTCAAACAGCTCAGATTCTAATTTTAGCTGTGACTCTGAGACATCTTCAAGTGACTCATCATCTTCTCGTTCAAATTCAAACAAAACTGAGACATCACCATTACATAGAAAGTGTGATAAAGCACAGAAATCTTATTCTTGTGATGGTTTTGAGAACAATGGTCATGTAGCTTTTATGAGGAAGACATATTTTTCTGAGGCTGATATTGATCAGACACATGACCGATTCAAAAAGCCTCTTGAGGTATCCCAAAGTCCCAATACTGTAAAGTCTGTATTAAAAAAGAAACGCTACATTACAACAAATGTTGTGGAAGAGTGGAAGAAAAATAATAAAGTCTTGAAGTTGTTAGATGCAAACAATATAATAGATTCTTTGAAGAATTTTTATAAAAACTTTGACTTTAAATTAACACCAGAAAAAGGTTTACCAGAAACTAGTTTAGAATTTAACAATGTTGTTGAAGCACTACCATGTGATGTTAATCAGAACAAAAAGCTATCCAAAAGTTTAGATTCTGGTTTTCAAATTGATGATGAAGATGATTTTGTGGAAATAAACCTTAACGGACAGCCTATGTCATCTGATAAGCCTAAAGAGATAGCAGCTGCATCAAAAAATTCTGTTGCAGGTGATAGAACACCCAATGAAGGATCTCCACGTCACAAACTAACTCTGAATATGAAAAATCAACTAGACAAAAAACCAATAAATAAAGAGGATGCATTCCCACCATTGAATAAATATGTTGTTAATTGTGAAAGTACTGTTTATGAACATAAAGGGGTATCCTACAGTTATGTACATGATACTTTCCAGACAGCATTTGATGCACCAAAAGAGACTTTTGTGCCCATACCAGAATCTACACCAGTTAAAGAATTGACCACAAGTACCAGTAAACCCGATTTAAATCAGAAACACGTTGATATAGAAACATCAAGCAAGGCCTCAACTCCTAAACGACAGTTCAACAAAAATGTCCAAGAAGAAACTGAACAGAAAAATGGTATTTCAAAACATTTATCCTCACCTAAAAAGCAAAATGTTAACAGATACAGCCGAAAGTCAGCATCTACCTTGCAGAAAATTGGTGATGAACCTCCACCAGTAAATAGTGATAATTGCTCAAACACTGATAACTCCACATTGAAGGGAGCTGATGATTTTAATGATGAATACTTTGATAGTCCTGCTAACCAGAAACTGCAAACAAATAAATCTGCTTTATTAAACAGATATCTGAAGAATGTCTGCCAAAGAAAAGATCTTGAACTGAAAATTAAGAACAATAAATTTTTCCAATTTAAACTTCGAATGGAAAAAGAGTTTCCCAGTATCATATTTCCATTTAAAGATGTATCTGACACATTCCACATATCTGCTGAGAAAATGTCACGCCTCATAGATAAAGAAGTTATTGAAAACAAGAGGTTATCAGTGAGGCTTCTGACTGCAGATGAGCCATCATATTTTGATAGCTTTGAAGACAATGTGGCAATGGAATGTAATGAAAAACTTAGGTTGCAGATATTTTCATATCCAATGGAAACTTTGAATAGGGTAACATTAAATTTTATTCTATAAAAATTAATTTAAAAAAATTAAATAAATATTTTTTTATTCAAGTAAACTTAAATAAATAGCTTTTTTATTGTAGTGCCTAGTTTGGAATACATTTTTAGTTACAAAGAATGGGCAAGAAACCAAACAAACAAAAGTTTAATTTAAAATTAAATAAAGTAATGTTCTCATATATTTTATATCTTTTCAGATGATGAAAGTACAATCTCCCTACAATATGGAGGATGGCTCATGGGTCCCATTACTAGTTTTCATTACTGACTATGCACTGTATGTAGCCAGTGTCAAACATGGAGGCACTGAGTATGAAATGTTATGCCGGTTACCTCATAATGAGTTGGATGCTATTGCTGTAAGTCAATTTGTTAACATTATTTTATTTACAAGTCTAACGTGACATTGTTTGGGTGATTGGATTATATTGAAAAAAAGGGATACAACATAGCATATTTTTCTCCATACCAAATATCACAAGGAATGATTGAGTGATTATGTCACCAAGAGGTAACAAAAAACTAACTTACTGTCACATTAGTAAGAATTTTTATTATTATTATTTCAGCCATTATATGTCCACTGCTGGACATAAGCCTTCCCCATAAGGGGAGTTTTGCCAGTAGTTGCCACACTTGGCTGGCGGGTTAGCAACCGCAGTTAGGCTTTTAAAGATGTTTCAAGAAGAGTGCCGCTCCCCATCCCTCACGATCTCTTAAATGACTCTTACGACTACCACAGGAAAGGTAGTGATGGCCCATTGTATGCCGGGTCCAACACAGAAATTTTATATATATTAACTTTTTATTTATTTATTTATTTAAGAATACATGACATCTAAACAATTGTATTCATGGCAGTATTAAAATATTTCTTCTTTTTTGGCAGGTGGGTCCAGAGGCTCAATACATTCAAGTTATAGATATAGCTGGCAACATTGCATGTTCAGTTATAACTGGAGAGTCTTTCCTGGGCGCCAGGCTAGCTTCTTCGTTAGAATGGAGCGCACGGACATCACCACTTCGTATCTCTCGGCCGCCAGCCATGCTGCCTTCGAGTTGTCGACAGCTGGCAGCCTCTGTTGCAAGACAACGGCATGAAACACGCGTAAGTAATAATTGAATTTACTGTTAATTTAACCTTTTGACGTCCTGAATCGGATTTATCTAACAAATGTGCTATTTGTGGAAACTTGTAATTGACCTTCGATTACCTTTCAGTTCCAAATGTATTCATCAAAATGTAAGTTTTCCTTTTAAAAAAATATAAAAATATGTTTAAATTATACATATTACATAACATAATTTGGAACTTATGTTCTTATGTTTATTTTTCCATTTATTTAATAATCCATTAACATGGTAAATAATATAGTACAAATCTTTACAATGTTTTTGAAAATTATTTGTAATTAGAAATAAATTCTACGACTATTAATACGAAAAAATTATAAGAATGGATGGATTTTTCTCTTTCACGCAAAAAGTACTGAATAAACTTGAATGAAATTTGACGTACAGATAGGTTATATCCTAACTTAAAATAGAGGATAAGTTATATAATGATTCACGCAAGCGAAGCCGTGAAAACAGCTAGTACTATATTAAGTTCCTGATTTGCATCAAGTGCACAGCGACTGCTTTAAATAAAGTTAAGCGGTCAAAATGTTAATAGAAGTCAAATATATGTAAATATATGCATAATATGATTTTTCACATTTTATAAAGCTCTTTAGATATTTATAGAAACAGTTAAACGAGTAATAAAACAGTTCTTTGATCCTATTAATATCTTCTCTAGATAGAGATAATGTCGTCACACGGGATTTTTATATGTATATATTAATCTTATAAATCTCGTGTGACGACATTCGATCTCACTGATCTCCAAAACGGCTTAAAATATTTTTATAAAATTCTGTAAATGTGTATTATTTCTCCAATTTGAGAGACAGGATAGTTTTTATCTTGATTTGAAAAAAATGGACTTGTTATTTTAAAAAAAAAATGTTTTTTCACCAACTTGCTACATACACGTGTATTTAAGAAGTAGGAAAATCAATAAAATATACCACTTTTGTACCAAGGCAAAAGATAACATACCAGATTTTAAGTTACACATTCACTAACACCACTGTGAAAACTACATCCAATTTGGTGTAGTAGTTTTCATGTGATGCTCGAACAGCATGCAGACAGACAGATATATATTAGTATTAAATATATTTATTACTAATATTTATTATATTAGTAAAACTGTGACATAAAATATAGATCAATAATATTGTTTTATTTTTAATGATATGATTAAACTTGAGGAGTTTGTTGGCATAATTATAACATAGATAAGTAAGTACTTGAATACTTGTCAACATATTATTTAAACTATTTTATTGTCTTAGCTTTTTGTAGGTATGAGATTAATCTTATTTGTTTATGTAGAAAGTTTCTGATAATTGTTACTGCACGGTAATAATATCAACTGTTACCATATGATATTGTTTTACAAGTTTCGTATTTTACCATGCCAATGAGATATTTTTCTGTAATGTAAATAAAATATATTAAGTAGACTAAATTAAGATTAACTATTAGACAATGGTCTAAATTATCACTTCGATAAATTTTGAATGGTTTTACTTTTGAGCGACTTTCCTGTTCCATATTATAGGTTTTTTTTTTTTTTTTTTATATGGGTAATACTGTAAAAGAAAGTCATATTTTTTATTTATTATTTATTTTTATGAATTAAATATTTAGTTAAACTTCCTAAAATAGAACTCTTCAAACTTACTACACGACACTTTCTAGATTTCATTTTTTTAATGCGATGCTATATGTAACAAGCAATTCTAAAGTTGGATTTTGTATTTACAGATGCCGCGCATATTATTTTACGGGCGCGCATGTTCGGGCGACGCTGGGGATAGACTTATCGAAGCGCCGGGTGCCTTTGCACCGCCCCTTGAAGGATACCTTATGTGCCGGACAGACAAAAGCCGCAGATTCGAACCTTGCTACTTTTTATTAAGGTACATATTTCACCTACTATATTTGTTGTATGAGCTGGTAACTGTCCACTGCTGAACATAGCCTCCCCCATAAGGGAGGTTTTGCCAGTAATTGTCATGCTTGGCAGGTGGGTTGGCAACCACAATTTGGCTATTGGTGATGTTTTAAGAGGGACGCTGTTGCCCATTCCTCCACCATAAGCTCTATTAGTCACCTCTTACAACACTTATGGGAACATATATAAATATAATGTTATCCTAAATAAATATAAATAAATAGTTAAATTATTTAGTATTTTGAGTATTAAACAACTAATGCACTTATTTAAAAGAAAATTCTTATAATGTTACCAATGTATTTATGGTAAAAACCAAAATACCATCCATAAAGTTAAGTACTTTATGTAACCGTCGCCTATAGACATGAGCAGTACCATGGACATAACAGAGTATACTGTTTCGCCCATGATATTCCCTATGCGTTGCCATTCCTGAGGACTCAGATGTTATTCCTCTGTACCCAGTAAAGTCACGCCATATCCCACCCTTCAAACCGAAACACAGCCATGCAAACACAACTGCTTCACGGTTGAAACACGAATGGGGCAGAGGTACCCAAGCAATCGACTTTTGTACAAAGTCTACTTTATTCTACACAAAAATTACGTAGTTAAAGTGTATGTTAAATGAAGATGTACAACAGGCGAGCTTAACTCTGTATGAGTTCTCTTCCAGTAAACCTTGCGTGGAAAGGGGCATTAATTACCAGCGGGCAGTGTGCGTACAATAAGAGGAAGAAACAGTATAATACTAGTACTTAGTTATTATATATTTACTAGCTGACTCGGCAAACGTTGTTTTACCATATACTTTATTTCGAGAACTATGCATGTAATTTCTCGTACTACAACTATTATATTCGATTGCCATCTTGCAACCCTATTGCGGCATATACAAATCGCGATTAAAAAACAAAAGTTGATCGTAAAATCGTGAAAATTTAAATTTGTATGTATTTTTCAATGCTAAATCATAACAAAACAAAATTAAAAAATTTGGTCAAAAAAATAAAAAAAAATTTAGTAGTGGGTCACTTATGATTGAGGGGTATGAAAAATAGATGTTAGCCGATTCTCAGACCTACTCGATATGCATACAAAATTTTATAAAAATCAGTAAAGTCGTTTCGGAGGAGTTTGGTAACAAACACCGCGACACGGGAATTTTATATATTAGATTATTTCTTAGCACTACTTATCAGTACTAAGAAACAACAAGTGCCTACTGTATCTGTTTTAACGTGATATAACGTAATTTAAAACAAGATTTAATTAATATATATGTAAGAGCTCTTACAGACGCGCGGCAATTTGCTGAAATAGCAAACATTGCGTTCGCAGCAGCCTCTAACATTGATCCTCTGACGACAGCCGTGCAATGCTATTAAATATTTATTCCTGATTATTATTAATTGCCATTACTTTTATAATATCGTGTGACCTTGGCATAGCTACCCTTTTCTTTGTCATGAGTGTCGTAAGAGGCGACTAAGGGAACTCAAGAGATAGGTTTAAATATCAAAAACCTAACTGCGATTGTTAACGCTCCTGCCAAGCGTGGCTACTACTGCAATAACTCCTCAAAGAGAGGACACTTAACTCCTGATATGATGAATACTTTTACATTTTTTTTTTTTTAGTTTTTCCATTACAAACAGAAGTTTTTGACCTCTTTATAATATTACTTAAGGTGTTTAAAGTATTAAAAAAATATTTATTTCATTGACTGAATTTGTGGGCGCATATCGATGAGTCATTTCTTGTGCCGCTAGTCTGCAAGAGCCTTAACTTTATTATTTTTTTTTTTTTTTTGCTGGGTGAAAATGGTATGGTAACCCCGCCTGCGCTATCGGGATACGCTGGCGGAGCACCAGTGAAGGGTTATAGATGAGAATGAAAACAGGCCAGTTAGCACATCATGATGAATTCATCAGGAATTAACCATGAAAGTTTCCAGGGAGAACCGCGAAGAGGTCGACCTGGTTGGGTATATTGCTAGCAATAGGATTCCCAGTCTCCATTACTAACAATCCCTTTCACCCTTAACTTTATGGTTATAATTTTAATAAAAACCCGAGAAAGCTAGATAAGCATATTATGTACATTTTACAATTTAAATATCATTAAGTGCAAGAGATCAAGTATCATTATGGTTTAGCGAAAGTGAATTTGTTCGTTTTGTATTCATTGTCCATAACGATACCTTCACTTTCGTAAACAAGAAAGAGATAATACAAGATAAATATTTGTTTATACTCATAATAGGAAAGATTTGATTGTTTGTTTGTCTATAATAGAAAAACTCGAAACTACTAGACCAATTTAAAAATTATTTTATCTATAAACATTATCAGTGAGTAACATAGACTGTAGATATTTTAGAAAATCCTATATACAAGTGTAAAGCCGACCCAAATTACTAATATGCTATACATGCTATATAGAATGTTAACGTCATTACTAATATAAATAAGTTAATATTTAATCATAATAAATTAAAATTCAGCTTTTATACATTAGTTAATATTTAAAACAATTGGACACTTTCAAAAAAAGCATCATCATCATCATCATCATCATCATCATCATCATCATCTAACCCATTTTCGTACAATAAATTATTATAATTTGAATTAATCTTTAATGAATTTTAGGCTTCTTAATTCAATCTTGTAATCAAGCCAACCAGTTTATTGTAACTTTTGACCGACTTCAAGAAAAGGGGAAGTTTTAAATTAGGTTGTATTTTTCTATGTTTACCTCATAGCTCCGTCATTTATAAACTGATTTGGAAAATGGTTTAAAAAGATGTAAATGCTCTGAAAAGATGGATCGGTTCCGTAGTTTACATTTTTAAACCATAATTTATTTATATAAATGATTTTAATAATTTATTTTTTCCACTATTCAAGTTTGTATTTGTTTATGGAACAAAATACTTAATTTATGTAAATATGTATTGTTTGCATCAACCTGAGGCATAGATAAATTTTTATCGCATTAAGTGACCCTCAATATATGTGGTGCAAAACAACATTTACCGGGTCAGCTAATCTGTGTTTACTACAGAGGGTACATAATGACAAATCCTATTAATGTAATAAATGTGAAATTTGATAATGATGGATGGATTGATGAATGTATGTTTGTTACTCTCTCTCGTAAAAACTACTAAATGGGTATGAATTAAATTTGCTACACTTGTAGCAAATATCGTACTTGAATACATAGGATATATTATATATTAATTCCTGAGTGAAGCCGCGAGATACAGCTAGTAATTAATATATTTATGTTATTCCTTTGTAGAGCCGGCGTTTTACACTGGGGCCCACACTGCTCCGACGGTACAACGCCCCTCCCCAACAACATAGCCCTCCGTTCCGTGGTCGGAGTCCGCCGTCACTTGGATTCGACGCGGCGGCCGCACTGCTTCGAGATCGCACTCGACAATACGAGGTTAACGCTCGCAGCGCCTGACGACCCTACCGCTTCGTCGTGGCTCCAGTCGCTGTTGTTACATGCCGCTCAGGTATATATATTTTTATTTATTTTTTCATTCTGCTTATTGGCAGGCCTTTTAAATCCAATACGGTACGATCACGAAAGAAGAAAGACCAGGAGTAGGCGATTTGACTAGACCCAAGATCTGCTATTTACAGACGAAACCCTGTGCGATCTGCCAATTACATAATTCTTGAAATCTCAAATGAAACAACTTAGTTCAGTACACAATTATGTAGTATTTTTTATTATAATATTAAACCCTTCAAACCGAAACACAGCCATGCAAACATAACTGCTTCACGGTAGAAACACAAATGCGACAGAGGTGCCCAAGCAAACGACTTTTGTACAAAGTCTCCTTCTGGTAATTACTCTGGTAAATTGCATAAATAGTTATGTAGATATATATAAATTATATTAACGAACAAATAAGTATTTAATAATAAAACTAAAGTGAAAATATAGATAAATTGTATATTTAAAATTACAGGCACTGGAAGAAAAAGATGGCGCGAAAAAGGTGGACAGTCGCGCTGGGGGCCCGCCGCCGGCTTGTACAGTGCTAGTGACGCCGCACGAGGTCATAAGTCTTCGAGACACCCTCGACCTGGCATTTGTTGATGGAGCGGCCGCCTATCTTAAGGAGAGAGGGTCAGAGGCGTTATTAAAAGGTTAGTGATTATTACACAAACAAAAACGTCAACGACCTTGAACCGTCTACTGTTATTTGAAAACAACACTTTTTATCAGTATCAATGAATATTAATTTGACTGTATCTTCGAATTATATGGGTGTATGGTAATGTAAATGCGGGAAATAAAACAATTGATAACTGAATGACATTAGAAGAACAAGTCATAGACCAGAATTTTTTTTTAAACATATACAGCTTTTTTGTCATCTTTAGAGATGAAAATGAAATGGTAACCCTATCTATATTGTCGGTGTATAGAAGCGGGTTTCCGATTAAAGTTAATAAGTGAGGATGAAGTTCACCAGGAATTAATCATGATGGTTTCCGGAGGGGGTGTGGCGTATACCCGTGTAACGAACCTCAAAGCTTTTAAATTTTTATAGAAAAATTGTGATTAACAGGGTACTTGCGAGGTAGCGCGCGCAAAAAAAATGAGATTGTCGTTCTTTTAAAATACATAAACATTTAACAATTATTTGAATAGTTTCACATAGGAGCATACAGTATTATATTATTTATATACAATATTATATTTTTATATTACAATATTATATTAATGTTACTTAATACTGATGTTAATATACATGAATATGGTCTCAAAAAATAAAAATTACCTGTCCATCGCCTTGAACCGACCAGCAGTGTAGCACTCTCCACTTAATCAGCCTCTTGGTTTTATTTTGTGTATAAAAAAATCGATATAAAGCGATATATATAGAGCGACACTTGAACGACAATGTCTTTCTCGAAATCTCTATCTATTACCAACAAAAACTTTTTTTTTTATTGTTGCCAGGCGAAATTTATCAACCTCATGCCTTTCTTAACATATATGCGGCCTTATTCTCTTCTTAAATTTACAGTAATACAAAAAACTAATAAAAAAAAATTTAAATTGTTTAATTTATAATATTATTTGTTGTTATAGAATATATAGAAGAAATGAGAAGTGATATTGAGATACTAGCATGCGGTTCCATAAAGAATCTCACCGCATTTAAAATACCGGACACTGACGAGAATTGGTGCTGTTTAGTAAGTATTTTTGAAATATTTAGAATAAAATAATATGTAATCAATCAAGTGTCTAATAAAAAAAGTCCTATAACACAATGTTTATAACTAATATATATTACATTACATATATTAAATATGTATAATTTTCTTTAAAATAAACGGTTTCTAATTACATGAGATATGCATGTCACAGCAGATATTTTCAGTAACCATAGTACAAGCTCCGCTTAGTTTGGGCTAGATGGCTCTGTGTATTTGTTGCAAAGTGGAGATTAAAAACAAATAATGGTGTATTCAGGAGTGGAGCGTATGCGAGGCGCGTGAACGTGGCGCCGGGTTGGCGCTACTGCTGGCCAGCGGGGCGGAGCTCGAGCGGTTCATTGCCGCTGTCGAACACGCCTTCTGCGCACTCACGGTACGGTATATATATATATATATATATATATATATATATATATATATATATATATATATATATATATATATATATATATATATATATATATATATTCGCAATGCAATTTAAGCTGAGAAGAACAGGCAAGAAACAGCTGTTTTTTTTTTTTTTCAAATATAAGTAAAGTTTACTACAGAAGAATTATGAATGGATAAAATGACTATCACAAATTTCATATTTATAATGGAAAAGAAAATAAAAAGCGTCCAATCTATAATCGATCACAGTATTCTTGAACAGACCAATCTTCATTTTTACTATAAAAACAATTTTACATTTTTTTTTTTATTTATATCCCTCGACTTCGTGTAAAAAGTGAAGTATCGTATATGCTAAATTAGGATATAACACTCCTTGTACCAAGTTTCATTCAAATACATTCAATAGTTTTTGTGTGAAAGAGTAACAAACATCAACCTTTCTCTCTGTACTTATCTACTATTTATGCCAAGTTGTCTGTAAGAGGTTGCTTTTAGCGATAAAGCCTCTTTTTGTATATGCACATTCTGTGTTAATACTCCTTGTTTTCATCTCTATTGTTCGCAATAAAAAGTTTATTATTATTCATCCATCTATCCAACCATCTTCACAAACTTTCTCATTTATAATATTAATAGGATTTCTATCTATCACACAATATAACAAAAAAAATTAAGCTTTACTTAGTCTCAAGGGTACTGTCTCCTGTATTCGAATAGTTTATTAAAATACAAAAGAGAAGAAATAATCTTTATTCAATAGACATTTTTCTACTACCGGGTTCAGAATGTTTATATGTGTTGACAATCACTTGCTAGAAACTCAATAGTTACTCTTTTCAATTTGTTTATGTATGATATAATTTACATTTGTATGGGTTCTGTATTGTTATTAGAAGACTGTTAAATATTTGGATGTAGTAGAATAATTATTTTCATATACTTAATGAAAAAAAAGTTATAAAGTTTGATTATTTATGCGCTATGACAATAAATAGATCAAAGAGGATATTTTTTTATGATATGTACCTATATCAAACTAAGTTATTTTCATTTGTTTACAGAGCGAACCTTTTCCCTTGAGCGTAGTGGATGCGACCAAATCTGCATGTAGCGCCGCCAACGCAAAATACGAGGCGGCCTGGTCACATATGTTACCATCTCAGCAGTAATTGTAGTCATATTGAATAAATATATTAACGCTGACTTCCATCCAAGCGTTATGTAGAACGGGTTGCTACTGTGACAACGTGTAATTAAACTTAAGTACATAATAACTAATGCAATTATATCAACATAATATGACAACTGTAATGACATAAGTGTGTTTTCAATTTATGTACATAATGATTGTTTCTGTGTACGCTGTCGAAAACAAGAGTCCGTACCGCGCATGCGTCGGTAACAGCGCATGCGTTGGTTACATAGCGCATGCGCTAATATATACTGTATTTGACAGTCCTCAATATGTATAGTACGAAAATTTCATTATTTTTTTTTGTAGTTAGTACACTGATAAATTTAATCAAAGTTATATATTGCGGTATAATAATTCGCAATTGAAATGAAAAATAAAACACGTACCACAGATTCTAATGCGTGCGCTATTGCTAACGCGCACGCCACTTAAACACCGTGCATGTGTTCTCGAGTGTTTTAATCAATGAAATCAATTTTTTTATGCCAAACAGTCTTGCCACAATGATATTTAATAGATATATATATTATTATATTTCTGCAAATACTAATTTTTTGTTCATATGTTGTGTTCAAATATTAGTTCTGATATTATACGTACTTAATATTGTTACTTATAGATAAACTGAATTCTATGTTTATGTAGAATAACTAAATATTTAGATAAATTTCTTTACAGACAATCAATTCAAGCAGAACGTTGAAATAATTGCATTGGAAACAATTAAATGCTTACTTATTCTAGTGTAATTATCAGCTGTATTTAAAGAAAGCTGTATTGGATAGCAAGGTTAATTAAATTGATCGTATTATGGTATTTTCTGTTTATGTACAGTTGCTTATGGTAAAGAAAAAATAATTCCTCTGGATAATTAGCAGGTAAATCTGCCGATAGATACACTTTCCTTACCGCATGCACGAGATAGAACGATATAAAAACGCACTGCGCCTTGTTCTTTTTCATGCGTACTGTAACAAAACTTTATATAGCAATAAATTCGTTTGACTCCCGTCTATAGAGAAGTGTTGTTTACACCTTTGATTTAATACCGTAAATTTATCTTTAATCGATTAATTTCTTTAATCTTGCAGCTGTATTCATCTTGAAAGCGTATGACAGATGTCATAGCACAACTTAGTTAAATTATACATTAATCAAAACAATAATTATGCTTCCTCACTTGTAGTTAACACGTGGGTGAACCGCAGTGTAGACTTAAATCTGTTAGATGTAGATTAGATATTTCATAGTTTAATACTCAATCTTCGCTTATACTTTGACCCTATTATTGCTTCATGTTGATGTATTTTAATGTAACGTTGTATACAAATTCTAATAATGATTATTGTAATAATTATATTTAATAATGCCATTTGATAATATGAAATTTCCAATTATTATTTTTATATGTTGAATTAATATTATTGTAAATGTATGTATGTGTCAGAAGAAAATAATAATTTGTATATAAATTGTTTAGATGGAGTCTTTTTAAAATCAAATTATATTTTATCAAGTTATATGTATTTGTATCGTCGTATTGTAATGATGTAGTGCTCTGAACGTTTTCTTTATGGGAACAGTCACGGTGCGTGCTTATAGGAAGGTCGCGCTATTCTGAAACTTGACGTGATACAAAAAAAAAATACTTCTATATTTTGTATCGATTTATGATAAATCAATAATATGATTTATCGAAATTACAGAATTTAGAATTCAAATATGAAATGAATTAAAAAAAAATCGATCAAGTTTCACAGAATAAGGCTGAGATGTAAAAGCAGAGTAGATTTTGTACATGAAAATTTGAAATGTTTACAATACGAACCTTTTGTAGCTTTATTGTTGTTAAAGCTAATTTTAATGGTTTCGTTTTATTTTGAAATTGTCAATACATTGATTTTAATTGACGGTGTCTCAATGTGGCATTCTAGTGGAATTCTTTGGCGCTTATATTTTTTAATGTTTTATTCAAACGGTTGTCTCTATATGTAATTTAGCTGTAACCAAATATATCAATGTACGATATCATTGCATATTATGTAAGGCCATTGTAAGGGCCGTGTGATATTAATGTATATTTAGGGTAGGTTTTAGTAGTTCATTGACCGTAACTGAGAAATATAATGATACCAGAAAACAATTGTTATAATATCGTCAAATAATAATTATCGCTGGCGAACAAAATATTTGTTTTTATTATTATTTTTAAATTTTATTCTCATCTCCCCTCTTAATAGTCGGCCGGGGTTCAGGGCCCCAGGGAGAGAAACCGGCGTACAATGCGGGCAGAATCTAAGAGCACCGTTGCATTCGGAATCCCAACCGTCTGAGATGTTGTTCCAGACTGGTTGGGATAAGACCGTTCACCGACATAACGATTGGGATGATAGATGATTTCGGTCACCTCGTGAGCCAGGTCGAGATATTTTCTCTTCTTCTCGGTTTCGGCTTTCACGAGGTTCTCGTCATGCGGTATGGTGACATCCACCAAAAACACCCTCGAAAGTGCCGGTCCATCACCACGATATCAGGTTTGTTCGCAAGAACAGTCCTGTCCGTGATGATGGATCGGTCCCAAAGAGCCTGACGCTGTCGCTTTCGAGGATATTAGGCCGTACTTCAGAGCTAGCTCTTGATGGAGTATTATTATTATTATTATTGTAATTAATATTTTTTGTTATTTTATTTTACATGTGAACTACAATATAAATTCGAGTGACTGTAATTACATCATTAATATGCCTGGTGCATTTATATAAAGTATATTTATACAATTATAGATACATTGTTATGTTTCTTAGTTACATCACAATAATATAGTTTTAAACTAACATCTTTCAATATCTCAGTGTTTATCGTATAGTTTAATTTTAAGTTTTTAACTGTCATACAATTTTATTTTATTTTCCAGTGTTCACGAATTTAATTTGTAAACGGCCTATTTTTAAATACACTGAGAGTTGCAATGTTAATTTTTAAGGACTTGAAATGACTGATGATTCCATAATGAGACTGTTATTCTATATCCTAAACACTTCGTACAAAAATAGATTAATTTTTGTCACTTCTTATAAACATTCTTTTATTATGTATACTAAATTTATTGCGTTCTTTTACAAAGTGTTAGCTAATATTTTAGTTGCAAAAAGGGGAGAATTCAGTTCAAAATAGGCAAGCAGTAGTCGTGCTATATAGGTACATATATGTGACAGTAACTTACTTTTTTTTTTATTAAAGTAAAAATCTTCAGTACTAGCTAAATCTCACATTTATATATTTATGGCAAGTCTTTTACAAAATCATCACACAGTAATATCTAGATTAATTAGAATATTAACATGAATTTTTTTTTATATGAATTAAAAAAAGGTAATTATTAGTAGTAAGCGGGAGAAATAGTTCTATACTCTCTATCTCGCTCTCTTGTTAGGAAAATATAAAGTTTGCAAAAATAAGATTTTAATATGAAATATGGAAAAATGGGAATTGCTCATAAATAAATGATAATATATTCTATATTAATGACGTAATACAAATATGTATGTAATATAATTTAATATGATATGCAACACTTAGTGATGCATACCATAATAATGCTTTATATAAATATAGGTCTTAATTTACAGTGTTAAATAACAAGGATATTGTTTGTTAAACTAAAACCTGTTTAAATATTAGAGTTACGATATAACATAGTAACCTTAAAAAAAAGCATGTTCCTCTTTAAAAGGCCGACAGCATACTTGCACACATTTAATATCTAAAATGGGTTTTATATGCCATTTGGAATGACAAACAGTGATGTACCATAGACATCACAGAGATACTAAGTTTACTAGATTTTTATTATTTTTATGACTAAAAAATAAAACATGTCTCTGCGTGGAATCGTGAATCATGCTTCGGCTTGCTGTGTTTGTGTTACGCGCCTTAAGCTTTATATATCTGTGATTGTGTTGTTTACCATTAAGTTTGTTATTTACGCATAATATTAGACTGTAACGTTCACACTTGTTATGTTCGATTCGAATTTTAAAAATCCGATATCCAATATACATATGTGGTTTTTAAAAATTACTGCACATAAAAGGATTACATAGAATTATATCTTGTAATTTATATGTAATATTAATACAAAATATGTTCTATGTATCCGTTAAAAAGCATACTTATAGGCTTTTTTGGTTAACCAAAAACCATCATTCATTTAAAACCCCATGCTGTATATTTTTTTTAGGAAACAATTTCATATATTAAAAAAAAACAGTTTATTTTAATGATGGTTTTCCAAATAACTTTGATTTCTCAGTAATTTTGTAAACACCATATAATTATAACCATATAATTGCAAAGCAAAATTATTAATAGACAAAACCTTTTTAAAGATATATTTATTTTTCTAATTTTTATTGTCATTGTGAGATTATTTAGCTTATAATTTATTTTGTTGTATTTAATGTATTTAATAAAATCATGTTTTTTTTTTAAGCACAGGTAGCTAGCTATAAAGTATTAGTAAGAACAATAATAATGTAATCTATGCTATAAGTTGTAGAAGCTACCGTTTTAAAATTATTAACCTCATGATTAGAAACAACTCCCTCCAATTTTTGTATTCACGAATTTAGGGTCTGTGCAGACAAGAATCAATCTTTCAACTACTACCGCAGTAATAGTACTAAAGTAAAACACGGACACTTCCTACCGCCCTCTGCGATCCGACCTCAGCCCCTCTCAAATACGTGTCAGCACCCAAACAATTTTCCCGCCTTAATCGTAACTACAGACGCACATTTTGTCACGTGTACAGTAGTTAATTAATTCTGTAGTTGTGACAAAGATGGCGGTATTTTTGTATGAAGTGTCCGGGATGTTATACTACTTCTTCATATTTTTATGTCGCATGTCAACGAACTTTTAATCTATAGGAATAAGCACTCGACACTACGCAAGTCCCATAGCCTGATTTTCTTTTAAGTATATCAATAAAACTTTTGTGTAAAGAAATCATGTTAATACATCAATGAAATAATGCGTCTTTAAAACCTAAATATTACCTACTACGTCTCTTGCCTTCACAAAATATTTGCAAATATTTTTGCAATATACTTTGCAATAAAAATAATAAGTAAAAATGCGTCTATAAAATCTCAAATGTACTAAACCTGTTGCCTCTATAGGTCACACGTGTAACCCATCACTGGTGAAGGCGCGTGTTAGGTTACTTATCACGTCAGTCAATATAAGTTTCCGGCTGCAAACGAATATAAATCGTATGTCCTTGCAATAGAGAACTATTTTATTTTTATTTTACAAGTTTACTGCTGAATTTTCGGCCATTTATAATCAAGCTTATTAATTAATTATAATTTTATTCAAGTATGGATGGATATTTCCTTCCATACTTGATTAAATTTTAATTCCCTCTTTTTATTCATAATTGTTGTGAACATTTCCATAGTATAATTAGTTCGATGCTAACGCATGTGAATTGTATTTGTCTGCGGCAGACAAAAAGTACCTCGTCCGCACAGACCTTTAAAGTGTATTATCAAATGTTTGTATTTAAAATAAATGCCCCGAACGCTGAATAAATACCTGATATTTATTTAAATCTAACATGATAGTGACATTATAGATTTGAATCTATAGTATTTTCTATTTATACATAAGTACTTTAACATTTGATATACATTCTGTAAACTACCATTATAGCATAATATATATGTTACAGTACTCTACAGATCTCAAATACATAAATCCTTTGAAATATAATTGCTTAATATTATTGTTAATATAAAAAGTATGATAATAAATTTTTGCGAGAATAAAATAAATTTCATTTCACCCCTACCATTTTTCTTTTGTTCAAGTCATCTAGTGTTTACTAAAGCATATTTTTTATACTACTAAAATATAACACAGCGACAATTCCTCTCATTTTTTTTTTCATCTTCTCAATCTCTCTTCTATCAATCTGCTACCTTCGCAAAATGAAGCTGCGTGTTAAACAACTACACCAACATGGCCATCAATTAATTCAGAAACTTTATTTTCATGTCAGTTACTGTTGGCATAACCTTTAATTAATAAGTAGTATATCTATGAAACGTACCTAAATTTTTTAGTACATATGATTTTCATCATCATATCGGCCGTTAATTCCGTCGTCCACTACTGTTAGGCTTTGGTGATGTTTTAAAAAGGGACGCTACTACCCATCCCTCGACCGTTAAGTTGATTGTACCTAGTTTAAAATGTACATTTACGTGCCTCTATAGGTGTATTTAAAAAAACACGGAAGGTTTCGTGCCTCTGCTCAAACTTAATAATTACTCTTTTTCATCCAAAGATTGTCTAAAAAAGATCGTTTTGTGTGATGAGGCCGCCCATAATTTTCTCAGTGTAATATTTTCTTGTACTTAATTGTTTGTATTTATAATAAGTTTAGTACTGTAATTTTATGGAGAAAACAAAAGTTCTATCTATGTATCGAAGTTCGAAAATGTTAGATATTGGCTTAGCAACAAGATTGATATTAAAAATTTTATAATATTGTATATAAAAAACGGAGTTTATAAATAATGTTATCAGTTTGTAAAACCGGTCTTATTAACATACACATGCCAGATAAATTTTAATACATATTCATTATAGTGTCATATATATAAACCATGTCTTGAATATTAAAACATTTTAATATTCACCACATGGCTGTGGAGTGTACCCGCCTGGCCAAACAAGTTTTAATAGGTCAAAAAAATTTTAATGCAATTTCAATTGCATTAAGAAACTTACACGACACGACATCGAAAAGATAACAAATGAGACATAACTCTTAGATATATATATATATATATATATATATATATATATATATATATATATGTATATATATATATATATATATATATATTCTCTGGCTTCATGTCTGGCTCCTTCCAAATCTTTTAAACAAGACGCATGTGTATTCTTAAACATGTCCGCCCATTGCTGAAAAGTCTGCTCCCGATCTCGATAAGAACAATTTTGAGGTTGGTCGCTTATTTAGCGGCGAAATCAACCTTTGATTAGAAAAAAAAATCAAAATCGGTTCATGCTAACAATTACATCCTTCAACATAACAAAGCACAATTCGTATCTTATTAATTTTTTAGTACAAAATAAAAAAATTAAAGTTTCCAAGATCTTTAGAAATCGATGTAATAATTATAAAGTAGTTTGTGGTGGTCCCAATAACTTTTATTTTATTTTATAAAAGTTTGCAAATTTTATTATTAGTTAAATTTTTTATTATTATACTTTTATGATAAGTGGTATAGTCTTATATAATCCTATTCAACTACTTTAGGAACTGAAATGATAACTATATACATAATTACAGAAAATGATATTCAGTCCGAAACCAATAAAAAGGTAGGTAGATATTTATATTTATCATGCATATATTTAGATACGGAATAAACCCATAATTTCATTCAATACGTCAGAAGACTAGCAGTACCGGTCATAGGGGGGTCGGGAGCTCGGACGGCGTCAGGGCTCTGAGTCGAGATCCAAGACGCGCCGAGTAATCCAATGAGATGTAAAGACGCGGTATGTAATCCTATAATGTAAAGTATAGCATTAGATTTCAATTTTGGAGTGAACAGCGTGCGTCTTCGATTTTTTGTTGTCAGTCATAAGAGCCGGCAAGCGTCGTCAGCTTTTTACACAGGGGCACCTCTGTAAAAGGTGGAAACCGTTTTTTTCATGGTCACTCAAGGGAATTGCCGGGTACTATCAATACTTTGTTCAGTAAAAGGTGATGAAATGTTTTATTGTCGTCAGGAAGTGTCCTTTTCAATGGATGAAAATAGAATGGAATCATCCACTATGCTATTGATATGCACTAGCGAAATGTATGATCAATTGGTTGAATGTAATATGTTCTACAAGAATTAATTACGATGGTTTCTAGTGAGAACCGCATGAGGTCAATCTTATAGGATATATTGCTAGGAATGGGGCTTTTAGACCCCATCGCCCCTGTCGGAATCCATTTCTCCTCTGTCGGGATCGCCTTAAAAACTTCCTCAGGGCGCCAGGTACCTACACTAAAGCCGGCCCTGGAGATTAAATAGTAAACAAATATCTACTAGCTCGGGGAATTACAAATAATAACATTTTAATAAACAAACCGGCTTATATTAACATAAAGTCATGACACCGTTTATACAACTTGTATGTTTTACCTATATAGTTCGCTTTCAACAGTGATACGTGAATACTGCGTTTTATGAATAGTCTGGAAAATGTCAGAACTAAAGGTAAGTTATTTTTTATATTATTTAAATTACTTAAATTAAGTACATGATTTTATTTTTCATGAAGTTTTCGTACTTAATATGGCATAAAGCGCAAAAACTTCAAGAACTTTAGTTAAAATGTAAATTAAAGAATAACTTGAATAAGACAAAAGAGTTCTAAATTTTTCAAAAATTATTTGAATAAGAAAGAAATATTAATATTTAATTACAAAAAAAAAAAAGTAAAAAATAGAAATTGCTATTCTTAAAGTTAAAAATTGTTTTAGAACATAGCAAACTACCTAGCTAGCTTATCTAAAGTGCTTGGAAAATTTGTAATAAAAACAATAAAACATAATTTTGATGCCTTTTTTCATAATTTTAACCAGTATCTGAGTGGCTTCGGTTCTGAGTTTTCCTCAGAAGACCCACGAAGGCCGAATGCCCTTCCTGTTGGGCAGAACAATCCGCAAATATGTCCATACGGCTTGTATGCTGAGCAACTATCTGGTACAGCATTTACAGCACCGAGACACGATAACAAGAGATCATGGTTGTACCGGTCAGTTTTATTTTCTTTTTTTACTATATTTGTTGATTTGCATTACATATTAATATATTAAACATATGGAGTATAACTAATGCTAATTGTGTAACAATATATTTACGCTGTTGTTACAAACAGGGAGAGCTCCCACTATTGGATATGTGAACTTCTTCCTCCGCGGTCGAGAATCAGTTAGTTCGATCATTTGCTTTGTTTCATTTATTTCCATAGGAAACGTTCGAATATAAGTAATTTAATATTTGATTATAAAGGAACCGACAGGTTTTAGCCTTATAAAACTAACAGGAAAGTAAGCCCTGTCGTTGCAAAAAGATAACAAAACGCTTTCAGAATTGGCGTAAATGACGCGTAGTACACAAACCTTACACACCGTTGAGCACGGTGTCTCTGTATGTTATGACTATTATGTTATGATTAATAAATCTTTGCTACGATACGTTAGTTGATAAGCAATGTTTACTATATTTGTAATTGTGTACCATGAGCACAATGTTGATAATATTACTTAAGAAGTCCTTGTTAAGAATCCCTCTCCGATAACCCACCTCATATAAATATTACCTCCTTTCATCCTGAGTTCAATACCATTTCCGAATTCACATTGTAACCATGTAATTCTACTATTTCTATATAGTTAATAAAAATTAGTTTTTAAAAAGCAATCCTTATCATTGGCCACGTAACAACGATCTCTCTCCTTAGGAGGAGGATACAGCATAGTGGTCAGATGACTTAATCAAAGGATTCGAGTATTCATTCTCTTTTTATTATTATAAGTATTTCTGTTTCGTTTATGATCAATTACGTTTACAAAAAATTGCGATTGTAAAGAAATGCTTTTGTGGCGAATTGCGTATAGTGTCCTACAAAATACTGAAAACAACAATAGACGTGCTAATTTGCTTATAATTATGATTTTTTTTTTAATTAGGTACTTATTTTACTAAGATTTTTTCTAAGTATATTATTTTTGTTCAAATCACTTAGTAATACTACGTTAATGGATTAATTTTAGGATTCGTCCCTCCGTCATCCATAAACCTTTTAAAAGGTTTGACGCCTCGAAATATCTCACTCACAACTGGGATGAACAAGAACCAGATCCTAATCAGGTATAGCATCCATATTTTAAGGGATTTTTATTGTTTAAGTAACAGTTTAGAGGGGTAGCAACTCAAAAATTACTAAAGAATGAAGTCATTTTAAAGTCGCCGTCTTTCTATATATTTATTTACTTATGGTCAGGACTCTATATATAACCGTATGCATGTATATCCAGTTTCATATAGGTACCAAACAGCCTCCCTGCATGGCTGCTTATTATATGACATAGAAATTACTAAAAACGGCGACATTTCAGTAAAATTTTATTAGTATTATTATTATTATATAAGGATTACCATATATATTCATAGATTTTTTCAGATTTTTTACAGAAGATTTTTGTGTATAATTTGCACTTGTTTATTTTTAATCTGACTACCTAAACTATCAGAAAAAGGAACACCTTTTTTCGAAAAAGAACCTATGCATCTGGATGCTACTTTAGACCAGCGATTACTAATGTGAGTTTCGCGAAACCTAGGAACTCCGTAGAAATCTCATCGGAGTTCCGCGAAATTGTTTTTGGTTGTTAAATAATATCAGAGTGAAGTGCATATATTATTTCAAATTAACGCAAATTATCTGGTATCTTTTGACATGGGGTTTAATAAAATAAAGGGTATTTTGTAGGTGTTCAGTATTTTAATAGCTTAAAGAATCTTGCTTTAAACTGTTATATAGTCATTGGCAGCCTGATAAGCAGATTATAAAAGTAAACTAAATAATTAGTAATTACCTAAATTCCTATCAATTTCTAGTCTCGATGGCTTCCATTTGATTTGCCACCTCCGGAGTCCCGTGTGGACTTCGTGGCTGGTCTTCATACTGTTTGCGGAGCTGGCGATGCGCGCTCACGACATGGCATCGCTATACATGTGTATTTGTGCAATGCATCCATGGATAAAAGTGCTTTCTATAGCAGTGATGGTGATTTACTTATTGGTGAGTATCTACTTATTGGAGAAAGAGAAGAATCTTACTAAAATAATAAAATTGTAAATGAACTATATCTATGCATGGAAGATTTTTAAGAAAAACATAATAGTGGTCTTAATAATTGCATCAGATACTAAATGTTTCAAATTTTTTGTCTGTCTATGTGTTTGTTCCAGCATCACGTGAACACTACTACACGAAATTAGGTGTAGCTTTTACAGTGATATTTTCTTTTTTAATGGGTGAAAATGAAATGGTAACCACGTCCGAGCTATCGGTATACACTGACGAGGCACCAGTGGAAGATGATAGGTGAGAATGAATGCAGGTCAGTTGGCCCACTATGATGCATTTGACAAGAATTAAACATGATGGTTTCTAGGGGTAACTGCATGGAGGTCCACCTGAGAGGGTATATTGCTAGCAATGGGACTATTAGACCCCATTACTAATAATCCCTTTCACCCCTTTACAGTGATATTTTTGAAAGTCTAACTTAAAATCTGGTGTATGTTTTATCTTGATACGTCATCTATATATGTATAACTTATTTTAGTACCCCAGAAAGGCAAGTTAAGAATAACTACTGAGTTTGGTATAATGGAGGTGGCACCTAATGAAATAGCAGTCGTACAACTCGGTATGAGATTTGCTGTTGCTGTTGAAGGACCCACCAGGTAAATAAATTATTCTCCTTGTCGATTTTGAGATATTTTGCTCAGATTTATAAGGTAATTTTATTGTTAAAAGTTTCATGTGAACATATTATATTTTAATGTAATAACTACCAGTTTAAATTACGTGTCATTAGATCGAGAAAGCTCAACTAGTTTCGGGACCAATTCTGAATTCTTAACGTCTTTCATCCATGATCAATACTGAAGATATAACAGAGGCGATATTGTGAGCACGTAAGTTAAACCAGTAATTATTACATTAAAATATAAGGTAATTGTCACTGTTTACCTCATTATAAGTGCGGTCGTGAATATATTAATTTTATTTTTTGTAAAAATAACTGTAAATCTAAGTCATTGGTGATCAATAGCCTAACTAATCGATGCTTTAATATTTCAGAGGATATATTCTAGAAGTATTTGATGGACATTTCAAGCTACCAGATCTTGGGCCAATTGGAGCCAACGGCTTGGCCAACCCAAGAGATTTTCTGACGCCGGTGGCACGTTATCATGACGAAGAAATACCTGGTAATAATTTAGTTCTCATCTCACATAAGTCAAAGTTATAGGTATATGTAAAGCTCTCAAACAACTCAAAATATGCATAATCGAGTCAATTCAGAAGAGTTCATTTTCTAAATTACCCTAACTGAAATCGAACTTTGGGCCTCATTTGTGCAAAGCAACAGACCGTTATATTTTTGTCTATAGCTATACGCTTTTATATTTTGCTGTGATGATCGTTTTTCGATGTAATTTACGGTGGAAAAAGCTTATAACCTATTTCGATATCGCATAGGCGATATAGGTTGGTACCGATCTATATCAGGGGTAGCCAACCGGTCGATCGTGACTATTAGTCCAGTCAATCGAGGCAAAGCAAAAAGTATATTTTGCTAATCTAGCAGAAGATGCTCAGACGCAATGTTCACACTAATATATGTAAATAAGTAGTTACTAAGAATAATTTTCAATTTATATTTTCCCTCTTAATAAAATAAAAAAATACTACATTACTACAAAATTGCGTACTGAACTATGTTGTTTCATTTGAGTGTTTAATTTGTAGATCGCACAGAATTTCGTTAGTAAACAGTATATCTTGAGTCTAATGAAGTCGGCCACATCTAGCCTATATCAATTACATATCTATTTTCGAATACATATGTTAAAAGTCTGTTATCCAATATACATTTTTGGATAAGAGACTTTTAACATATTCGTTATTGGACAAGTATATAGTTATTGTAACTAAAATTACCTACCCCTAGTATATATCCGTATATATTTCATTGCTATAGCAAATACGTCTCATTCTGGTACCATTTCTTACGTCATATGAAAGTAATCCTTACAAATATATTGCTAGGGTATCTTTTGCCTATTAGAATAAACTGTACGATATAGCGGTCTGAAATTAAATAAGGTAAATTGCTTATGTTTCAGGATTTAAAATAATAAACAAGTACCAAGGTGCGCTGTTCGTAGCGGAACAAAACCATTCTCCGTTTGACGTGGTCGCGTGGCACGGGAACTATGTGCCATATAAGTATGACTTAAATAGATTTATGGTCATCAACGCTGTCACTTTTGATCATTGCGTGAGTTGATGCAATACAACATTCATATACTTTCTTTCCATAATGATATAGGTACTTTTGCTTGACATTAGGTGAACGTAACATAGACATAATATATAAAATTAAAAAATATATATAATTACTAGCTGACCCCGTAAACGTTGTTTTACCACTTATTGCGAAATATAAAAATCGCGATTAAAAAAAAGGAGTTGATTGTAAAACGGTGAAAGTTTGAAGTTGTATGTATTTTTCAATGCCAAATCATATTTAAATAAAAATAAAAAAATTGTCAAAAAAATAAAAAAATATTTTTTAAGGGTGGGTCACCCTTATCATTGAGGGGTATAAAAAATAGATGTTGGCCGATTCTCAGACCTACAGAATATACACACAAAATTTCATGAAAATCGGTAAAGCCGTTTCGGAGGAGTTTGGTAACAAACACCGTGACACGAAAATTTTATATATAAGATAAAAAAATCCCGAGTTACGATGTTCGTTCATTCTAATATCTGAACCCTTATACCGATTTAAATTATATTTTATAAATGTATATTGTATGTTCCAATTTGGAATAGAAGTATTATTCCGATAAAAAAAATGGGACCCGTTAGATGATAGCAGGGGTAAAATAAAATTTGTCGATTTTTTAATAAGTGGATGGAATACATTGACCCCAGTGAGAGATGATAAGTGAGGATAAAAGCACGTCATTTAGCACATCGTGAAGAATTCCATGAGAATTAACCACGATGGTTTCTAGAGGGAACCGCGTGGAGGTCGACCTAATGCACCCTTGCTAGCAATGAGGTTGTTAGACCCCATTACTAACAATCCCTTTCCCCTCACTGTGAAAAGGTTGACCTGACAAGGTATATTGCTAGCAATGGGGCCAGTAGTCCCCATTACTAACAATGCCTTCCCCCTTAGTATTAATATAGTTTTTATCTATACCCAAAACAACATAATTATTAGTTAATATCAAACACAGATTAGCCCATAATAACAGTATTCTAAAAATTACGTCATTTTGAACATGGAAAAATACATTCAATGTCCATGTTATTATCCTACTTTCGCCTTGATTTCAAGCATCACGCAACTCCTACTATTAGCTAATTAGGTAATAAAATTGCAGGGTGTTCTACATTTTACGAATCTGTTTATTTTTAAAATACACATGTACAAAGTAATCAAATCAGAATATTTTCCTTGTTTGATGAGCTTTTTAATAAGTATTCGAATCTTATTTGCTTCGTTGCTCGATATCTGAAGGTACTTATATTATTTACATATATAAATAAATATTACCCACTATTCATTGCTAAACCCACCAAGAATGGGTGGTTAAATACTAGTCCTGTTTTTTTAATGAGTGAAAAAAGGATATCGACGGTTGAAAGGCAACCTTAACTAAGCGACATTTAATAAACTTTACAGGAGAGCGGTTTAAAGTTGAAATTTTTGAAAAAAAAATCATAACTATTTACCTGATTGACATATCGAAATAATTTTAACAGTTACGGAAAGCATATATTTTTTGTTATTTTTTGATATCAAAGAAAGTTATCCCAGACTAAAATTTGAAGTATTTTATGTCGGTTAGATAAAAAATACCTAGATTTGGTTACAGGTAAAATTATATAAATTTACCTAAAAAGTTAACAGAAACGAGTAAAAATATCGTTATCCTGATTCATCTAAATCTCCTTACAAGTACAATTATATAAAGACGTATATTAGATTGAACAAAATCAAGTAAAATTGTCTAGGTAAGTTCTTGTATGATTGTTGTGTTAGCAGAATATGTATCTTTAGTTAATAAATTTTCCTAAAATTATCCCAAACTGACTTTAAACTAATTATTATTAATTATTTATAATGTAATAATGATAATAAATAATACTATAAAATTAACAAAAATATTCATAATATAAGAAGACTAATTTTGCTTTCACATAATTTATCTAAAACCTGTCTTTAATTTTCGTCTATTAAAAATAATAAATGATTGTTAGAGTTATAATAGGTTATCTGGTTTTTTATTATAATTAATTTAATAAACTATTTTAATTAATTATTATTAAAATCACAATCTTTAATATCTGATTAGTTTAGAGTGTCTTTGATATTTATTGCACGTGGAAAGCTAACAAAGCAATTAGGAATAACATCGTCTATGAAAAGTTTGACTAGATCATCATATTTGGCTTTTGATATTGGAAGCTGCGTTCGATAACAAGATAAAAGAGATATCTTGATTTTAAATTGAATTTCAGTATCAAAAGAAGCGTTAGTGTTCACGAATATATTATATTTAACGTTTTGCTTATCCTTCTTTGAAAGTCATAATACAAATCTTACTTATCTTTCCAGTTAGATTATTAATATGCAAAAATTGTAAACCATTGAGATGGTGCGTAAACAATTGTATTCTTTAATCTATTCTATCTTTAATCTATCTACGGGTATATAAGTATGACCAGTCAAGAGAAAATTTATTTTAATAGTATTAATATTTTCATACTCCTGTAGTGATGAATGCAACATTGCTAATACAGTACGATTACGATTTTGACCGGGACAACAGTCACAATATAAAAGTAATTGCTTGATATTTCCTCTGGTATCTACAGATTTAATATATTTGTTCAGTATTGATACAATCTTATTTGATCCTCGTTTGCCATTAGTTTCATCCCAATAGTAACAGAAAACATTACGAGTTCCATTTTCATAAAAGCAAATATTGTATACTGCCAGTTTTCTACTATAATACAAGGGCTGGTAATTTTTGGATAAATCTCTTAACAGCATCTATAGTAGTTTTTTTTTAGTTCTATTTGATAGACATATAATTTATTTGTGTTACTTACAAGCACATAAATTATAAAAAGCGAGAAAAGAGAAATTATTAAAAAAATACATAAAGCCAAGTACAATTTTTCCTTTTGTGCGTGTGCCGTAACAATACAAAATGGTCACAACTCAGTTTATTGCTTTGCCCTCAAAAGAGCAAAACACTGATATTCTGTTGTGGCCAAAGGGGTTTCACATATTTCTGGGTTCAGGTATCCCTCTCATATTTTCTTTCGTGCATCCAAAAGTAGAATCTTTTACAATATTGTAAATTGTTTTATCAGAAATGTTCAGAGTAGCTACTAAAAATTGTTGACAAACATACTTTTTACCTTCGCCTTTGTTAATAAAATATTTAATAGTGTAGTTGCGCTTATCAGTGTCTGTACATTTACGTTTGATGAATCCTTTTTTGACATAGATACTAACCAATCACGGCGACGTGTTTGGTCAAGATCCCAAAAATCATTGAAAAATTTCCTCTTCTTACTTCAGATAGAGAACCACAGTTATTACCAGATTTTTTGCCAGAGCAAGGATTAGGCGCTGTTTTAACTATACCAGTCTTTGTAATATATTCTTTACCAGATTTTATATTTTTAGTTCGTTCTTTTAATTTAATTTTTTAGCTTTGGACGCAGATTCTCCGATAATTTCTAGTTCTTGATTATCAAGACTACCAACGTTAGTTTTAGTGTTATTTTTTTAGTACGTTTTACTTCTTATTATTTTTCTTCTATTTCATTGTATATTATTATCATCTTCAGAGGTTACTTCTTCTCCTTCTGACCAATTATCTGAATCATTTATGCCATAAAATATGGAAAAGTCTTCTTGATCTGACATATAATCAATATAACTAACATCTTTCTTAGGTATTCTTTTATATTTAATTGGATTTAATTCATTGGATTCTTTACTCAAACCGGTCGATGTAGATGGTGCATCATCGTGAGTTTTTCTCATTTTCGTAATTATATATATTTGATGCAGAGTCATCAGATTTATTAATATTATAAAATTAAAATTTTTTAAAATTTTAATTTTATAATATTTGTATTTCGCGTACTGGTAAATTTATCTAAGCGCCATTTTTACTCATTTCAACGAGTTAAATATATGCAGTTAAAATATATACCGCTAAAAGCAAACATATTTTTATACAGGTAAAAATATCTAAGGTATAATTTACTTTAATTTTATTTTTAGTTAAATTACATAATCACAAAATATTACATCAGGTAAAATTACATAACCAAATTATTTATATTTTTTTTAAATAGGTACAATATACTAAAACAGATAAAAACGAAATTTCATAACAAGTAAAAATTCCTACTTGCAAATAAAAGTGAAAGCAAAGATATGAAAAATTGAATAAATCCATATTTCAACTTTTAAAATGGCGTAAGTAGCAAATATTCTTTAAATGACATTTTTTTTTGTCGCTAAGTAAACATAAAATTGTAAATTTAGCTAAAATCACGCAGTACTTAACCGACAAAAAAATTATCGTAGAATTTTAAAACCTAGACCAATCGACGCAGAAAAATCAGGCGATTCGAATGGTATATAAAACTCAGTTTAGGTATTTTTGTCGCTTAGTCAATTTTGCCTTTCAACCGTCGATATATATATATTTTTTTTATGGATGATAATGGAATGGTAACCCCACCCGCGCTATCGGTATACACCGGCGGGGCACCAGTGAAGGATGATAGGTGAGGATGAAGTAGGTCAGTTAGCCCATCGTGACAAATTCAACAAAAATTGTTCACGATGGTTTCCAGGGGGAACCACGTGGGGGTCGACCTAATAAGGCATATTGCTAGCAATGGGGCTGTCAAACTCCATTACTAACAAACCCTTTCCCCGCAAAGGATATATTACTAGCAATAGGACTGCTAGATCCCAATACTAACAATCTTTTTCTCCCATATATTTATTCTGGTTAACGTATTTTTTTAGGCTAAGAAAAATATCAATTTCTTTTTCAGGACAATATTTACTGAAAGTAGGATTTACATATTTCAGGACCCATCAATATTCACCGTGCTAACTTGTCCTTCCACGAAGCCAGGCGTTGCCATAGCGGACTTCGTCATCTTTCCGCCGCGCTGGTCCGTCCAAGAGCACACATTCAGACCACCCTACTATCATAGTAAGCTATATATTTTAATAAGTTTCTATAATACATTTTAATAAATTTAAAACTGTTATTAAGAAACACTTACTAAACAAAATCCATTATTATTTACGATTACTTGAATGACAAACGTGTATAGTATTAGTCGATCATACATGAACTAAATTTTTTTTTATACAACTTAGAATGGCAAACAAGCTGACAGCCCGCCTGATGGAAAGTGGTAACCGTCGCCTACAGACATGAGCAGTACCATGGACATAACAGAGTATACTGTTTCGCCCATGATACCCCCCATGCGTTGCCATTCCTGAGGACTCAGGTGTTATTCCTCTGTACCCAGTAAATTCACGGCATTACCCACCCTTCAAACCGAAACACAGCCGTGCAAACACAACTGCTTCACGGTTGAAACACGAATGGGACAGAGGTACCCAAGCAATCGACTTTTGTACAAAGTCTCCCTCTGGTGTTATGTTATTTTATGACTGTTATTTTAGATATACATTTAAATAAACACAAATGTGTTAACTAAGATTTAAAAAAGTAACTGTTGAGTTTCTTGCGGGTTCTTTTTAGCAGTTAATAACATTCCGAACCCAACGGTGGTAGCATAAAAGATGACAATTTAAAAAAAAAAAACTTGTAAATAAGTCTATTTGTATAAAGATAATATTGAAGATAATAATGGAATGCCCGTCTACATTATTATATCGGTACACATCGGTATACACTGGCGATGCACCAGTGTTAGTAAAGACGAAAACAGGAAGTTGGCCCATCTTGACGATTTCAATAACAATTAATCACGGTGATTTCTAGTGAGGACCGCGTAAAGCTCCAATTGATAGCGCATTATTACCTTCCCATTGTTAGCAATACACCTTGTCAGTTGGCCCTCCACGCGGTCCCCCCTGGACACTTTCATTTTTATTCCACCTTTCATCCCTCACTGGTGCCCCGCTAACATATATTGTTAATAATCGATGACCCAACCAGACAGGTAGTGTACTCTCAGACGTGTCGTTGCTAAACTTCGCTCGCATCCTGAGATGGGCACGATCTACTGTTACCACCGAACTTTTTTAAATACGCCTCTGAACATGGAAGAATTATGATCACGATGAGGTCATTGGATATGATCGACCGAAGACTTCACGTGAATAAATAAAGGGCATTAAAGAAATGTTATTCATGAATTAATATTTTTGCATTAGGAAACTGTATGAGCGAATTTATGGGACTGATACTTGGTTCATACGAGGCAAAAGAGGGCGGATTCCTACCTGGCGGAGCATCCCTCCACTCTATGATGACACCACACGGTCCCGATGATAAATGCTTCAACAGCGCTTCATTTGGAGAACTCATACCGCAGAAAATTGCTGTAGGCACTCAGGTTAGTTTATAATTATGTTTAATAATCTAGATATAACAAGAAAATTAATAAATGCATATTTTCTAAGTTTAAAAACAGAAAATGTGCTTCTTTTAATTTTCTGACACCATTAAGACATATGCCGCGTATATGAAGTAGAAAACTTTAACTTTAGAACAGTGTGAATTGATAGAAATCTAACTCGCATCTCTCAGTTCCGAACTGAGTAGATTACATAATCGAGGTGATAAGGTGACAAAAGTGTTTTTGTGTAGGTCAAATTCCAATTGACCTTTGGGTACAGATTTAAAATTGAAATTCGAAGCTATACTTGTAGTATTAAACCTCCATCAGGTAAGCCGTCAACTTGTTTGCGACGAAACTAGGCCACGACGTTTTATTATACTATATATAAATTAATGCACTGAGTAATTACGATCACGTATTTTATGCCCCTACAGGCCTTTATGTTCGAATCCAGCCTAAGCCTTGCTATCACGAAGTGGGGTGCTGAGACCTGTCAAAAACTCGATGCGAAGTATTACGAGTGCTGGCAGAAACTGCCAAAACTATTCTCTGATAAAATAAAAATATAATTTTAATGTTTGTATAACATACAGATAGATCGTAAATATCTGTTTCGTAAATATGTATCGTATGTATATCTATGTTTAACGTTTAACCCAAATCTAGATTCTAAGTACAAATCTTTCAAGAAGTGTCTCTATGTCATAGAATGTTTATAACCTTATAATACACATGAATATAACCTTTATATAAACATGAACTCTAAATCTTTATGTAACATCTTTTTAAGTTTATGAATAAAGCATTATAACCTATGTACTTTTAGACTCGAGTTTTATTTTTCCCATAACTTGGCATTGGTAAAAAAACATTAATAGAATTTATGTTTTTTATACTAAAAAAAAACTAGATTTTAAGTATATTTATTATTGTTTTATGCCTTGCAAACAACAAAGCTTTATTATAACTGACACAACAAACGATATATCAGTTGTGTTTCTATTTTTCTTATATCTAAAATAAATATAATTCTACTAAAAAATAACAAAAAATATTCAAAAAATATTTTTGAATGGGACGATGTGAATAATTATCCTAATGCGATCATGGGTAGACACCCCATAGAAATGCAGTTATTTGGCAAAGTTTCAAGTCTGTTATCGATTTACAAGTCCCAAGAGATGTTTACGGCGACACGTTGTCTGGACGAAATATCACGTGACAGAGATACTACTCACAGCATACGCACAATTTCCTTTGTTTTTAAAAAAGTTATTTTAAAATAACAAATACAAAGAATAACAAATAATTAAAATATTTTTAGCTAGGACACTTTTCGAACTATCACTACGTAAAGACTTCGTCGCGTATAACTGTAATACGTTACAGTCTACAGATTTTTTTAAAATCGAAGTGTCTCTTGAAATGCGTATAAGGAAACACTCCATACCAGGTTTTACTTCTATGGATGGTCCTTTGACTGTCAAAGCGTCAATTACCGTCGTGTTAGTAATAGAAGAAACCGTCCCATTCGAGTTCACAGTTGAATTCACGACACTAGTAGTGACTATGTGCTTAGACGACTGATCCGTTGGAGTATTGTGCGCTTCCCAAATAAAACTGGACATGAGTTTGCAATCAATGTGGGTCTCTTCGTAGTCCCCATTCATCTTTTTCACTCCCAATTTGCATATTTCTCCTGGATTGCCTCGGTATTCATTATAATTGTAATGGTCGTGGTAACTGTGACTAGCTGACATTTTCCCGAGGTTGTATAACGCTAAGCCGGTTAACAACGTATCAAACCTGCTTCCGGAGTCTCTGTACTCGTATACATAGACTGGTGGTTGACCATGATAAACGGGGAAACTATGAGACCCGTAAGTAATTTGCTGCGGTGGACTGTAATGGTAATGGTGGTGGACCTCCGTTTTAGTTGAATGATATCCGTGTCCGCCAGACTGGGAATTCTGTGGATGATATTGGTTTGGTGTGTGCTGGTTATTTTGTTGAGTTTGACCATGACCCGAAAGACCCGTGGAAGCTGGATATAGGTCGCCACCAGCATTCTTATTCTGCGTGTGTTGTATATTTTGATGAAGTTGCGAATTCTGTTGGTTACCAGAAAGACCTGTAGAGGCTGGGTAGGAGTGATAATTGCCAATATATCTAGTATTGCTGCCAGTTCCAGAGTAGCCCGTAGAATGTGGGTAGCTGTGAGAACCATGCGAACCGCGTCCCGAGTACCTGCCGTAACTCCCACCGCCGGATCTTCTCGCACAACTTGTTGATATTAAAATTAAAAGGATGAAAGTCAAACGTGACATTTTCGCGGCGATTTCGATGTTCAACTGAAGCTTTCCGTATAAAAGTTTGCATATACTAGCTGGTGACGTCATCGGGTGTGGCGATGGATGATAAACTCAAAACTTCCCTATGTTCCCGATACCGTTCCGATCAAAGCACGCATGCGTAAGAAACCGACCACATGGTGGAAAAACAAGTACGCATTTCATGGAATCACATAAAAAATAAAATAACAACCTATCTGCTTCTTATTAATTTTTAAGCCTATACTTTTGTAATGTTTGAAACATTTCAAGAACAAGTTTTGTTTTTTGTAGCTATTACCTCGTAGATTATATCATATATTGAATAAATCATTTTAGTAGCTCTAGTCTACTTGTGATATTAAATCGTTCTAAAAACATAAAAAATAGATAATGTACTTTTGTATATTATAGCATTTCACATATTAATATAGCAGTATTATATGTAGCACAGTGTAAGGAACAACCAGTATCCCAATACGCCGTTGACATGCCCACTGGATATTTCGTAAGTCTATTCTTTAGTCTAAACAAATTTGATAAAAGTTATAACAAAACTCCTGAAAAAGGTATCGACTAGTACTTTTTTTATAAGTCAAGGACAGTTGAGCGAACAAAATTATGCGTAAAAGGTAATTTAGAAATATAATATTGCACTAATCCAACTGTAAACTTTATGCTTCACCTATTCATTTACCTATAGAAATTTTATTGTAATTCATCGAAGTAGGTATATTTGCAGGTATCATAAAAAGGCCATATACAATTATTACGATAACTTTAATCATATTATTATTAGCACAGCTTAAAATTACTTTCATTACTGCTTTAGCATTATAAAATACCCTCAGTCGATTATGTCACCAAATTATACTACTTTCATAAAATTGGACATTTTTGGAACGACCAACTTCATGAGAGACGAAAAGTTCAAAATTCAACAAAAAAAAAAAAAACACTTTCGTGCGTTTTAAAATAAATTAAAAAAATAAGAAATAATATTCGTTCAGTTTTCTAAAATACATCTAATTATCATTTGCATTATCCATTGTTGACAGAAGAATGTTTAACATTATTAAGAAAAAAAAATTACTTAGATATTTATACATTTTGAGGTTTCATAGCATCAAAACCACGTACTTAACCAAGTGTATCCATTGCCACAAACTTTGAACACCGTCATTTATGTATCGCCAACCACAAAAGTGTAAAGTTTTATCCAATAAGTTTTGTAATACATCTATAATAGAACAGAATGGAGAATATTTTTTATAAAAAATAAAGATAACCAACTGAATTCTTATGAAAATATTATGATAGAATTAGCAAAACTTTTTAATTAAAAAAGTATCATACAAATCTGTCTAAACCATAGATAAAATAATAGTTTTAAAGAAAAATTTATAATTTATTGATTAATGAATAGGTATTATTGTATGTAAAATAAATTTGTCACTGAAGCCAATTCACAAATTGCAATTTTAAATAAATTTTTGACTGTATAACAAAATGCAACATGAACAAAAACCGGTCGACCTGTAGTCGTCTTACTGCTTTTTAACGCGTCTTGCCAATTCCTATATTAGTATAAAGTAAACAAAAGATCTCCTTTTTGTTCCAACTTTAAATGTGTTAAGAAAATAAAAATATACCGAACTTTGATAAAATTATTTTTATATGTATAGAGAACTAAAAATCAGAAATGAACCCGTATCAAAATAATTTCCATTATAATAGCATACTATATAATGTAGGAGGCGATAATTATATTAAATTCAACATTTAAAAAATTAATCACTAAACAAATATATTCCAGATGTGTGAAAAATATTATAAAAACAGGTATATTTTTTCGCAGTCTTTGCGCATTCCATTTTATTATCAGACAATATTGTCAAACCACAATAAGAGAGCAAAATTAAAATCAACTCTTAATATGTTACTCTCCTATTATGACATGTTATAGTAAAACATAAAAGATGGGTAAACCCAAATATAACTTAACATTGACCCCATTCCATTATAATCAGATTTATAATAGCAACTTTCAATTGCAAAATGTACAATAACACCCAAGTTTACATCAATAACAGTTCTAATGTAAATTATTTAAATGGATCTTAGCAGATGAAACTAATATTGATGGGAACATGAAATTATTATGCATTGATATTCCATAAATTTTTGTGACACACTATAAAAATGACATTTGCTGTTATAAACAATAGTATTTCATTTTGTAGTGTTTTCAGAAATATGGGAGGCGGTACAAAACAGTTGCAACATCAAATCAACATTCACTTATTGACTAAACACCAAAGCCCTGTCACAGACACTAGGTCCTGTGCAGACGAGGCACTTTTTTCAGGGGACAACTATATTTCTGGATATGTTTGCAAAGGTATTATCGTGGACTCGTGTGCGTTATGCCTATTGATGAAGTTAACTATGTAGAAAACAGCTACATTATCTAAAATGTCAATAAGAGATTTTGGTTATTTTCTACATAATTAATAGCAATAACACGGTAAGATATTCATTAAGTAATAAGGAAAGCAGAATGTTTGCTACTGTATGAAATATTGTAGCTTTTCATAGACTATATCATGGACACATACTGCATAATTGTCAATGGAAAATCTTAAGTCAAATGCTTTTACTTTTTTAGTATAACATGATGATAATATCGTACCGTGTCATACAACAGTAAATTTATAAGCGATATTTATATGCGATAATTTTACGTCCCTCATCTACCCAGGTCCTTAATGTTGCACACTTGCAAACAATCTATGACAAGTTACACTAATGTAGACAGTGTTTACAGTATTATTTATTACACACAGTGCTTTAGAATATTGCCTTTAGCTTTTAAATTATTAAATTTAAATTAAATTTCACAATTTACAGATTACTGATATAAATAAAATTTATAAATTGTAACAATTTTAAATTAGTATTGTGTAAATATCTTCACAAAGGACAGGTTGATCCAAATATTTAATAGGGAAATAAGCCTTGGCTGTCGACAACAGTAAATCAAATAGTTATGTAGAATACTAAAATAAGTAAGCATAAGAAATATATTATGTAAATTTACAAACAAATGAAAATAATGTCATTCACTGTACAACACTGGTCTACACAGCTGTTTGAAGTTTATAGTTCCATCATGTCTGTATCTGGGACAGTAACGTTCACTCGTGCGGTGTCCATGAGTGCATCGTCAGGCCTTGGCGAAGAGCTGGCGGACGGCGGCTAGCCGTGGTTCACGTTGACGCCGGTCTCTAGCTCTGAGGCAGGCGTCTCAGGCTCCTCGTCATTGTATATGTTCTCTGCCATTTGCCACACCTTTAACAAATAATATGTTTTAAGTATAAACGTATCATAAACGTTATGTCCATAGTGGTGTTTCTGTTTATAAGCGACGGTTACTACTTTCCATTAGATAGGGCGACAACTTGTTTATTATTCGAAAACTTTTAACTCGACAGTTTCATTTTTATAAAACTAAGTTCGGGGAATGAGTCAATAGCAGACTTGGTAAAAACTGTCGACCGCCAGCCCTCGACATTAAGGGTATTGTGAATTATTTCAACTTCGGGATGAAATTAAATTGATTGTCGAAAATGTCAAATATAGGAAGTTCATAAAATTCCCATTATCATACACAAGTATATACACTATAGACAAAGCTAGAATAACTTACATTTGGAATACATCTTAATTTTTGGAATACGTTTGAATTTTTTATTATTCATCTATTATCACATAACCCACGATCGTTAGATTTTACACTGGCTGGAGCTTTATTAATTTAACTATGTTTTAGTAAACAATTTTATATTATGGTCATTGGAAACTGTTACTACTGTGGGATTGGTATGAAACGGAACGTATGTTAAAAGTGAATGTTGTATGCATAGATTGGAATATGAGGAAGGATGACTGATGTAGAGTGAAGTGGGGGTGGTGAACGGTTGGAGAGTGAAAGTAGAAGATGGACGACAAGTGAACAATTGTGTGTGCTCCTACGATTATTTTTCTAAGATTTAATTTTGCAATTATATATAGTTGAACCGCTTGTGTAAAAAGGAATTTAATTTCTAGCTCCTTGGACCTACATTACTATTATTTATTAAAGTTACCTGCATAATATTATCTTCTGAGACGGAACAGATGACCCAAGGTTCATTAGGGTTCCATGAGAAATCAGAGATCTTGGCAGTATGACCGCCATGAATGAACAGTAATTCTGGTGGACCATCTTCAGCATCTTCTGCAGTTTGTTCTTCACCAATTTTAGATAAATCCCACACATGTAGTCTGAAATGATAGATAAATCTTATTATTATTTCTTTTTTTTTTATTGGACTTGTAATAGCAAACAAGTGTCTGCCCACATACGAAAGGTATAGACAAGAACTTGTCAGCACAGAATACACTGTCTCCATAGTACCATTCACATGTCAATTCTCAGGAAGATAAACAACATGTACTACTAGATATTTTCTACAATTAATATTTTAATAGGCCACCTGGGTAACATATATAAGCCTATCTGTCTACCTCTTTATAATTTAAGTAAGTACTGAGAATTGCCAAATGTCTCATGGGAATGGAAGACAATTAATCATCACCAGGTGCAGATCCGACCCTTACAAAAGATTGTGGTCACAGTTACCCAAAAATTAGAAAAGAATATTAACTTACTCATGATTGATATAGTGCATTCTTATAAAGGAGATACAAAATATATGATGCCCTGAACAAGATTTTGTAATCAGGTGAAAAAAAGCCATGAGACGAACTCTAGTTAATTAATAAACCTGTAAAATGTCAATTTGTTTGCTTATGAAAGTTGCAATAGTATAAAGGCATTGGAAATAATATCATCAGCTTATGGACCTCAATAGGTTGTAAAAGAGAGAGAGAGAGAGAGAGAGAGAGAGAGAGAGAGAGAAAGATTTTAACATATTACATACACATAATCTATCTTATAAGATATAAGTAAAATTTATCTATAATAACAAATTCAAATATTTACCTCCTGTCTGTCCCACTACTAGCCAAGATAGTTTCATTGTGCGGTGACCATTGCACTTGGAATATTTCATCTTTGTGTGATTCAAATGAATGTAGTTTGAGTTTCAAGTTTCGCAAGTCCCATAATGCCACCTGTTGAAATAGTACAATTAGTTAAAATTCAGTGTGACATTATTGAATTATTAAATTTATTATTTAAATAACAAAAGTATTAGGTTCCCAATTCAGTTATTTTCTTTTATCTTTTCATCAGTTCTGAACCAATCTTAATTTTTTTTTTGCAATTAATATGGTTTACTCCTTGCTTTATATTCGATGATGATTTAAGCCATTTTTTTTTTTTCAAAAAAATATAATTAATTAATCTCTTATAAAAATATGACAAGATATATGTAAATACTTACAGTTTTGTCAGCACTGCCAGTAGCCAATATGAATTCTGAATAAGGATTGAAGCTTAGGCAGTTTACTTCTGCTGTATGAGCATCTACTGTGTGTGATGGTTTGGACGTATTATTACATCTGTATATGAAAATTTGTTAAATTAATACTCATATCTTAAAAATATTATACTAACCTAACCCAAATTATATTCCCATATCTATAAATTAATTAGTATATTAATTAAATATTTGTATAGAGACTTCTAATGTGAAGGCATTTTTTGCGCTTACAATGCAAACCTTGACTGAACCCTATAAAATAGATCAAAATAATGTACTACACTATTATACACCTTAAAGTCTACAAAAAAAAAATCCGCGATGGTTTATGTCTATCTCTTAGGGTAGGGATCCGAATGTTTAGGTAGTGTACCAATGTAAATTTATATGTATAACGAGGAAGGAAAATTAATAATTTTTTGTTCCTTACAATTTAACTCAAAAAGTACTCGACCAATTTTAGCGAAAGCTATATCTCCTCAGAGTAACATAGGCTGTTTTATATTTTCTGTAAAGAACCCACGCTGCTACTGAAAATGTACAATAACATAATTACATAAATAATAATTTACCTGGTGTCCCATATCATAAGCTTCTGGTCATCAGCAACAGAACCAAATAAAGACTCATGCAATAGGTGCCAAGCGACATCCTCAACGACCGCCGTATGGCCAGTGAACACTGACTTAGCTTCGATTACTCTTCCTTCTTTAGGGGTAGCATTAATATCCCATAGGCAGATTGTGTGATCATCGCTGACAAATAAAACATAGTTTTTATTTATGTTTAGATTCACATTGTGTAGGTATTGGTTTCTATTTCTATATATATGTTTCTTTTGCATATAAAAAGGGCAGATACATATAACTATCGTGAGTCATACAATGCAGTAATTATTTGTATAAGATATACTCTAAATTCTAATTTTGTAATTGCCTATCAAGTTTGAAACTAGTTAGCCATCCTTGATATTTAAAATGGTATAAGTCGATATTAATAATACACAACATTTTTAATTCAATTATAAATTTATATTAATCAGAATTTTCAATGATTTTAAACCTCTGACAAGACTTGAAACTTAAAAATACTTACTACCTACATAAATAAATACAATAAATAAATCAAATACCTAAATAAATCGTATTATAATTAAACGCAATGTTAATTTAATTAAATTTACCTGGCAGATAAAAGATAACCATTGAGATTTGGGTTCCATGATAACCCATAGCCTTCTTTTTGATGACCACGCAATCTGCAAATATAATAAGAATATATAAAATATACAAACATGTCAAATATGATAGTAGATAGTAATAAAATATAATACTAAACATGCATCCTGTACAGTAATGTTAATACCAACTTTTATATATATTGAACATCACGTTTTTGTGTGTATTTGTCATAACAATTTTTTTCACAAAAATACTTATTGCATTATAAGAAAACACAAACATATTTGCAACATGTGTTTTAGTGTTAAGAGTTGAAGTTTATATTTACTATAGAAGTTTACTTGAATAAAGACGACTTAATTTTGAAAAAAAATTATATTTTTTATATGTTTTTGTAGTAATATCAATATTTTTACATCTTTATTTGTACCTTAGATCAGGATGGCATTCACCGGATGGCTCTGGTTTTGATGGGTGTTTGGTATAGTCAAAGACCAGCACATCAGATGAAGGGGTCTTGGTGGCAATAACACAGGGATTCTGGGGCATAAAGCGAGCTCTATTCACTTCACCCTCATGATTGATCTTGATTTCAATTTCAATTTTGCCTGATACAGATCCAAAACCACCAAACTCTGAAAAAAAGGTATTTGTTTTTTTATTACTAGGAATATTTAACGAAGTCTGTTCCATGGTGTTATCATCATTGATATAAACATGAAAAACACAATGGCCAAAATATAAAATATACTACAATATATATGTTATCTAACAGTATTCTTTAAGGATTGTCTATCCCTACAGGCATAACAGTTCTACTGGTACTTGATTTATGGCGGTATAAACATGATGACAAATATGTATTTGTCATAACAGTTTAATAGAACTAGAACATGGCTCATAAACATTGTGGATAATGCATAGGATACTACAATCGCAATGCAGTACAATCATAAAAAAACTAATGATTTAAAAAAAGCTAGTAAACAAGTCTATTTGAATAAAGATTATTTCTATTCTATTCTACTGTGTATTAAATTTTACTTGGAAACAAATGTAGTGTTCCATGTTAAGATTACAAAGCATCACTACTCCTTTTTAATTCTAGAATGCCAAAATTGACAATTATTGAAACACAATATGCCATTGTAAAAGCAGGATAATTCGAAAGATGTGTAAAAAAACAAAATGTACAATGTTTGGTCAATCATTTTGTAGTTGCTATCCTAATATATTTATTTTTATTTGTATTTTTGTACATTCATTTGAAATTTAGATATTAGGTTATAGGGAAAAGATACTCACCACCTTTGTCATTATCGTAATGGCTGGCATCAAACTGAGCATCTTCATTAGGCAGCTGAACACTAGCAATCAGTAGGTGGTTTTGTTCATCTGATGTGTGTGTACCCAAAATTAATCTAAATTCAAAACATAATACAGATTAATAACAATGTATTTAATACAAACTCCATGAACAATGTGAAATGAGTAGATGGACTTGTTTAAATGTAACATAGAAGTGGGCCTATCACCATTTTTTCTTAGCATTAATTTTATTTAATAATTTGCTAAAAATATTTAGTATGATATGTATCCTGCATATGCATCAACACATTTAGCTGCTCAGTAGAATGTGTCTCATCTCCATGGTCACTCTAACATAGAGCTAATAATTTATCATTAACTAGAATAGTTATGCAGATAAGAATAAAATCCATATGATGAAAAATAAAAACTAAGCATTTTACTGTGATGACAGCATATTGTTTATATATTAACCTGTTATTTTATTGTTAAGTTTAGTAAGCACACATTATTTTTTAATGTAATAACTACCACTTTAATTTATATGTAATTAGATTAAAAAAGTTTGACTAGTTTTGAAATAAATTTGTGATCCTTTGTCATTACTTATTTTAATAATATATTACTATTAGCTGATGTCCCTGCAAACATTATTATACAACCTACAACCAACAACTTGTTCTATTTTTTTTTTATATTGGTATCCTATATCTCAAATTGGAGCAAACAAGCATTTATAAAGTTCATTACAATGTCTGGCAATAAGAAATATTTTTATTCAAGTAAACTTAGATTTAAGCATTTTTGAACAGGAATTCTTTTTATTATCATCTATTCGGAATGCAATTTCAGCCAAGAAGAATGGGCAAGAAACTCAGCTGTCGTTCTTTTCAAAAAGTAAAAATAAAAAATTTATATAATATATAAATAAAAAATTTGTGTGAATAAAAAATACTAAGCAGTTTTAGGAATAAATATGAAGGAACAATGTGAAATAGGAGTGAAAATTCTATTTTATCCATCATACATTGCCATTCTTGACGACTATGGGCTTATGACAATATACCCTGTAAGTTCATTGTCATATCCACATCTTTAAACCAAAACAGCCATGCACAGCTACTTCACTAGAGAAACATGAGTGGAACAGAGGTGCCCTTGCAGATGACTTATAAGTTTTTATTTTGTTCTGATTTTCAATGGCACCTTCCCAGAGTTCTATCCCTAAGCATGTATTCCGAGACTGAGTATCTAAATATAAGAAATTATGGCATAAGTATCATAATATGCATATATTTATTTAGATATTTAAAACATTTAAAAATTTATGTAGTGTTTAAAATGGTCAGAATGGGAGTACATGCGGAAATAACTGCGAATAAAGAAGAATGGAAGGGAAAAATATTATGACCCCGAATAATAATTGGGATAAGGGTAGGAAGATGATGAGATATTTAAAAACGTAGCCAAACAATATTTGTAAATTACAAAAATAATGATTGTTACGATAACGACAATTTAGATTATTAGTAGCAATTACCATACCGGTGCACAGAATAATCTTTCCCTTCAGGCCTGGTCACGTCTGGAAGCCACTGAGCAGTCAAGGAAGGCCACTCAAGAGCGTGTGTCATTACCAAGTCGTAAAGAAATGGCGTGTTTTTCTTCCATATTTTATATTCTTCGTTGATAACTCTCTCCTCAACAGCATCGTCAAAGGTTTCTATAAGTAGATACAAAGGAATAAAGTACGATAACCAAAAAACAGAGGTAAGCTGTCAAGAATTTTTATCGCTTATGGAATTGTATATAGTGGACTTGAGTACATATATTTACCTCCATCCCCTTTATCACCCATTTTAAAATAAATATGTGTCAATTATTTTCACCAAATAGTATCTGGAAAACAATTTTACTAAAAGAACCGGCCTAAAAGGCGCCAAACAACGAAATTCCTTGGTCGGCGTTGCTATCCGCCGTCAGCAGACAAACTTCCGGTTGCCTTCTCCAATCAATTAATTATTCTTTATATTTTCAAATATCAGTCTAATATTATATTATAAAACCGAATATAATAATAATATTATAATTATATTCTCTCCTAATTTTCTTTTAAATAATTAATAATTTTTATATTTTGTTACTTTTACAATTTATTAGTATCTTTTTAAAACGGAAACAGTGCAGCGTTTCTAAAGTGTTACTAGAACAATTTAATATCATTGGCTATTTTCGTGTCGGGAATAATTAAAACATCTACATCGCAATCTATAGAAAAATAAATAATAAACTTAGATAGTTACTAAAGTATTTAATTAGCTAATTAATATTACCAAAGTAGATTGTCTACTAGGTATTAATCATAGACGTAATAATAAAGTACTTAAAGTAGTCATAATACCGTACAAAGAATATTAAGTATTAAATAACTTTAATATTATACATAACTTGTGTATTAAATAGAAATGTTCTATTTTTATATTATAGAAGTAAATTTTTTGCTTTTGCAATATGTGAATCTGACTATTTACGGTTCCATAAATTAACAATATTTGCTCCGAAATCATTAGTATTTGCAATATTAAGTCACAGCTAATATATATATATTAAAATAAAATGTATCATATCATAATCATTCTAGTTACTGTCGTCGTATGTCAATGTCATTTGGTTATAGATGTCACGGTGACAACAACTAAAGATATGATGACACATTTTTCTTTCATATCAAAATTATCAAATCAAATTATCAAGATTTAGTAAAAGTGCAAACGGTAAAATAATAATAAATTTTAATTATATGTGTATGCCAAAAAATTAACACATTTAAATAAAATTCTGAGGGAAATACACAATTTTTCGCTTGTGTTGTGATTCCGATTCTGGAAACAAGAAAAATCCTTGTTTTTTTTTTAAATTCAGGGATCAAAATCAAAACGTGACTATGGCTGATGCTGCAGCAGCACGTCGTGAAGCTCGCAGAAAAAGGATTTTAGAAAATTCTCATAACAGGCTCCAGCTGATATCTGGAAAGACTAGCGACGAATGTTGTAAAGGTATCAACATTTGTTTCATTCATTTACATTGCTTGTTTATTAAAAAAAAATAACTTATCGTTTCTATTCTAGTGTCACCAGTTAGAAGCCCAGTTCCTGAACAGACCTACGAAGTTTCAATAACACCAGAGAGTTCCAGTAAATCCTCCCTTAATAATGGATTGCTTCTTGTAGAGCCAGAAACTTTTGCTTTGTTGTCAACAAATCCTGACACTGATGCAACTGGCGACGCAGATGTTTTTAATGAGCATGAATCAGCAGCTTTAAGGTCATCACTGCCTGAGACAGCCCAAAAGTTAACAGTGTGGGATCAATTGACCATCTATAAATATGACATAGTGTTTTTATCCCTAGTCATACAACTCTTATATGGTTTGTCTTTTATAACTCTTGATAATACATATATGTTTCTCCCTTTTGCTATATATGTTATTACTAAACAATTATTTTTCCCAACAAAGAATAATTCAAAGTTTGCAAATATGCTTTTATTATTGAATGGTTTATCTCAGCAGGCTGATAGACTACAGAAGGTATTGAGTATCACACAATGGGTTGGTGTGATTTTCCAAGATATGTGTATATATCTATTCACTACTATTTGTGTACAATTGCTTTATATTACATTAACGAAAAACTTTGTGACATAATAATTACTTGGTACCCCAAAATGCGGGCATTATAATGACTGATCATTTCTAACAATAGTAAGCTAGATCTGACAAGAATGTTCCGTAATTTTGATTGCTTGTGCCTTTTTATGTAAGTGAGACGTGACATGTGTGCGTTTTAGTCACATATTGCCATTTTAGTTATAAACTAGGTACCATTTTGTAAATAGCAACAGTTTCAAATTTTAGTTCAAATTAACATTTGCTCAAGAACTTATATTACTTTATATGCTCGCATTTTATTTACACAAGTAAAATTTAGTTTATAAATTAACATGTACATACTGTCTTTAACTCAGCTCCTTTATGGAGGGATAGGCAGAATGTAGTGTGGACATGTTGACAAACCAATATATATATATATATATATATCATTAGTCACTATTTTGTTAACATTTATAATTTTGCATTTTAATGATTGTATTTCTTTTATTATGAAATGTGAAATAACTGTGTGTTTGTAAATATTGGAGAAATGCATGAATTGCCAAATTAAAACTATTTTTATGCTCTGTATAATAATAATATTTTGATATATATGTAATTCTATTAAGGCCTATGAAATAATATTTTCTAGTAAGTACATATATATAACTGTAAAATAAGATTGCATTAGGTATTGAATTCATTTACAATAAATAATTCTCATTCATTTGAGTGATAGAGGATTATATAATATATATGTAATGCAAAAATAAAGGTGTTCTACTAACCTAACCAAACCTCTGCAACATATATTTATATAATATACACCAAAGTTCATATAATCAAGTTATTTTTGTCTCATGGTATTACAATAATGGAGCAATAAGGAAAAACATTCTATATAATAATTGCTTACTTATTTAAAATATCACCAAAGCTTAACTGCAGTTCCCAACCTCTCTGCCAAGTATGGCAACTACTGGCAAACCTCCAATAGGGGGAGACCTTTGTTCAGCAGTGGACAATTAATAGCTGTTTAATTTAAAGAATAATAAAATTTATGAAGTCTTTCAAATTAAGAATTAATATATACTGAAATGAGATATTGTGATTTATATTTATAAATATTTTCCATATTAATATAAGGTGAATATTATCTCAAATTAACCTATCCATTTATCATTATAATATCACCTGTATATAATTCCAAGTACAAGTTTGAGGAGTTATTGCCTTGAATATTTCATGGTGCACCATTATAACCTTTATTCGTAAACATGTATGCCCGGTACATTTTATTAAAAACTAATTTAGAATATTCATACAGTAGAGCTTTTTTTCTATACTCCTCATGAAATTAAAAAAAATGTGAACAAATTAATAAGAACCATGTGTCACACTTGTAGACCAAATTATTTACGTTATTTAAAATCTTTATATCGATTTCGGTTACCTTTAGATTAATATCATGTTATATACATGACAATTAAAAAAATTCACAACCAATATAATTGTAGTACTTATGAAAGTAGTCAGTAGTGTTGGTACATACAGAATTAAGCTGGTATGATTTATTTGCCAAAATTCCAATAAAATATTGTAAAATATTTTTCAAATTATATACCTAATTATGCGATATAATGTTTTGTTACTAGCTTAATCTATCAGCTTAATTCGAATTGTTAGTAAATCTAATTTAAAATAAAGGTCAATCAAATATAAAACATTTATTTAAATTATATTTTATAACACTTGAAATAAAAAAATGGTTTAAAGATTTTTCTTGTTTATTTCTTTCCATGTAGATCATTAAATATTCTGGTTAGTAATCGAGCTGTAATTAAATTCAAGATTATTAATATTATGTAGGTAAGTAGAGATAAATATTATGAAAAATAAATATTTCCCATGTCGAAATTCTAAGGTTCTACAGGTCTCTTCAGGAACAAGTCATCATACCTAAAAGATGACTAGGGGACGGAAGCATAACATGACATGTTCTGAAGAAAAAAATATCTTAATAATCCGATACAATAAAAAGAGTAAAAATATATTTTTATGATACCTTTCTTTATCTACCTACATTTATATCAAGACATTTATCTAGAGTAGTAATGGTAGGTAGGGTAATATATTAATAGATGGTTATTCACAAATTAGTAGTTTAATAACGGTAGTTGTAACTCTATAAGATAGTTAACAGTATCTATCTCCATTGTCAGCAACGAGAATATTAGTTATAAAAGCACCGAAATCATTTCCTTATCAATCTGTTACTCTATACGCTTGGAATATGAAAGGTGGAGGGGAAGGGATCGTTAATAATGCGGACTACTAGTCCCATAGCTAGCAATAAACCTATCGTGCTGAATTTCAGGTTTATTCATCACGATAGACTAACTGACCTGCCTTTCATTCTCACCTACCCGTCGTCACTGTCATGCCCCGTCAGCGTATACCGTTACCGCAAGCGGCATTACTATTCGATTATCATCCGTTAAAAAAATTATGGAAGGTAAAACTATTACATTATAACAAAAAATTATGGATGCATATATAAAAATTACAAATGAGGTAAACAAAATAATGGGCAAAAATGACAGAAAAATGTATGTCCATTATTCATTTTTCTAACTAAATCAACTAGACTAAATAAAACAAAATATTGTTATTACAATAAGTTTACTTCAAAACTAAAGACTTATGAAAAAATAGAATGCATTAACAATATAATAGGTACCTATGTCAAATAAAAAATAACAAGATCTAAATAAGCAATCAAAATGAGATACTAAACAAAACTAAAACTTCTTAAAGAAACTTTTTATACTATTAATTATTGTCTTACTTTGTTTGCTGTTATCTACTGTGGGATCGTTTGCTGACTCAGTTTTTTTGGACTGAGTTCCATCCTTTTCACCCGTGCTCTGACATTCTTTTGACTCTTGTTTCTTAGAAACATTAATACTAGAACTAGTTATAGTTTCATTACTTTTATTATCTGATGCTTCTGGACTAGTGGAACTATGAGTTTCATAAGAAATACTTTGTACAAAATCATTACTCTTACTACTAGGTTTTAATTCTAATTTATTCGAGTCAATTGAATTGTCAGAGCACCCGAATTCCTATTGTTTCTTTTCTGTATTCTTTGATTTCTTTTCCCGTACTGGCTTCGCACGCACCAGATCTGTACGCCCCATAGAGATCATTTTCAATTCCCAAGCTTCTATATCTTTTCTGTAACAAACAGATATGATTGAAATTGTCTTACATATTATGACCAAAATACAATTGGAATTAGTTGATAATAACATTGGTGTTCATCTGCTATCTGAATAGAATAGGCTCCCTGCCGAGGTTCTTCAAAATGAATTAAGAATTAGGGTTGGTAATATGCATGTGACACTTCTAGTATAGCTGGCATCCTCTGACTACAGTAACCGTTTACCACCAGATGAGCTGTACAATTATTTGCCACCTTCACAGAGTATAGAAAAATAATTTATGTGTCACTGAATATAAAAAAAATAGCTTGTAATGAACTACAGTTTAATACTTGTATAGTACAAGTAGTTTAATAGTTAATTAGAACATTATTGTTTTTTTTTTTTAATAACTTAAATTATATTCTCAAATTAATACTAACTTATATTTATCCATAAGCTGCTGAGCCTGTTTTTCATATTTGACTCTATCATTGTCAGATAGTTTAAGCCATTCTGCTTTTACTTTTTCTTGAAACTCTTTCATATTTTTTCCATGAAAGTCATCTCTTCTTGATTGTGCAAATAGAAAATAAGATGACATTGGCTTTTTTGGACGACCTAATTCTTTGAATTCCTGGAAGTAAACAAACATTATATTATGACATACAGAAGAATATATGTCTGTTTTAGTCAACTATAATAGAATAAGAATGTGTTTATTAAAACTGATTTCAATTACAACAAAACCAATTATTTTGATTTAAAAAATCCAATTACTTTGAAATTAAACTACTGAATTGATTTTGATAAAATTTCAATAGGACCAAAAGTATAACCATTTAGATAAAAAAATAATCTAAATTAATGACTAATTAACTGATGGAGATGAGGAAATAAACAAAAAATATACCACCATATTAAAAACTTCCTATTTTTGAAATCGGTTAAAATAGGTTTTGTTTCAAAGATATACCTGTGCTACAAAATACATAATAGCACACACAAAATATTATTTTGCCTTCATTAAATTTACAGCTACATATAAAAATAAAAAATAAATATGCTCATTACTTAAATCTTTAAATGGATAGTAACCTTGCCTGTGCAGTCCTACTGACTAATTATACACATAAATAAAGTTACATAAATACATATTGTTAATAAATGTAAATTTTCAAATCTTCTGTGACAGGGAGACTCTATCTATATTATGCATAAATATACTGATATTCTTATTTCTATACAAGTTAAGACACAATTTATTGTTATTCACATTAAAATTTTGTAACATTTAGAAAAACTTACTGCTCTTAATTTTCTCTTCTCCCTGGCAGCTGTCATTTCTTCCTTCAATTTCTTAATGTCTGCCTTTTGTTGTTCAGTTAAAGAAGATTCATAGATCTCCTTAATTTTTTTATAATCCTCCATATCTTTCTCATATTCCTTTACCATTTTATTTTTGGTCTAGAATGCAATATTTTAAGTTAAGGAACACAACTATCAAGTAAGTATTCAGTTATAGATACAAATTTTATTTTTAACATCAATAAGCAAAATATACTTTGTGATATTTACAGAATTTATGTTCACTTAAATATTTGAAAAAAGCAGTAGCTGAGTTTTCTGTTTACCATTCTTATTAAATTTGCATTCAAAAAGGGCCAGAGAACTATAAAAAAATTACTATTAGAATTGTTTTTTTTTTGTGTAAATTAAGCATTAATTTTAAGTTTACATAAAAAAAAGAACAAAAATCTGTTTTTGTGTCTTTAATTCTATATATTAAAATAAAGATGCTACTTTAGATGAATCATAATATATTAATTTTGTATAAATCATGAAGTTTTAACAGCCCCAATCAAATGTATTTAACAAACATGTCATGTGTAGTAGATATGTTAAATTTATTTGACAAAGAATCTTAGTTTGTATATTTATTTTTCTATTTATTTAACTGCCTCTTATATTAACATAATAATGAGATAGAATGGAAGCATACAACATTATTATAAACAGAATATTTTAAATAAAAAGAGTATAAAATTGCTGAATTCTGTCAAGCATACCGCAGCATCTAACTCCTGCCAATGTTTGGAGCTCCAAGCTATTGCCTCTTTAGAAGTGATGCCAGGATTCTTAGCAAGTAATGCAGATCTCATCTGAGTCATGAATTTGAAAAAAGGAGTCAATGGTCGCTTTGGTTTTTCTATGCCTAGTTTCTCCTCAGCAGATTTCCTTGTGTAATTACATATTTGGGGTGTAAACCAGTTTGCTCTGTAATTTATTTAATGAGTAACATTAATCAATATTAATAATAAGTAAATAATATTGTACATAAATATAATAAAAGATTGTCCTTTATGACCTTATTAATTTATTTATTTAGTGACAACTAGGAGTGCTTAATAGTTTACCATTTCACTTTTTTAATAATTATATAATATATAGAAAAAAGTATACTGTAAGGGAATAAATTCTCATAATTGATTTTATTCTCTTGGATATGGATACTTTCTAAAGAATTTATTATCATAATGAGAAATTCGTCAGATTCACTAATAAATTCAGAGGCTGACTTATGATTTAAGTGTTGTTTACATATTTTAGGAGATTTTTTATTCATTTAATAGTCATTTACAATTTTGTTATCAATATCATTAAAATCAGTAGTCAATGGATACCCTTAGGTCGTAGTATCAGACTTTTTATAGTTTGACCTCCCGCGCTTACGGCGCGTCGGCGTTAGCGTTAAAAACTCGTCCAACATTTTTTTGTTGACTGTTGACGCGCAAATTTTAATGGTACTAAGTAAATTTAAAAATTATGATTTTATTATTTACGCTATTATGTGGTTTATTCATATTTTCTTTCATTTAGTAGTTATTAATAAAAAAATAGTTAATAAATATAAGTCAAACAAAGGTAAACATTGAATGAGGTAAGCGTCATAACCTAAAATTAAAATAAAATGTATATACCTTCCGTGTACGACAGCTTTGTAGTTACCAATAATATAATTACTCAAACGGCTAAATTGTGTAAATGAAGACATCTTATGTTATTCAATTATTTCTTCATCGAATTAATATAAAACTAAAGTATAACAAACTCAAATTTTCTCAAGAAATAACAGTAGTGCTGTGTTGCCAAATTATTGTCAGGTTTTTATTCTAATGAATCTCATTTAAAAAATTGCTACATTAATAAACTTAAAAATTTATTTAAAAATTTTATAAATTATTATATAATATTTCTATTTATTAGAGAAATTTAAAAATATTGACTAATAGAGCAGCAAAATGTACACCGAAACTTCAAATAAAAAACAAAAAAAGAATACTAAATATTTTAGATTACGTTTTTCATACATAAAACAATTGTGATTGATCTTATAATATTCAAATGTGGATTAACATTAAAAAAATTACGTTGGCAACATTGATCTAGCAATTGAATTGAATTGTTGGCAAGATTGTAAGCAATTGACAAATAAAACTCAAATTGTCAATGTCATTTATCTTTTTAAACGTTTTTATGCAAAGGAATCCTATACAAACAAGTATGAAAGAAAAATATTTTTACTTATATTTTTTGTAGATATTTCGAGTTGCTATATATAGATTCATATTGATAGATTGAGCTTCTCACGATAAAATACTGACGGTACTTTTAAACAGCAACGTCATTCAAGATTTGTCTCTCGGATATCCTTAGCCCTAAATTGTCTCAATCGTCTCATATAAGTGAACAATGCTCAAATAAAAGGTTATATATTGAAATACTTTTTTTCTGTGGTCGGCAATGGAATAGTAAGAGGAGGAGAAAAAGATTGTTAGTAATGGGATCTAACAACTACATTACTAGTAATACTAATATACCCTATTTTTTTTTAATGGATGTTATAGGAATGGTAACTCCGTCTGCGCTAACGGTATACGCTGGTGGGACACTAGTAAGGGATGATAGGTGAGAATGAAAATGTAAGTCAGTCATCCATTGTGATGAATACACCTGGAATTCAGGACAATGGTTTCTAGAGGGGAATAAGTGGATATCGACCTGACAGAGTATATTGCTAGCAATGGGACTGGTAGTCCGCATTACAAAAAAATCCCTTCTCCCTTATATACCTTATTAAGTCGCCCTCCACGCACTTCCACTTGGAAACCATCGTGGTTAATTCCTATTGAATTCGTTATAATGGATAAATTGACTTTCTTTCATCCTCATCTCTCATGTTCTGAAAATCATCGTGATTAATTTCTGGTGAATCGGTCATGATGGGGCGTCTGACCTCATTTTCACTGACTGACTTCATTCTCATCTATTATCACTCACTTAAATAGCCCGTTGTGAAAGGACATCGTGTGGTAGTAGATTAAATAAAATATAATTTAATTGTATACACATATTTTATTTCGTCTTATATTAGTTTATTTACAAAACATAGGACCTCATTTTGCCTATTTACAGTATAATACTATTTTGGCAATAAGCGGCTTCTGATTCACCTACCGCATTGTTTAAATAAACTATTAAATATTATAATTATAAATATCATGCTTAATGCCATAGATTTAACAATAATGGTGGGATAGATGGCTAATGATTATTTAATAATTTTGCTTTGTAAAATAATTCAGCAGTGACAAAATTATTAATACTGAAAAAATAAAGAACATATCGCATAACAAACGAATAAATTAAAGTGGAGGCTAATTAAGAACACCTCTGTAAATTTTATTATGACTCTTGCTTATTGACAGTTTCTTAGATAGTCTATTTATTGTTCCTTTTTACCTAATATATTTCACTGTAAGTGCAGTTTGAAGTAAGTAAAAATATATTGGGCCAAAAACCCAGATCATGATCCACGGCCGCGTTATTAACAAGTGAATCGCAAAGTAATTAAATTAATTAAAAATAGAATATTTAACTTCTAAATTATATATTTTCTTTTGTATTGTGATCGATATTCATTTGTACATTAGGCGATATAGTGCAGCTTATTTCCAGGTGTGATTTTTGTCTATCTACAGATTCTATTTACAAAATCGTGTTCTAATATTATAAATTAAACCAATGAAAAATCATTAATATTCACAACAAGTGTGGTCGGCAATACAAGTTCATGAATACGACCAGTATATATTACCTCTATTTACATCGTAGAATGTATTTTAACTTTTTTTATGTACATCCAATTTTTTCGCTAATTATGCTATAAGATTTTATTCAGTTTTCAATAATTTGTGTGTTATCAACTTTCGGTGCTGATGGTACCTATTCTTGGAACTTGGTAGGTACTATTTTGTTCTTGATATCGATTTTTTTATTTAGTCTTACCTAAACATATTTTAGAAAACGTTTTCATAATTACCTTCTTTTATCATTAAAATAGGTACACAAAAAGTATTTTATGTATAGATAGTTAACTTAGATAATTGCTTATAAAAATTAAATAAATTTTTATACAAAAAGATCTATTTGTCCACAAGTGTAATCTTTCCCTTATACTTATTTGATATTTACATATGTAGGTATACTCGTATCTTAGTCACATTACATTCATTCACTTATTTAATTTATAATTATTGTCAAATTATGCTACTGTACAGTCTGTGAAATAATATCTAGATACTTAATACAAGTCGCTATACATCTATAGCACATATAAAACTTATATACATATTTACTAAAGTCCATTATGAACTGTTTCCTTGGACAAAAGATGGCAAACTCTTTCCAAAAACAACACTGACGACATCAAATTTAAAGCAACAAGTCAATATGACCTTAACACTTTAAAAAAATATTAATGGCACTTCTAAACTTATTGTAGATTATTGAAACATAATCTATTATAAGTAATTATCATAAATAATAAATGCATGATCAGAGAGGGCTCTCTTTATAATTGAAATGTCTTTTAGTCCTGAGTAGATGGTTGACTATACGGTCATAGGATAGTCTCACCAGCTGAATAGTGGTAATGTCTTGGCTTTCTGTACGAATGTTGTTGTGGTGGTCGGTAAGTCGCATATTTGTGGATCTGTGATCGTGACAACGTGTGCGGATGAGTGGCGTAACAGTGTAGGGTTAAAGGTGTAGGAGGCGGGCCGGACGGACACTTCGCCAATGGTGGTTTTCTCGGCCCAGCTATCATCCGCCACAAAGCTTTTAAACGGGGCGTCGCTATCCAAACCGCGACCATGACGCCCAATATTTGTGATGCGAATATTCTGAACAGGAACACCCAAAATGCAGGACGCGGGTGCGTTGACGGTTCAGAGGATGGCACGGGAGCTGCTAACCAGTAGTCTCTCCATGCATATTCGTACATCCATGTAGCTAGTATGCAGGCCGATGGGACTGCATATAATGCCGCGAATGCTCCTAATCGTAGTAAGCTCTGATCTGTTACTGGTTGCGGTGGGGCGTTCAAGAGGACAGATGGTGCTGGTACAGGGGCAGGCCGACGAAGAACAGCTCGTAGGCCCGATGCAAGAAACAGGGATCCGAGAAGTAGACATATCGCCTCCGGAACGATGACCAGAGCTAGTAAAGATTTACTAGACTGGTTACCGACGAAGCAAGTACCTGGAAAAGAAATTAGATTACAGTGAAATGAGCATACCGATAGATGTAAGGCTTTTGCGGATATGGATTGTTATAAGAGTGCTCATATCGAGTTGAATAACATTCCGTTTCGACTAAAGCAACTCTCAAAGCGAACACCTACACAAACATACGGCGAGAAAAAAGGCTTGCATTAATAAGGCAGAGGTTAAAAAGGCCGATTTAAAATTGAAATATGAGCGTGCGAGGAGGGAAGGTGTCGTATTTAACGGCTCGAATAATGGTCGAGCATTTCTTTCGGACACCATAATGGAAGTGGAAATAATAAAAATAAAAATACAATACTCTTGTGGCACGATTGAAAATGCAATATGCCTGAGAATCGGTTGATGTGGCATTACCCTTGCTTTTATTGTATTGTTCGCTATATATTAACTTAAAATGCATTTGTTATATAGTACCTGTATGTGTTGACCATTGACATAGTAGATTCTTTTAGTGAATAGACCCTTCTTCGAGGCCAATTAACATAACTTTATTAATATAGCTTATGTTGACTGTGTCATATATTCTCACTTGTACTCTGAGCAGAGCTTAACGAGTAATTTATATTTCAAGTTTTTATAGTGTTGGCCGAAGTATTTTATGGCATGTTAGGAAGAGCACACATACCTAATACAAACACTTGATATATTATTCAAGTACCTACATACTTAAATAATATTATACTACGAATATCTTAATGAATATCTAAAGTAGAGGGAAATGGAAGGATAGGTTGTTAATGAATGAATGAAAAATTTAAAGGATTTATTTCTTGGGTTTAACCATTCATATACCTAAAACCTATAGGTTGGAACAAAAAAATGTTTAGTTGCTTTATTCGCATACAATACACAGTGGAAACTATAAAAAATCACACTATATTCATTGTTTTTGTAAGTAATTTAATCAATGTATTCCAATCGGTAAAAATTCGTAATTTAAAAAATAATAGATTATTTTTTAAATAGGCATAGGTGTCCATTAAAAGCTAGCAGGATATTAGCAACAGATTTTTTTAAATATATTTTGATGATTGCATCACATACTATATTCTTAGTTTATTACTGCAATTGAAAAACGTATTAAAATTTAAGAAATTAAAAAAGTGTTATATAATAGATAAAGATGGTTATGAAAGTTGTCAGGACATAGCAGTTGATTTTTTACGGATACTGAATGAGAAAAGACAAGAATGCACACATTGCAGTAGAAATAGATAAGACAGTGATGTACTCTACTACTGTTTTTTTTTAAGTACCACTATATCAACAATAAGAACAAAGAAAATATTATCAAGCCGAAAAACATATCTAGACGACATAATTATTTAAAATGTTAATTCCTAGTTATATTAATTATTATTTTAGTAAAACTTATCAGTGCGGCATTTTACAAGAGGATGCTTGTCTCTAAATTAGGATTTAATCGTCTCCAGCTTACGTGATAAGGGATTTGTTTGATAAAAAATTAAATATACTTATGACAAAGCAGCGTTGTTATTTATAGAATAAGTACTTACGTGAAAATTATTTAAACAGTGTGTGAGAGATGTCGTCGAGTTTTTTATGTAGCCGCTGATTCTAAATTAGTTTTTAAATTATTTTAAAATAGAGAATTTACAAATCAATATTTTTTTGTGTCTATGTTACTCGTTTGATATTAATTCGATAGTTGAAATGTCAAGTGTTAGGTTCACTGCAAAGGCAAATACAAATTCAGTAAGTAACTTTATAAAGTAACATCAGACTTGGCAACTCACATCACTCCTTCGTATTTGACGTTAGTGGCCTATAAACTCTTAATACCACAATGTCAAAATTGAGCATGTAAAAAAAGTAAAAAAATTGCCTAAACTATCTTGTACCATAAAATTCTACACAAGTTAGTAGGTACAGTAGAGAATTTCGATTTTAGGGACGTATATGTATTTACAATACATGGGGCACCATGGTATTTCTATACAATTCCCAATGCCTTTGGTATGAATGCGTGCTCCTGAGCACTCGTATAAGATTCAATCGCTTTGAAAAAGCCGCCAATTACACAATCGACACAGGACTATAAACCGAGGATCAGAGCTATTATGGTTTTATAAGCATATGTAGATAATAAGGTTTGGAATATATCGATTGATCTACATTATAAAGGTATTATTTAGCCGGAAATATGAAGGTTTTAAGTTTTGAAGCATATTGAAATTGGTAGAACCGTCGTGTTGATACGTATACAAATATTGTAATGCCTAAAACGAAAACGGTGAATGGTGGATTCGATTATTTTCATGTGAGCAATGTTAATCGTGGATATAATGTATTATATCCCAAGCGATCGCGGGTAAGCAGTTTAACATCAGATAATAGGATACATAAGCGTGTAATCTCTGAATATTCCATAAGTTCGATAGCACGCTATCGGACATACATAGGTATCTACTAACACCATTCCAACATAAAAATCGTTTTGATTACTATCTATAAATTTTATTTAAATCTATATTTAATTTAAACTGAAATCATAATTTGGAAAAATTGGGACTTTTTTATATTTAAATAATTATTATGGAAGTATTTATACCTGTGATTTCTTTTGCATGACCAGGATGTATTCGTTAACCAGGAAAAAATATATTAATTGACCTGTAAAGCTTCAGGAGTAACGAACCATTGGTATCTAAATTATCCATGTACCTAATAGATAGACAAACAGAGAAATTTGATCACACGAGGTTTAATGAAATTCGATGCAATCTTGTTGTCATAACTAGTGTTATACAGTAATCGGCGTTATATGGATCATGGACGTAGCTGTCTCCATATAAAGCGTCGAACTTGTTACTAAAGTAAATAAAAAGTGTTATACTACCTCCTGATCTGGAGAAGTCTTAAAGTACAGTGCCCTTAAAGCGTTCAACAGAATAAAAATATATCAATAAATATTGCGTTATTTGCACTATATATTTATGTAAAATATGATCAATCCTTACTAATGTTATAAAGATGAAAGCGAAGATCTTTGCTTGTTTAATCGTTTTTTATTTGGTATCTTTTGGTACTTTAACGCCTCAACCAATCATCACAAATGTTTTTATAAATTTACCTACTATTTGGAATGGAGATGGACAGGTTAATATTTTTCTTTCGGTCCATCTCGGTATGACCCGGTCACGAGGACAAAGTCACGGATAAAGACTAGTACATGAAAAATACTTATATTAATACAAATTGATAAGAGGAAAGGGATTACTAGTGTGGGTGTAACAATCTCATTGTTAACAATATATCCAGGATTCTATCTTCTTCCCCCATTAAAAAAAAATGAATTGAAAAAATTAGTACGATAATTGATTCTACAACCATTTGGAAAGGTTTAAAAGATGATAATGGAATGTTATATCCGTCTGCGCTATAAGTATACTCTGGTAGGGCAGCGGTGAATGGTGATACGTAGGGATGGAAGCAAGTCAAGGTGGAAGAGAACCAAGATAATGATTATGAGCCTCACCTGTAAGTTCATCAGCGTCAACATCTCTAGTTACAAGAACAGCGGCGGCCAACGCAGCCGGCACACCCCACGCTGCTAACTGTAGCAGCGAGGAGTGACGGTCGTTGCGTGCTGTCCCAGGGGTAGATGGAGGCCGCATTACGCTCGCGCGCCACGCTCCCGCTACCACTACCCACCTAGAAATAAAGAGATATTATGTTGTACACACTGAAATTGTTATATTTTTTATTATTTTACATTTTCTCGAATACCCATTCCTCAAAATTTAGAGCTTCTAATAATAATTCGACAACTTTACGTATAAAACGAAATGACTAGATACAACTCTTTTGAAAGGGAAGGTACTGTAAACAAGGAACTGTACATTTTTTTTCAAAGGAATAGGTACTCGTATATATGAATCAATAAATGACTAAAAATTTTGAGCCTCCCACACTAAAATGGTGAGTCTAGCTTTCCAATTAGTAGTAGTAGTCATTTTTAACTTATAATTCTTTGGAGAAAATAATCAGTTTCACTAACAGAAAATTCCTAATGATTTCGGTATTAAACTAAATATTTAATCGAAGAATTTGCCAAGATTATGTAATAAATATACCAAGTATAAAAAGCATTATATAGATATAATACATAGCGAGTTATTATGGTTTCTGGAAAGGTCTGTCGATGTCTCTGATGTTTATTTCTAGGTGGTGATTAAAGTAATTAAAAAGTCAATAAAGAAAACGATTATTTAAGTACTGCATGAACAGTCGAAGGCAGGTGAACTAAAAGAACATTCCCCTACATTAAAATAACAATATTAATTAATGTATATGTATTTGTAGTACATTTACGAAACAATAGTGAAATAAAAGTCAAGTTATGAAAGGCCAGGAAACAAGAGATGTATTTTTGTGTGTGTGTGTGTGTGTGTGTGTTTTGTGATGTATTTGCCACTCGGTTCTCCTTGCTTATCCTGCAAGAGATTTGAAGATTGATATATGGTAAAAATCAAAGTGAATTTTATATTATGACCTTTTTGGTGGTCTCACTATACACTGGACTACTATGAAATCTACCGTACAAAGTTTTAAAAAACATCACAAAGAATACTTATTAAAAAAACAAATTTTAGGCATTCCACAGAAATTTCTTGGCTAGCGGTTGCAAACTCATGTAATGATTTTTAATTTTTTTTTTTCTTTCCATGTTTCTCTTATTAATATTTTCTTTTTTTTTTCGCTTTATCCTTACCACTCAGTTAAAATTATATCAAATTATACTCTGAACTATTTACATTATTTTTATTATACACACACTGCACAGACAATCACCAAAAATATTGCTCTTTTTATTTTATATTTATTTTAATTATTATTTTCACGTACCCTCAAATGGGTTAAAGCTGAAAATCAGTGTTTTGTTCCTTGAACAATGTTACACGCTGAGCTTCGACCTTTTTGTATTGCTGCAGATCACACATAATAACACAATTTTATAAATCTTATGTTGTTTATGTATTATCTATTCTTATGTACATGTTGTGTGTGATTAGTAACAAACAAATAAACGATCTATCTATCTATCTATCTATCTAAATCGATCTCCGTACAAAGAAAAAAATTGTTTTCATGAATACCTATATCTGTTTATATTGGTTTGGATGTTTTCTATGTATAATATCTATGTATTTGCAAAAAAAATATTACAGTATTTATTCTATTGATCTATATATCTAGTTGTGTAGTATCCATGGTGCAAGCTGTGCTTAGTTTGGGACTAGATGATGCTGTGTAAAATGTAGAGAAGAAAAAACATTTAACATGGTCTGCATGGGTATAAAGGTACCATTAGTACGAGGTCTGTCCGGAAAGTTCGTATAAAAGTGTTCTGGAATGCGAGAAAGAGGAGTGGGGAGGCCAGGTAAGCGCAGGATCCCTTCCTTATGTCCCTAACAATGCTTCAGTTCTGGTCTGACCGCCGTGCGGTGCGAACTGGCTTGTCACGCCATCTGTGAAGTTACCTCTTAACGAAACCCCGTCGGCATGGAGCCCGCTTCCGTTGAAGAGCAGCGCGTCGTAATCAAGTTTCTCTCGAAACTCGGCAAGAATGGCCGTGAAATTTTTGCCGATCTCAGAACAGTAAAATCCCAAAGCAAAGAGTGGAAGACATCCGGGGAACCACGAACAAAAAAATCAAGAAAATCCCGCTCAAATGTCAAGACAATGTTGATTGTTTTTTTCGATGTTCGGGGGATTGTCCATCAAGAATTCGTCCCTCCAGGCCAGACAGTTGATGGAAAATTCTACGTCGATGTGCTCAGACGCCTCAAAGCTCGTGTGGCACGAGTTCGTCCAGAATTGGCGCGAGAGGGGCGTTGGATTCTTCACCACGACAATGCCAGGGGCATTGTCGTGGTGAAGAATCCAACGCCCCTCTCGCTCCTCTGTGGTGCCCACACCTCTCTTGTTGTCCGTGAGTTTTTGAGTAAAAATTCCATTACGGTGACCGAACACCCCCTATTCGCCGGATTTGGCCCCGTGTGACTTCTTCTTGTTCCCAAAAACCAAATTGGTACTTCGGGGGCGGCATTTGGGGGACATAAATGAGATAAAAAAAGCTACGACGGGGCAGCTGAGAAACCTACAACCAGAGGACTTTCAAGGAGCCTTCTCACAGTGGAAACGGCGTTGGCACAAGTGCATTATGTCACAGGGGGAGTACTTTGAAGGGGATAAAATTGATTTACCTGAATAATTGTAAAATAAAATTTTTAAAAAACTTTTATACGTACTTTCCGGACAAACCTCGTATATCCACCATAAAGCAGCTGCGCTTGCATAGTTATGCTTTAAGTTGGATATAACAGTATATAGCATATATAGCAGGATATAACAGTGAAATTACACAGTACGAAGGCATAACACCTTAGTCTTCAAGAATGGCAACTATGGGCATAATAGTGTATTCTGTAATGTCCATGGTGCTATTTATTTCATTACGCGACTGTTACCGCTTTCCGTCAGGTGAGCAGTCAACGTGTTTGCCATTTTGAATGTCATAAAAAAATAGATTTTTGACTATGTTTGTTGACGTGTTTGTTTAGTTTTCTCAATACTATCACTGGATTACAACTTAGTGTACTTATACCCTGTAATACACCTCTTAAAAATGTTGACTATAATACCTCCTCCTAAATTATAACCTTTGTCAACCCTTACTTAGCTCGTTAAAGTTCTGACAGGTAAATCCATTCCGTGCGAGCGAAGTGTCGCCTTATTTCGATCCGACCACCATGTTCTTGTGATCTGCATCGCGTCCCTAAAAACGAGTCTCCCAACCGGTAATGGGATGTTTATAGGATTTAAAGAGGTCGAATAAAGGTGGACCAAGGTACCCGCAGTGGCGTGTCACTGGCACTTGAACAAACAGCAGTGTTGTTTGAACAGCACCGAAAGTGGCGATAGCCCAAACATTTCTTGTTTGCCCGCTCGCCCGATTGTTTGATCCGGGCTCTGCCGCCAACACACATGTTGGCTAACATTTTACTAATGTTTGTACGATTTGCATTGTGATAATTAGGAGCTTGTTCTTTGAAGTGAGAACACGATCGTGTACTGTCTAAGTAAATAGATTGCAGCTACAAGTAGAAATCAACGTAACGCGTTTATAGTTTGTGATTAAGGGACTCATTACACTGGTTATATATATATGATAGTGTATTAATTTCTTATATGCAAAATAATATTTTAGAATTAAATTTAATGCAAAAATGTAGTCCTTTCAATGTATCCGAAGAAATGTCTAATACCTGGTCATGAGATTGTGATGTGCAGTCATAAGGAAATGCAAATGATATTACATGAGAGGCGCGAACAGACAGATGCTTTTAAAGGCTTTTAAATTTATTTTTATGCGGCTCGTATCGGTTCTCATGTGGCCATTAAGTGATAAGTTTATCTTGCAAGGAAAAATTGGCTTCACGCCGTTTATTTTAATGTGGTTTTGGGAGTCGGAATTTCTGTCATCGTGATGGCATCCTGTTATGTCTATCTGTTTCTATATGTTTCAGAATGACATCTTTACACGGCTACTTGTAAAAGTACAAAATATCATCTGGTACTTTAAAACATTTTTTTATGCAACTTAGAATAGCAAATAAGCTGACGGCCCAATAATGGAAAGTGGTAACCGTCACCTAAAGAAATGAACTGTGAACATTACAGAATATCAGAATAATACTCGTAATGGTACCTCTCATGTATTGCCATTCCCAAAGACAATGGTGTTATACCACCGTGCCTTGTAATTTCACTGCCATATCTTTACATAGGCGTATTTAAGAGGGGGGAGGGGGCACTTATCTTTTCAGTAAAGACGTACCTGAGAGTACATAGCCACCTTGGAAAATAATCTTAAAACCGGATGTGGTTTTAGTTTTTATGAATAAGGGAGTTACTTTTTAAAAAGTCTATGGTTCAAACGACTCCAAAAAAAAAAACAAGTCTCGAGGTATTATATCCTTAAAAATATTAAATATTCTAAGGCAGTTAGTTCGCTATAGTAAACCTTCATGGTAGGTGTATTTAGTGGTTCGTAATTAATGTGTTATTTGATATACGTTTTCGGTTAACCCTTCCACGCTGGCTGGTTTACGAGGCCCCACACGAGGTATTTTTGTTATATTCTTATTTGAATTGTGAATGACTCGTAAACGTCAACTTGACATTCGTTGGAACTCGGATCGCCTCGTATTAACTTTAAAATTACCATTAACATTCTAGGTTCACGACTACACAAGATAGATAGACACGTAGATGCGATAAAAATAAATATTTATTAACAAATCGTAATTATATATTTATTAATAAACTATAAGGATTCTCGACACATGCTGAGGAAGAGCCTTTTTGACGACTAGAACTTATTTTTTTGTTAGCTGTTATAATGTCTATATATATATCATTAAATAAATTATTTTTCTATTTTTTTTTTCATTCAAACATTCAAATAACGAAAAAAAGTATCATTTAGCACATCACTACTGAGTGGTTATAAAGTACTGTAATACAATGTAGTCTATTCCAGTAGAAGCTTATTAAAAAAATTATGCTGTATCTTATGATGTAATTATCATAGAAACACACTTTAAATTAAATTAATGAAAAATATAAATATTCGATCAATCGATTTTTATTTGTACTACTATTAGACATTACTAAAGTGAGGTCGGATCAACTGTTCGTTTGTTTACATTAAGTTTAATTGAAACAGACTCTAGGTACTAATGCCATGTACAAAGTATATTATGCAGTATATATTTAACATTACACATTAATCAGTCCGATGCAATTATAAGAATTGGATCAAATGCTTTTCACATGAACAGTTAATACTCTCCAAGGTTCTTAGAATTTCTGACTGTACGGACACTGGTGTGTGTGATATTTCTTGGTGAGTTAAATATAGATCCTCTTAGGGAATATAAGAAGAGTACCTCAGTTTGAAGAAACGTGACTGTTAGAGAGATAACAAGAAGTTAAAAATGTAAATGTATTTTAGTGGGTATGTAAGTATAGGTTATCTTTAAAATTGCGGAATAAAATTGTTTATATAAAAAATTTTAAAAAGTATTAAAATACGATTTACAACATAAATAATAATTATGATTAGAACAATAGAAACAGACAGTTTCTATTATCCTATTTATACATTTAAGTCTGGAACCTTCTAGACGCCTTTACCTTACACGCCTATAATACGGATGTAGTTGGGGACACAACTAGAGAAATAATAAGTAAATTATATTAGAATATATCACAGGAAATTATATCAAAATATAACTAATGTTATATAGGATATTTAGAGTTTGGTCTTAAAGAACGATCAATGGAATATACTTCATGTTGCTAACCCAAGTCATGGAACTCATGATATTAGATGGAGTAACAGTTACAGGCGCAGAGTATATAAAACAGGCTCGTTAAGCCGGTCGTAACAATAAAATCCAACACCCACTGCACTATTTAGGTGAACGCACCCATTTATTGACTTCGAGACGCCATTCTGCTACAGATTCCATTGCGCTTGTGTTTAAATTTTAGATATTACTGAAAAAAAAAACCTATAGATAAAAGTAGATATATTTTATTGATGAATAAGAAGAATGAAAACATTTATAGGTAAATAAAATATATAATTCATTGTATGGTAAAATTTGATTAATTTTATTAAACGATCGTAATATACTGATTAATTCAAAAAAAAAAAATAAAAGTTGGAAAGGATTACGACGGTTAGTCAGTTAGTCAATAAACAAATCGTATAAAAACGTTCTATTTTTTTTTTCAGCTTTTTGTGATATTACAAAATCTATTTATAGGAAACAAACCGCCTTCGCGTAGCAAATTCTTTTTTAAATATCATATAATATGCTGTTTTTTTCATCGCTATCAATTATTTTAGAAATTTCATAGCTAGAGGTCTCAAATAATAGAATAGCAATATTTTTTTAAAACCAATATCTGTAAGTGTCAAAGAAATATCAAAATTAACTTGAATGATAGAACTGAAGATTAGATTTTTTATAATCTATATTTTTATTCTGTAATCTGAATCTAGATCAACAACTCTACCATATAATATCCTAGTTTAATTTAGAGAGTTCAAACTTGGTAGTTAGTTTTTTACCGTGACTTCTTATATCCCAATAAAAATCACAGAAAAAAGCCCATGCATTGCCATTCCGAGAAGTATCATTCCCTCTTACCCTGTAATTTTACTGTTTGAAGGATGGGTATCCTTCAAAGCGAAACAGAGCTGCTTCGTTACAGAAACACAGCATGACAGAGGCGCCCATGTGGGCGAGTTGTATAAATTTCGGTTTATCTAAACTCACATATATGATATTAGTGATGATTTTGACGTGAGTCGAAAGAAACAAAGTCGAGTGCAGAATGCACCGTCGATGATGCATAGTGTAGGGACGCGGTTTATTTCGGGAGCTCGTAAAATCGATTATCCATCCGATCCGTGCGCGTCCCGCGTCTGCGCGCGCGCATGCCTCATAACAGGATGCACTATTTCTGTTGCACTTGTTGTTGCTGATTGTGATATGTGTATGCTATTAAATCGATGACTTTGATGTATTGCTTGTGTGCTTTGTACTTATGTATGTGTTTCTTTCGTGTGATTTCTATAATATAACATTTTATTGCACAAATAAAATCATTTCAGTTTTAACTAAATTGCTATATATTGGGATCGTATTAGTAAATATTCTATTAAGGTATACAATTAAAAAAAAATGTTTAGAAATATCGAAGGCATGATGCAGCGTACACGTAAAAAATTTAGTTAATTTGAGAATCTGTTTTAGGGCTAGATCGCCACAAAAGAATTACTATTTTTTTTAAAGTATTTATGGAAATTTGATATGTATATATATAATAGTATATATACATATAGTAGATACAATAAGTCCTATACTAAGAAAAGTGTACTTTTTAGTTTATTTTTTTTTAAATGTTCAAGAGTAACCCAAAGAGAATTTAAACCAGTTGCCACTAACCTTAACAAAAATCTTTGAACTAATTCATAAAGGCAAAGAAGATCACAGCAGGTGTCTAAATATGGATGTGTGCCTAATACTTAAGTTGAATGCACTACCATACTAACCAGCCATCGTACTTAGCTCTACTACCCTCCTAAAACAAACCTTTTACTGGATGGATAATGACGGATCATATTATACTGGATGCTACATACGAACGTTATTCGAATGGTGAAATGGATATTCGATCATCTGTGTTGAGATCGTTTGTGATTGATGTTTTCGACGGAGAATAAATGAGGTGTATAATTTATGTTACCCATCGGTACACAAACATTGTAAATGTGTGATGGTGAACGAGTCGAATTCCTTTAAGACATATTAGACTGTTAAATATATAGGAACATATGTTACCTATTTTAAGGTTAAATATAATATAGAGAAAATTTACCATACTGGGTTATTCCTAAGATTATTTCATGCAACATGGAATAGTGAATGACCTGGCGGTCCATCTGATGAAAAATTATAAGTAATAGCACCGTGAATGACCCAGAAAATACTGTGATACCCTACAAATGACATTGCTATTCATACTGCACAATTTTTCTGAAGGATCATGATTTTATGACTCACTATTTTGTTACTTTAATATCATACACCATACTTCAAACCAAAATAGAGCTATGTTATTACAGATTATTTCTAACCTATGGTAAAATTCGTCAATTATTTATGGTCTAGTTATAATCAGATATATTTAATAGTGTAACACAGCCCTTAGACTTGAATGTAATAAGTGCCTGTTCTCGTATTACTTATGTGTGCGAGTTTATTCCCTTACATTGAAGCCTGTTCTTGAAGGTAACCAATTAGTAAAATTAAGTTGCGTAATTTATTACATCCGGAGCTGTTTTGTTCATTAGAGGTACCTAATGCACTTGTACTTATATGTTTTTTATTTATTTTTTTTAATTGTGATGTATTATGTTAGCGAAGTCACAGAAAGTAAACTTGGAAAGTTTTTAAAAAGGGCTTCGCGCAAGGGTAATCTTACTGAAGTGTGGTAACATCGGCAATATTCTATTTAAACAATAATTGAACATTTTAAAATATTTCTTATTATTATTTTAAAAGTGCCCTAGATAGCGAACTCTACTACAAGAGTTAATTTTATATTTTCTACTATAAGGTCTAAAAATAATTAGCTATATCGAAGCATAAAGATTCACATTTGAAAACTGTAGAATACTGCTGGAAATATTTCTCTCCGAAACCAGTTTTATTTCAAGATAACAGTTTGAACAAAAACTTCCCTTATGCGATATGAACCGGGACTGAATCTTTATACAGTCCTGGTAAAAAGCCAAAGCACCTCTGGTATGTATCGATTACATGTACTACATCCATAATTCACATGTAATTACTCCTTTCCTATCTTATATTTCTCGAAAGTAATAAATATTGATAGATTGTATTGGTCCAGGGTTGCCAGATGAGATTTTAAATTTTTATGAGATGATTTTTTTTATTTATACGACTTTGTTCACTTACCTATAATCACAAACTTCTGTTGGTTTTTAAATAGTATTTGGCATATAAATAATATACCAAATGAAAATATAAATAATAAAATAGTGATTGGTTTGAAAATGAAGTCGCCCTTCTTTGCATTTCGCTTCATATATTCTTTCATTGATATATTCTATAGAATTTATTACGCCAATAATATTGTTATATCAAATTAGTCAAATAATTTAACCAAAGTCCTCCATGCCTATTTCATTTCTCGCAAAAAAAATCTCCAAATACCTAGTATTTCATTTTTTTTATTTTACAAAAAAAAATTAATCACAATTGTGAAAAAAATAATCAATCTGGCAACGCTGTATGGATCGTTCTTACGTAGCTAAGGTAAACCAGTCGTGCTTGTTATGGAACCGACATCTATAATGGCTAGGCGTTCGCTTGATAGGTTATATTTTATGATGACAAATTACAAATACGCCCACCGAACAAGAATTATTTATTGTTAGACGAGACATTGAGCTGACGATGTACAAATTTATAATGTTTATTTAATTTATATATGTATATGATTAACTCAGTTACCATACTTGTTATGGCCTTATAATTACCAATTATACTATAAATATAAAAACAGCGTATAAAGGTTTTCTGTTATTTGCAAATAATTACAGATTACGTACAGATCGTGAGTCCGAGAATTTCAAAAAGTGAAGTGATTATTACTATATAAGAACTTTTAAGGTATTTAATAAAAATTTTAGCTTTTAGGTTTGACTCATCAATAAAACACTGGCTTTAAACATTTCAAAATTAATTAATATACCGGAATAAATGTATCGAATGCAAAAAAAAAAATCAAAATCTCTTCGAAGTTTTATATACTCAAATCACATAGATATAGGCTCAATATAGACGAACTAAGAACTTTTTTTTTAAATAATATCTATTAAATCAAAGACAATTTTTACTTTTTATTTGAAAAGTTTTATAAACATAAACGTTATATTTTAATATTGACTGCCTAAAAAATAAAGGCATTTTACAATTTTACAACGGAAGTTTAAAATTATCTTTTTGTATAACACGTTTTCCATATTGCAATTTGCAAATCCTTATTTAGAAGTAAATTGATGATTCCGTATCTGATCGAGCCGTTGATCATTAATCTTTAGTTTGTTGGCAACTCTTCGGATGGGGATAATTAAATAGGGAGATATATTCATGTTGAAATTAATCATATGTCACTAAATGATAATTAGCCGCTTATAGAAGTGGCTATTAAATATAATATGACGCTAATATAAGCCTGAATATTTTCGTAAAACAAGCACCATAAAAAATATTACCTATAGTATATTATTATAGTAATATTTTTAAATAAAAAATGTTAAATTTTATTGACAAAATTTCTAACTGATAAATACGTACTAGTATATTATTATATTGTTTGTGAGAATGTTATATAAAACTAATAAGGCTTTTTTTTGATGGACGATAATGAAATGGTAACCCTGTTAGCACTAACGGTATAGGCGTGCGGGGCTCCAGTGAGGGATGATAGGTGAGAATTACTCGCTGTTTATTTTGTACTATATTTATGATAATTTTTCTGTTGGTTTCCCGAATAAAATAAAATAAAAAGAAAAATAACGTAAGGTGTTCGCTTTTTAGGATTCCATAGATCCAAAGGAAAAAACGGAACCCTTATAGGATCACTTCGTTGTCCGTCCGTTCGTCTAGACGTCTGTCAAGACTATTTTTCTTAGGAACACGTAAATGTGTCAAATATCATATACTCAGGTCTGTAATCTCTTAAAGCTGTGTAAAAAATAAATATCATGTTTCTAAATCGACGCAATCAAAAGATACGGCTGTTTATGTTCCATTTATATCGCATATTTTGACATTCGCAAAGGGAATCAAAACCTCCCATGGACCTAGAATCATTAAATTTGCCAAGAAGCAATGTCATGTAGCACAAGTAAAGGAAAAAAATCCGAAAATCCTAAATTTAAAATTAAACTTGATGACTTTGTACGGAACCCTTGTTGCGCGAATCCGACTCGCACTTGACCGGCTTTTTTATAATGAAGTAACGGTACCGTTATCTAAGTGTACATATTTATAAAACTAAGTGTTACGTGGCTAAAATTTTAAATATATTTTAATTAATCTTGTACCATAATGAGTAAACTGTGCTTGTACTCTAATTGCTCATTACCATGTTAATAACTACATGTTCACTGGACGGTGTACCTCGTTACATGTTTTTGTAGTCACTAGGCCTGTGTCTCGTTGCGAGGTATTTGCATAATGGCATCGAGCTGGGATAACGAAACAAGCTCTATTCCTCTCTTTGTTTAGATACTAGAGTGTTTAACAGTTTTGCAGTAAATAGGTATGTTTACTGCTGCATATGCATGAAAATTACTAGGTAATATTTTGTGTCCGTTATTTTTATTTTGTTTTCTATAGTAATCTTTTACAAATAATGTAAAATATTATTTATTAAATAATTCATTCTTGTTTTTTTTTTATGGAATGGTAATACCATCTGCGCTGTCGGTATACGTTTGCGGGGTACCGATGATGGATGATAGGTGAACATGAAAGTATGTCGGTTAGTCCATTATGATGAATTTAATAAAAATTAACCACGACGGTTTCCAGGGAGAACCACCTGGAGGTCAACCTGACAGGGTATACTGCTAGCAATGACGACGTAAGTAAGCCCATTACTAACAATCCCTTTCCTCCTTTCATCTATTCTCGTTGTATGACATTACATTTATCAAGATAAAGTAACAAATATAGTTGATTATTTTTCAAAAAGAAAATTTAAAGTTTCACTGCTTGGGATGAATTTCCCCAAATAAACCTTACCGTTATGGCATACGGGAAAGAAAATTTACATTTTCTCAAGAAAAATAAGGAATTGAATAGACTTATAGGCACTAAATTCAACTTTTCTAACATTGTCATAAATAATCACTTTTACAATTCAAATTGTATAGTTATTAACATAAATATATTTAAAATCTTTCGCTTAACTAATCTCGTTAAGCGTTTCAAAGACACATTAGTTAGAAGCACTTGAAATGTCTTCAAAAACCATCCGTAACTGGACATTTAAGCATTCAAAGTTCCGTCTTGAATGACAGTCGTTTCGTTCGAATAATGACGAAGCGCGTTTATTGTGGATGATCTCTAAGAGCTTTCGAATGCAATGCGCCCGCGCACTGCATTCTATGCGCACGGCATTAAGGCATTGTGTATGAGGTTTTAAATTACAATATAAGCTACGGTTCAAAATAGGTAAAAAGCAGGAATAGAGATGATAAATAGAATAATCATAATATTTTTTTTAACTTAAAGTGACAAATTATATATGCGTATAATTATTGGATTTTTATTTAATGGATGATAATGGAATGGTTACCTCGCCTGCGCGAACGGTGTATGCTGACGAGGCACCAGTGAATGATGATAGGTGTGAATGAAAAGGCAGTTCAGTTAGCCCATCATGGTGATTTTATTTGGAATAGAATACGATGGTTTCCAGGGAAACCGCGAGGAGGAGGAGGTTACCCTGACAGTGTGTATTGCTAGCTATCATTGACGATCCCTTCTTCCCCCTTTGTCGCAACCTTTAAGAACTTGTATCCGAATTCCGGGACGTGTAACAATTGTGATCATAGGGCTCTGAACAAAGTAAACTTTACTTAATTGTTTTAAAGTCGATATACTAGAAATTTATTGCTGCAATACCAAGAATAGCACGTGCTAGTTGCCAATTCTTTAAAAACATGTTCATGCCTTTTTTTAAGAACTCGAAATAGTAATTAGCAAGTTTTCATGTACTTTTCCAATTCAAGTAGTAGATATTCATAGTATACAGGAGATCTAACGCTTTTTGTAAAAAGAGCTCTTATGTTATGAAATATGAGGTCGAATTTATTATAGTGTGTATAATACGTCAAAGTCTATTAGAATGTAATACGTTACATGAGAAAGGATCTAATATCTTTCAATGTCTGTAGAAGGTAAGCGAATACGTTTAACTGGAAAGGTAGCTCTGACTATAGTCGGATAAGGACTTGGAAGAAGAAAGAAAAAAATCTGTGAAACGGGGGTAATTTTGCTCACTGCGTCCTACCATATTGGGTTCGAAAACGCCCGCCAAAAGATGCAGTACGAAATCGTTTAATGACTCATGCATTATGCTTATTTTGTAATACGTAATTATAAAAGCAATATGGGTAGCTTATTATCAAAAGTTGAATGTATCTCTAATGGACTGCAGCCTTTACAAGATATGGAACAATTAGAAATCAGAAAGGAAAAAATAAAATATAACTCCATGTGCACAAGGCTTAATGGTCGATTGGTTTTCGAATGGTGATTATCGGTTTGACGGATTGACGCGCCGACGCGGTAATCTTCCAAATTGTTATAATGACTTTGGTAATACCGCGCGCAGCTACAACTATAACAAACATCACTTGAATAGTAACTAGACACGACCAGCGAATGCGAAGTATGTATTATACGAGTATAGAAGACAGTTGAACAAGCTAGCTCTTTAAGTTTGCATTTTTCATATTTTTTTTTTATCACCTTCAAGAAAAAATAGGGTCTGAATTTGATTGCATTTTTATAAACTTTATTTAATCTTATTTCTATACCTATCTAAATAAATGTTTCTAATGTAATAAATTTAAATAAATAAAGATAAAAAAAAATTCTTAAGATCACTGCCAGCTGGTAGGATACCTATGTCGAAAATATTAGTATATCTTAATTTATTAAGTTTCTGATTGAATTTCTGCTTGATATTTAAAATAAAAATGATATGGATCTTTTTACACATTATCTTAATGATTTCAATAACGTTTCGATTTATTGTTTTTTGAAACAAATTCGTACTTATTTAGTTTAATTTATTCCATAAAGTATATACGAGTAAAATATGACTCAAATAAAAAAAAATATATATTTTGTTGATTACATTTCCAATACTAATTGTATTTCACATAGATATATTAAGAATGGTACCAAATTAAATAGAAAAAAAAAATGTTTTCCTAATAATATATACGTAACGTGTTCGAATACGTTCACGTCTGATAATAACTTCTTCGTTAACTTTAGCTAACCCGACATCGGCACCAATAATCATATTTGTACCGGTCGGCGCGGATCCTGTATCGATCGCCGCGCGCCCGTAACGAGACGATCGGGCTCGTTTTCCACAGAAATGCCACTTTTTACTCGTTCTTTCTTATTTTTGTTTCGCGGCACCGGCGCGGAGCATTGCCTCCACTATAATAAACAAGTGCGCCACGGTACGCATCGTTTCCGTTTCACTTTTGGGATAACTTCTTATAATTTAAATTTAAATTTTTATGTACGTCTCTTATGATGTAGATTAATAAATGTTTCTAATGGAATAAATTTAAATAGTGAAAGATAAAAAAAAATCTTAAGATCACTGCTAGCTGGTAAAGTCGAAAATAGTATATCTTAATTTATTGAGTTTCTGATTGAATTTCTGCTTGATATTTAAAATAAAAATGATATGGATCTTTTTACAGATTGTCATAATGATTCCAATAAAATAATAGGACAATAAATAATAATAATATACTAGGACGATCATGTCGTGTCAGTGTTATTTTATTTACAATAATATATTTATTTATATGCAATCTAATGTAACAATATAATTTTTCAGTTGGAAGGATTATTAGTAATGGAGACTAAAGGCGCCATTACAAGCAATCTACTTAACCAGGTCGATCTCCAAGTAGTCTCCATCGTGCTGAAATCCAGGTGTTTTCATAACGATCATCATACCTCACTGGTGCCCCATCTGCATATACCGTTAGCGGAGACGGAGTTAAAATTCCATTGTCGTCCATTAAAAAATATATAATCTCTTGTCTTTTTACTTATACGTTGAGTTTAAAAAGTAATAAATAATGAATATGATAATAAAAAGAAGCTTTTTCAATGAGTCCCCCAACTACTTAGTGTCCTCATACAATTAGATAATACAATATACGTACAGAACAGAACAGAAAAGCGCCGGAACGAGAGATCGTAAATAAATTTCTATGCTATCTATCGAACCACCTCGTCAAATGCGGAAGTTTATATAAACAAATAAAATCAGTCAAGTGCAAGTTGGACTCGCTTGTCGGAGGTCCCATACATAGTAAATATATAATTGTGAGATAAAATGTCTATAATATTTATCATTGTTAATACTACAATTCGTAATTTCTTGTTTTGTGTCATAATTGTGTTTAAAAACTGGACCGCATAACTAAGTTTATTTTTTGAGGTATATTAATATATTTTTTTAAAAAACAGTGATAGTTAGAAGCTTTATTTTATTTTTCCTCTAATATTCATATATGCCTATATAAACGAATATGTATATGAACAATATACTGCGTGTTTGTAAGTACTAATTTATCATTTATTTACTACTCGATATAGATCAAACAGATTGTGCTATATCACCGATGGTCTAATTATGCTCAACAGTTAGAAGTATTGCCTTCATTTATATTTATAAATGAATCCTGTAATAAGGTTCAATCACCTTGGCAAGATATTAATAAATGCAAAAAGCTAATCTGCGGAACTGGGATTTTATGAAGCGTTAATTTTCTCGCTCGATTATCCTGAGGACCGTAACAGAATGGTGCCCGTATCGGAATGAGACAGCCTATCTATCGCAGAGAGATGGAGATATTAGTATTATATAGGTGTGAAAGAGACACGCGCGGAGCATACCTCGGGAGCCTTGTGCTGCGCTCCTCAAATTTTTCAGTTCACGAGCATACTTTTTAATTTAAGAGATGACATTCTATTAAAGCGGGCTTTAACAAGCTTGGAATATTTTTGAAGGACCAGTAGCAGTTTTTTCTTGTAGTATTATAATTATTATAGTCTCCTTAAATGGTTGTCATTATTTGATTTAATTAAGACACTGATCTAAATTTCTATATTAATTTATTTCTTATTTTAAATAACTTAACTAAAGAAAATATGGTATAAAAGGCGCAATTAATGTTAGCAGCATCCTCTACTAGTCAACCTTTAGGATGAACAGTGAACCATGAATACGGTACTTTATTATTAGGATAGGTAAAGATAATAGCAGTTAATCATGTATACCTATACATAATACACGATAAATAATATATACATAAATAACATAAAATGATTATATATATATATATAGTAAAAACGTAGTAAAAGAGACATTAGTTCCTCTAATTGACCCTATTATATTGGCATTTGTTACTATAAAAGTAAAAAAAAACTTATATTTGATTACTTATATAAAAAGTATAAAGATAATATATTATAGAACGTTGCACCTAAAACACCCCTGCACCAACTTCATGAAACTTTGAGTACCGCAGTGCCAGCTCGTGCTTTTCCATCGCCTCTCGTTAAGAGCTTTTAACGAGCCGACCTTGCCGTAACGACTAGAAAGAGATAGGTAGATCCACGCTTAATAATAAATAAGGACAGAGAACTACGTACTCAACAATAAGCTTACTAACGAGATAGGTTCATACATACCAAAAGGCCCTAAACGACCTCCGCCTAACGTCCAATTATTCAACTTATTTTTATTTGGTAAAAGCTTAAATTTGAATAAACAAACATTGGTTCTTGTTTGACAGCCGCCAACAGTAATCTTCAGACTAACGAGAATGACTCAGGCGCTGGTGGGTCGTTGTTTTTCTAACATAAACCTTTCAGGCCACTGATAGAGTTTGGATTTGATTGATAATAGCGGCTCCGTAGGGGTTTTCTCATAAATGCCCTTTTGAAATTTATTTAAATTGGTTTTTCGTTGCGGGGCGATACGAAGATCGAATCTATAAAGAATGTTATAAGCACATTTTATGAGATCTTGCCGTGTGATAAGTGTCAGATGCCTATTTTATGTTTGTAATTATAAGACCCGTTTTTTATGTTTAACTTACAAGATAAAAAGGCACTGACATAGAAATATTATAATTTGAAGTATAATTTCAATAGTTAACAATATCTTGACAGAAAATGGTTAAAGATAATTAATTAAAAAGTAAATGCATCAAAACAAATTTAGTCATACAAAAGACATCAACGCTATCGTTGATACGATGACGTATAAACAAAGTGGATTTTTTTTAGCGAACTATCTTAGTTTTGCACAGTATTTTTTAAATATAGAATATTCCAGATTTATGCTGTATGGTCCTGGTATAAAATGGGCCACCCTTTCCTTTCCCGTGAGTGTCGTAAAAGGCGACTCAGAGAACTGAATGTTCGAGGGATGTGCAGCAGCTTCTCTTAAAACATAATCTCAAGTCTAACTGCGTAACGGTTGCCAACCCGCATCCTAAGCATGGCAACTACTGGCAAAATCCCCTCCATGGGGGAGGCTTATGTTAAGTAGTGGAAAATTAAGGACTGAATATGTTCAGCAGTGGAAAGTGAAAAGTGAATAAGATAATGATATTCTAGATTACTCGCTGATAATGTAACTTCATGTGTAAAATATTTTTTTAAATCGAATTTCTTATGAGTTTATACATTACAAACGAAAAACCATCTTTCCTCTTCATAATACTGGCTTAGGTGTGACCAGAAAATCATAATTTGTCATATGTTCTAATAAAAGAAGTCTTCGTTTTGTATACAAACCAGAAGAAAGCATCCCGGCTTCGCCCACGCGCGACCTGTTCCTGTGGGAATATTTAGAAATCCTTTCATTGTAGAAGTCTTGCTTATGTCACATGAGCAATATCATATAAATATTGTATACCAATTGATTCCGAACTAAGTCAGTTTTTTGTGGCATAAAATTTAAAATTATAATAAGACCACCCAAAGCAAACCTATTGGTCACATTTAGTGAAGGTATTTGAAAAAATAAAAGTGGAATTGAAAACTTAGAATTAGGGAATTCTTTGCACATTTATTCATATATATGTTTGTAAACAAATGTATTTGGATAAATATGATTCAAATTTGAATTTGATTTGAACATTGTAGGCAAATACAGTTAAATTAAATATTGCTCATCGCGATAAACGTTGAAGGCGGAATTTAACCTGCGACTTAGCGATCTCGCGAAGCGTCAATCACGTTTTAATATGAACTCTGATTGATGGTCGAGTATATATTTTTTTTTATTTTCGTTTCACACATCAATCTATCGTGTTGCAAAAGTGATAAAATGTTATGATAATTCAGCCACGTCGCGTCGGGAGGGTTTGAACTATGTTTTGCATTAGGAGTGCCGGTCGGCAACATCAAAGACGTAATAGCTCTAATATACATTTGCCGTCACTACCAATACACGAGGCGAACTTTCCGAACTATATTTAAAGTGTTAAAATGCCGCATGTAGTATTATATGAACGAAGTTTTTGATATATCGATGGTTTTTTGTATGCGAACTTGGAATATCAAACGAGATAGTCAACATGATGAAAAAATGTAATATTTGCTTGATAGACCAAGAAGAAAATTATTTTATTTTCGCGAGCATTTGTGAAAAAATTAACGATAATTTTACGTAATTTAGAAATTATGTCAAGTAAAAGCCATGTATTATTCAATACTTTGTCATCTAAACTTTTTATTTTTTTTTTTTAATTTTATTATATGTATATATATTTTTACAGTCTTTAATAATAGTCATGAATAGCAGTACCATGGAGATAACAAAACACACTGAGGTGCTGAACGCTTTACACCTAGCTCATTTCTTTTTTTTTATTACATTGTTTTTAACACTTGTGATGTAAAATAAAAAAAAAATCAAATCAAAATTGCTAAATTTTCTAAATTCAAATATCGTTTGTGTAATTAACAATTAGAATTGTTTACTCCCTCTCTTGTTCTAGTTCGCTTACTTGTAAGTACTTATATCATCTGTCCAGCTTACCAAATAGAAAGTCCACTACGCTACAAGCAACATACTAGCGGCTCGTTAATTTTTTCCGGCTACATACATATTTCATCTATTGAGTAACAAGGCGCGCTGTAATAAGGTTTGACGTGATTGACGTCTGCCTGTCGGCGGCGACGTTTGCTGCCCAATATTTACCGTGTTCTACTACTCGTGTCGGGGTGTTGCCCTCTGGTCTCAAGTGTTTCTAGACCGCCTTTGTTGTAGACGAAAGCGTTTGACGTGAACTTATTGAACGGCGGGTTTACGTGCCCTCCGAAGCTTGAAACATATGACAATCATTTTTAAAATATTCAGACATGAATTTCAAAATTTAGAAGTTTAGGTTGTGATTCACACTTGGGACAAAAAATCGAAGTTAACTGTCTAACCGAGTTATCACCGCTAGCGATAAAACAATGTAATATATAGTTTATTAATAGTTTAATAGGAATTCATAGCATTCAATGTGTTGAATGCACGACTACAAAGACTAATAATTTAAGATTATGATCCACAAAAACGCCGGCTTCAATTATGGCATAACCAAGTTATTTTGATCTAAAAGCTAAATTACTGAAATGTTTCTGAAAAGAATACGACCAGAGTTTCTTGTCAGTTCTTCTCATCTCGAAATCATTCCGAACTGACAATAGATTTGACTTATCATAAGAGTCTGTAATAGACCTACTTGAATAAAGATATTTGAATTTGATAAAATTTCTATGGAACTAATCTACAAGTATATCCTTTCAGATAATGAAAGAATTTTTCCAAATCCTTTACAAATGACGGAGTTATGAGGTAACAAATGTACATACATAAAAATACAATCAAATTGAAAAACCTCCTTTTTTGAAGTTGATTGAAAATCTGTTTCCACACCAGGCTCCTTA